TATAAAGTCTGTAAACTAGTTTAATCTCTAATTACAATGTAATTTTAAGTACATTCAATGCCCAGAACTACACTATACAGCAGCTAATTCATCAGACTCTTCAAATATCTGAGACACTTACCATATAGACTCAAACTCGTAATCACTGAATTACTTATCAAAAAAGCTTGATTGAACTTCAACATGATAGAATCATAAACTATTCTAACTCCCACGTACAAATTGGTTTTCGGAAATCAGCGCTTTCATCTTACTAAAGTTACATATGCGGTATAACTTTTATGCCCCAATAAAAAATTATGTTGCCTGATTCGCACTTGTTGAATGTAATATGCATGTACCTTATAAAAAAACTGAATTACCATATCACTTTACCCCAAATTTGCACAACCAATACCAAGTCATGAAAACTTTAAAAGTATGGACATGTTGAATCTAATCAATTTTTTTGAATATGGTATTTGCCGTGAATAAAGTCAAGCTTTATTCATATAGGTATTTTAGCTGATATAGCGTGTATTACACAAGATTCTTCAAATTTAACGTACGATTATGTGTTTGATAGCCCACCTCACATGAGCTATGAATTTATTATGAATAAGCTTAGACTTGATCGATACTGGAACATGTTCAAACTTCAAATCGTAATTAGGGATCAGGATATAAGCAATAAATTCACCATTTAAGCTTTAGGCTCTTTCTTCTTCCAGACATTCATGTTATATTAAGGTAGACCGTAGTAGTGTAGTACGTACCAATTTTAATTTATCATATCGAAAATTTAGATGTCATACACGTAACACGTAACATTAGGTATGTATGTTTGACAACTATAATCTGGACCAAATTCAACTACATATTTATAGATTTCATGACATATAAATGGGAAGTCCGCATATAGTCCCTTGTCTTATTTAATTAGTTGGTATGATGGTATGATACTCAAAAGTTGGAAGTTATATGTTCACGGCTCAAACTTCAAAGCATAACATTCAAACTTCACTATTTTTGATTATAGATATTCAAGATATGTTCTGTTAGAGCTTTCTCATGAATGTTAGCAGCTAATTGATAAAATTGTTATTCGTTTCATAACTTGTATGCTCCAGCAACATCAATTCTGTACAAAAATGCGTAAAGAAACAAAAGTAATGAACTCGGCTGACTCGATTTGATGGTATCACGCGTTAATTAGTACTTTGAAGAGCAATTGGTAAGTTAACGTAGTAACCTTTAAAAATCGATCGTTGATTTTCCATGACTCGAGAGTCAAGTTGAGATTCGAGAAAAAACTCTTGGTAATGGTGGGCTATGATTGAAATCTATAAAAATAGAGTATATCAAAATTACTCCAGAATCCAGATTTCAGACGCTCTCAAGCCATTGAAACGATTGGAAACTTGAAAGACTTGGGATGCAAACAATATAACAGGCTTTAGCATTAGAGGGCGTAAAACGTACAACGTCTTCCAAGAAATTAATGTCTATTTCTTTACATCTCTTGCCCTAGCTACTACATCTGAATCCTGATTCCTGAACATGAATCATTTGATGTGCACTGAATATCAAAGCTCCAATTACCTTCTAAATTCTAATTGAACCAAATTATACTGATTGATGAGCATTGTTTTGTCGATTATGGGTGTTCTAAATCTATGATGTTACATAAAGACGTTTTTATAAAGATCTTTAACAGAAGTACAAAAATTATCCACTAAAGATAAGCGGTTTTGAAATTCGAAGAAGTTATGGTTACGTAGATTAACGTACAAGATTCAATTACCGTTTGTGGATAAACCCTACGCGAATCTCGCGCAAAAGAAAAAAAAATTATCATCAACATCGAATATGTACATCAAGTTTTAAGCTTCTTCACTTCACAAAAGCTTTTGGTATATATAGCGGGCGCTTGATTTGCTAAAGTCCTAAGCAGCTGCTTTCTAAATTAAGGCTACCAGGCTCCAGCTACCAGCAATAAACTCTAGCTTTCATCTTCCAAGTTCCCAGATGTTAGTACGTAACGTAGTACCGTCTATTAAAATGAGACAAGGTGTAGTTCTCACAAGTTATAAATGAGTAAACCAATTACAAGCTGTACAACCCCAGTCATATATCATGATAACGCATAGTGTTGATTAAAAATTGTGGGTTCTTGATTGAAACTCAAGCCTTGCACTTCTGAGTTTTTTGAATACGTATTATACATTATACGGTATATTCGAGAAAAGATATCAAACTTTCAAGGCTCAACCGCTCAAGTTTCAACCCATCAAGCGCGGGATTTTATTCTGTGTAGTTGATAGCATTAGACGTAGCTACTTAAGGCATTATTAAGCATCACCTCGCGAAGCGACGTATTGCAATTTGCAAGATGTATAAGGTCGATGTAATGATTCAATACGATAATTCAATGGTGAAGAATCATTTTTGAACAAAAGTGAACACTAAACTTTGAACACGCTGGTCATACTAGAGCATATACCACATATAGAAGAGACCAAAATTGAATGTTAAACTAATTTTGCAAGATTCGAAACAAATAATTGATTGGCTATATAGCTGCAAGAATAAGATATTACCCACACCCGTTAAGCTGTTTACTGTACAGTTTCAGTAACCACATACCTACTAAATTCTAGTTAGAACTTAGAAGTTAGGAAGTTATAACTTATAAACTTATACCTGCTAAAGTTCTAACGTTTATATCGCGACTTGCGACTCGGGACTTTGTTCAATCAGTATTGTAAATCCTCGTTGAAAAGATCTTCAGTTACACCTACAATAATTACGGTATTGCTCTTTTCTGGAACACTTTTCACCTTGGTAAATTCTTTTTAGGAAAGGTACCAGTTGCATTAGAATTTAGACGTTGAGTATTCCAAAAAAAAATTTTACAAGTCACCATTAACGTATTTATGAGTCGCTTGTATTACGTATAAATCAATGGAAATCATTGATCAGTTTGTTTATGTAATTGTTCTACTAAACACCTTTAAAAATTGCTACGTTCGAAAGAATTCAAAAGATCAAATACGTGTTAATAACTCACACTTAGGTATGTATCAATAATTACTTCACTGTTAATCAATTTGTACAAATGCCTGCTCATTTGACATGAGGGTTCATACGGAGTAGTTTTTGACAAGGTAGTTCACTGCTGGGTTCTTCAAGGATATGTAATTAACATGATAACTGATGAATCGTGATTCGTGATATTTTAAGCGCCTGTGCAGTCAAGTATAATTGAAATATGTACCACCAAGTTCCAACCTACAACCTACAACCAGCTACAACCAATAAGTTATAATCCAGGCTTTAGCCAGTTATATAACATAACAACATAACCCAGTTTTTTACATCTTTTTTGACAATTGTAAGAATCATGAAATATGTATACAGATGCTAGTTGAGGATGTCAATTTCATCTATGATAAAATTATAGTCAGGTACCTGATTAAAGACTAAAACAAAGTTGATGAGTATTGTGTAATTATAGATCAATCATCAATAATTTCTTATGTATATAACGTCGACATGGCTGATCCCCAATATAACATAATGATACCTATTTTATATCAAACTTTTAACGTTTTGAAATTTGAAACTTGAATCATTTGAATAATGTTTAAAAGTGAAAATTATATCGCGTTAATCAATCATTAATTGTGATTAGTTATATAGATTAATGCCTCACTAATTTGAATGATATATATACTAGCTCTTGACAAGTTCACTAGTCAAACGTCCAATCAGTCACATAGGATCTGGTTAAACACTTCTACATTCATTAGCATTTAAATTATCTACAACTAGACTAGTACATGAAATGAAGTACTACGCGTTACATTCAAGATTGAAAACAAATTTGCAACAATCAAATCTTAGACCAATTCAGTTCAAATAATGGCAGTGTAATTATAAAGTGTGGTTGATTTCACTAAGGATTTCAGTGGACCACTCTTCCAGTAAATTCTTCAAGTAATATACCAAGGCAACCAGGCACTAAAGTTTCAAAAGTATCTAAAGTACCTAAAATTGTACCTAAGGTTTGCCGGTGTACTGGAAAAATATTTTCAGCTAAATTCTGGCATTCTGGCATTCCTGTGTAAGTTGATGGTCATGATGTTGCTTAACATTGTGCATATTTAGCAGATTGTTGCTGCTTTTTAAAAGGTAACTAAACAAAAGTTTTGATCGATGACGTTTGGAAAGCCTGTGAATGCAATGTTATGCCATTTATTGAATTGATAGTTTATGCATAGTTTATGCATGTGGTTTTTCCATCTTTTCCCCTTTCCTAAAGCAAAATTTCGCCTGGAATACTTTTCCAGCTGTTAGAAGCTCTGTACTTTAACATGGCATTAACTTACATATATCTTGATCAAGGCAGAGAATTTTGTCTTTGTTGTCTTAAATTAGTCTAAACCCGATAGTTTATTCAACATTCTGTATAACCTGTACTCCAATTTAAGATATAACCGATGTACTTTGAGTACAAAAATTCATAGCCAAAAGGCCTATAAGAAGTAGTCAAGGATTAAAGTGGACTTGGGGTTTTGATTTTGGGACAAGAATTCCAAACTTGACAATAGACAGATTCTTACATACATACGTCTCAGTACTCAAATTACAGATCTGTATGAAGATTATGTCGAGGACTCGATTTCCAAAAGGTTTAAATCATGTACGTTGAGTTGTTTCCACCGTTAATCACAATCTCGAGTTCAAGTCTATGTATTTTTCTGGAAGAATATATAAACTTCATCACTTCCCATTATTTGTTATTCAAATTGAATTGTGTATATCGATCCTTTGAAAAAGTTTTAATATATTATTTAGATCAAATAATATCGTATTAATACATTCATTCTTTAAACATTAATATATTATAAACTAAATATTTATATGATAATATTTTTTTTCAACTATACACATACCAGAGCAAAAATTTCTCTTAGCACATAATACTTATTTCACAATTCAATAATCTTGAATCAATCATGTCATCATCAGTTCAAAGAATTAGATTACCAAGTGTTAATGATATCTTCCCAAGTGTTGATAATCAACATCATCATCATCATCATATTCAACATTATGCACCTCCAGCACCTCAAGTGATGAATACCGGATTTCAAATAAATCCAAATTATATTGCACAACCTTCATATCCACAACAACCAATTCCAATTCAAGTTCAACATCAACCTCAACCTATTGTTCAACAACCAATCCCATTTAATCCACAAAATTTCATTGTTCCACCTCCACATCATCAACAACCAATAACTCCATCACAATCTCCAATCAATTATATGTCTTCAAATTCTACACCATATCCACAACAACAATATCAATATCATCAACCACGTATGAATATTAATAATGTTTCAAAATATAAGATTCAAAAATCTCCAACTTCAACAAGACAATCAAATGCATGGAGTGCAAATGATGATGAATTATTAAAATATTTAAAAGAAGTTAAAAATTTAGGATGGAGAGAAATTTCAATGTATTTCCAAAATAGAACTGCTAATGGTTGTCAATTTAGATGGAGAAGAATTGTGGCATTAACTAAATCTTCTTCATCACCACCAAGTTCATCAGCTTCTTCATCTCCATTACCTGAAAAATCTCAAGATTCAGAAATTGAAGTTTCAATGAGATCAAATTCATTAGAAAGTTTATTGAATTAAACTAGGTTTACATGTACATATTATTTTCTTTTTGCATTGGGATTGCAATTAAGAACAGTTCCTTCATTAAAAAGAGTTAAAAAGAGAACAAGTTTGGGAAACAAAAAAAGTTTGGTTAATGTTTGAATCAATTTCAACACAACACATATATTTACACGATTTTATGATTATATTTAAAAAGTTTTTTAGAAAAAGATAGTTATCTTTTGGTTATTCATTTTATATTTTTCAGTTCTTTTAGGATCATATGATTCATTTATTTGATTCTATATCTTACAATATTTTTATCTTTCATACCATGTTTATGTTACTTCAATGTTTGTTTTTTGTTAGTACAACAAGTGCTTTTATTTTTATGATTTTATTCAAAGTTGGTCTTTAATTATTTTATTCAGGAGTTTTTTTTACATTTCATTGTTTTGTTCAAAGTTTATTATATTTTTTTGTTTATTCTTTATGTTTATTGTCTTACGTTGAAGTTACATCTGTATGATCTTCTTTTTCATGCTAGTTTATTTATAAATTTAGATCAATTGTTTAAAGAAACTTAGAGGATGTTTCATTTTAGTTTTTAGTCTCATTTGTAGTCTAAGACTCGTATGGAACATGTTATTATTACCTACTTTTTTATAGGAATTCCCGGACATGATTATAGATAATGGAATGGGTATGGAATGTACATATATTATACATACCTATGATGAATACAAGATGAAAGCACAAGATACCAAGCAATGCTAATGAAAAGCCTTTCCCAAAAAAGCAGCCAATTGCCATCCGATCTTTGCAAGTAAGCTTTCTTTGGATTTTCTTTGGCTGTGGCATGTGAGATGTGGAGCGTGAGGTATAACGTTCGATTGTCGTCAGGACTCAGGAGTCAAATAGTACTTTTCCGAGTATGTAATCGCACCACTTCGATATCTAGTATATTGATAAGCAGTTGTACAAGTAAAGATTCAAGAGTTGCAGTTGTTTAGTATTGAAAGGTGTCGTAAAAAGCTCTTCAAGATGTAGATCGATTTCAGAAATAGAACCCCATAAGTTTGATAAATTGAAGATCCAACTTGTTATCATGCAAAGTCTGACAAGTTTCAACTACCTATCAATAACAAAAGTAGTAAAAAAACTGAAACCCCAAATTGAATATCAAACACAATTTAGTTTATACTATAGTTCTATGTTCTATGTACCTTTAATTAACTTTCGAGATGAAAGGAATTGACATGCACTTGGGATCATTAGAAGTTACCTGTTAACATGATATTTACTTACTCCTTCAAGATGCTCAAAGTCCAAAAGAGAAGCGTTCACTATCTAGAGATAAACCGTACATACATCTAGATTACCAAATTAGGCGTCGCTTCCAGGAAGTTAAAGCTGGAATAATAATCGTTTCAATTTTAAAAGTTAAGCGTACAGTATGGCTTTCAATGTTCAACTGATCAATTTGAATTCTCAAACAGAAGTACTAAAGTTTTACTAAAGTTTTAACCGTAAACATAAAATGACATGTGTAATTGAATGTCGATGAGCCGATCCAAATTAATTAACCAGCTAGACATCAAAGTTCAAACTGACAGAATTCCAATGCAGCTGCTACATTTGGAAGATTTGCTCAATGTAATACACAACTTCGGATAGTTTTGAACCCCATCTCATCAAGAAGAATGATGACTGGAAAAATACTATGGCATATACTACAATATATTATTACGACTAGATCTGGAGACACCATGTACGAACTAGAATGTAAAGATCGGTGAACTTCTTCATGATAAGGAGTACCAGGACCAGTTGAAGCTGGATCAATTACTTGTCTTGGATCAACTCTTTGTCGACTGATCAGTGATCACTAGAAATATTAAAACCTAAACCAACTTAGTGTGGACGTAGTCGTTTAACCCAGTCCCATTACTTAGAGCATTAACAGATCAATTGGATACCGGGATATATGCAGCTGATCAACCTTGAAGATGTCAGATGTGTTATTCAAAAAACTAATCCTTTCTTCAAATTGAACCAAAAGGGAATAAGACCATGCAAACAAACTTAAGCGAAGCTAATTTTAAATTTGAATTAAACTTTGTGCTTACTATGTATAGGGATCCCAGGCGCTCCTTTTCACTGAACGGATCAATTTTAATTTAACCATGATATGTTGATTTAACCATGAGGTGTTTACTACATTCAGGCTTTAAGACCATTCATGTAAACTAGACTATAATTAATGTACATAATTATACTACAGATCACTTTTAGGTATTTAGTTCAATTGTTATTGAACTACAGTAATGAGTATTGTCATTCAAGTAGATCTAATGAATGGTGATGATCTTCAGGAACCGCATCAAAATTTAGTACATTTCTTAACTTCTAGTGATTAGATTCAGAGTCCAAGCGAGCATGCAACTCATCAATATGCCTTGTTTATATTTAAATTTTAGTCTAATCAGCTCATGATCATGATCCCATTCCTTAACATTCCTTCCTTGATCAATGTTAGCTGGTTTAAGTTTTAACATGTCTAATTTATCAGTTAAACCCTGTAAGGCTGTTCATTAAACTTCGTAAGTCGTAAGATTTCAAGATAATATAGACATATGAACAAGCATTATCACGCCTTGAATGTGAAGGGATACCCCAGTAAGAAGCTGTTTGTCAAAAAGTTATTTCAAGCGATGAGATTAATTGATAGGTCTGAGAAGTTTACTGATCAGTTGTCCATTGTACATGATGGTTAGTCCTTCAAGTCTTGTATCCTTTGATATAGGACACCAGTATGGACTCCATTTATCACAGAAAGCATAACTTCCCAGACATGGCGACTATTAGAAGAGCTGCCTAAGGATCAAGAGTATCAAGAATCCGATCAGTTCATTATTGTTCATTGTTCGCTGACTAATCGGGCTAACAAATGTTTGTTTATTAATTATCAGATTACACTACTTTGACCAAAACATCACCATTAGACAAAGTACCTGCACAAAGACATTCTAATATCTATCACAAGGACTATTCAGATGCCATGCTTAGACCATTGAACCTTGTGATACGGAGATGTTATTCTTCCATAACACAATTCTCGCCACCTCCACCTTCAAAGGGGTTTTTACAAATACCCAATAAATCAATAATATCAGTACAAGGACAAGAATCTACAAAGTTCCTCAATGGTCTTTTGACAGCTAAATTGATTCCCAACTCGGTTAAGAAATTAACAATGACCATATCAACTGAAGAAAAAGATCAATCATTATTTTTAGATCAATTCAATATTGGTGATGTTAATTGGGGGTTATTAAAAGAAGGTAAAGAAGATGGAAATCAAACTATAACTAGAAATGGAGTCTATTCAATGTTTTTGAATAGTAAAGGACGTATAATAACTGATAATTATATTTATCCTGTTGAATATTCTCCTGAAACAATTGAAGGTACTGAACCAAAATATTTTATTGAAATTGATGATTCAATGACAAAACAATTAATGATGACTTTAAAATTACATAAATTAAAAGCTAAAATTTCATTAGGATTAGAACCAAAAGAAAATTATAAAATTTGGTATTTTTATAATGATTCAAAACAAGATTTCATTTATGAATTGAAAGAACAATATTTTAATGAAGATTCTCAAGATTTGAAAAATCCTCAAGCTACTTTAGATAGAACTAATGATTTTTTACAAAATGATCAATTTTGGAACCCTGATTTGGATAAAAATTCAATCTTGGGGTTTGCATTTGATGATAGATGTCCAGAATTTGGTATTAAATTAATTACAACTTCAAATATCAATTCAATTGATGAAATATTATCCCCGGAATTATTAGAAGATTCACAAGAGATCACTAATGAACAATTAAGTATAAGAAGATCATTATATGGTATACCTGAAGGTAAAACAGATTTCCCACCAAATCAATTATTACCATTGGAATGTAATTTAGAACTTATGGATGGTGTTAATTTTGATAAAGGATGTTATGTTGGACAAGAATTAACAGTTAGAACTTTCCATACAGGTATAATAAGGAAAAGAGTTGTTCCAGTGAGATTATTCCTTTTGAATGATCAAAAAGAGTTAGAAGATTATCCTGTTTATGATCCACAAGATCCAGTATGTCAAGTTTTAAAAGATATTAATAATGTTGATATCATATCTGATAAACAAGCTTCATCACCAAAACCAACTGGTGCTTCACCTTTTGGTCCACCATCTACTGCAAGCTCATCACCTTTTGGCTCTAGTGGGAAGAAAAAAGCTACAAGAAAATCTACTTCAGGTACATTATTATCTGTTAATGGTAATGTTGGATTAGCTTTAGTTAGATTAGAAGATTTTTCAAATCCAAATTTGAATTTTAGTATTGAAATACCAGGTGCTGGTGAAGATAATAATACTTTAAAAGTGGGATTGAAAGGGTTTATACCTTATTGGTGGCCAGAAGATCTATAGTAGTACTGATGGACCATGGTGACATGTATATAATTTAGGTACGTAATTTTAATGAATATTCAGATTGACACATAAATTTATTAGTAGAGCCCTGGGTGATATTATCACGTGATGACATAAATGTTATCACGTGACATAAGCCCTATCAATATTAACCCAAACACCACATGGTTCGCACAGCATTTTTCGATTTTTTTTTTTAATTTTTCAATTCTCCCACCAAAAAACACACGCAAAATTCGTCTCCTACCAAAGTAAACCGTTCGCGAAAGTAGTCCCATTTTCGCACTCTGATTTTTTTCAAAGCTTCCACCAAACTAGTGGGAAAATATCAAAATTGATTAATCTTTCACAATCATCAACATATTGGAAAGTTGAAATAACACCAACAACTACACATCGTTGAAATAGATTAAATCAAGATGGCTGAAGAACAAGTTGATATCCCACAAGAAGAAATCGTGGAAGAAGAATTCGAGGTTGTTCAAGAACCAGTTGAAGTTAAATTTGTTGAATTAGCTACTCCAATCCCAGAAGAAGTTCAACAAGCTCAAGCTCAAATTAAATTATTCAACAAATGGTCATATGAAGATGTTACCGTTAAAGATATCTCTTTAACTGATTACATTCAAATCTCAAAACCAGTTTTCGTTTCCCACACTGCTGGTCGTTACGCTGCTAAAAGATTCAGAAAATCTCAAGCTCCAATCATTGAAAGATTAACTAACTCTTTAATGATGAACGGTAGAAACAACGGTAAAAAATTAAAAGCTGTTAGAATCGTCAAACACACTTTAGAAATCATCAACGTTTTAACTGATCAAAACCCATTACAAGTTGTTGTTGATGCTATTGTTAACACTGGTCCAAGAGAAGATTCTACCAGAATTGGTTCATCAGGTACCGTTAGAAGACAAGCTGTTGATGTTTCTCCATTAAGAAGAGTTAACCAAGCTATTGCTTTATTAACCATTGGTGCTAGAGAAGCTGCTTTCAGAAACATCAAAACCATTGCTGAATGTTTAGCTGAAGAATTAATTAACGCTGCTAAAGGTTCTTCAACTTCTTATGCTATCAAAAAGAAGGATGAATTAGAACGTGTTGCTAAATCTAACCGTTAAGAAGCATGTATTTTATTCTATAATATCTTTGTTGTGTGTGTTTTAAGGGGAATATAAAATTTTTAAAATCTGGAATTGAAAAATCTTTTTACATTTATTTAACGATGATAAATTGATTATTTTTCTTTGTATTTGATATTAAATTTTTATCTTCGATATATGTATTGTTTTCCAATTCCACTGTATAAAAACAAGGAAAATGTCATTTAATGTTAACTTAATTACTATAAAATTTGTAGAGGTATAAAACATATCAATTTTATATCTCGAAAGTCCATTTGTCGGGGTTCGAATGGGTGCTCCTTTTTAGCGATTTAGCGATTTTCTTGATCAGTTAAAATTTGGTGGGGATAAAGTTCTGACCAGAAAATAAACAAAGAGAATATAAAAAAGGAGAAGTTCAAGCTCAAATCAATTTTATATACAATGATTGAGTTATGTTTTGATTAGAAATAAGCTTAAATGGTCAATACTATGCCTTCGAAAACCACACCAAACACTCCTCAGTATCTTTCCAACAAGACGTTTCAAAAAGAAGCATCTCTTCCTAATTTGCCTGTGCCACCGTTGAATGAAACTTTGAAACAATTGAAAGAATCATTGTTACCATTGTTGAATAAAGAGGAATTGATTCAATTGGATAAGAAGATTGAAGCATTTAAGAAATCACCAATCTCTTCAGTTTCACAGAATCATCTTTTGAAATTCCATCAAAATGAAGATTGTTATTTAGATCATTTGAATCTTGATCATATATTGATTGATCATAAAGCATTACCAAGAAACCCCTTTTTAATTTTGGAAAATGACCCATTGAAACAAATCCATTGGGATCAAAGTCAATCTGATCGTGCTGCTGTGTTGACTACTTCTGCTTTGAAATTTATTAGTTCTTTGAGATTAGGTACATTGACCCAAGATCAAACTTTTGCTAGTGGAATTCCGTTGACAATGAAGCCATATTTGAATTTATTTGGTACTACAAGAATTCCAGAATTTGATAGTATTAGATCCAAGACAAATTTGAATAGTGATTATATCTTGATCTTATCAAAATCACAATTTTATACTTTGAAAGTTTTGAATGATTCAAATGAATTGATCTTTACAAATAAAGAATTAAAGAAAATCTTGGAAGATTTATTGGAAGAGATCGAAAATGTGGAAAATCCAAATAGTACAGCTATTGGTTCAATCACATCTGATACTTATAAGCATTGGAAATCTTCTAGGGAATATTTACAACGTGAATTCAAATCAAATTTAAATAAAATTGATGATGCATTATTTGTATTGGTTTTAGATCATTCAGAACCTAATGATACAAATGAAGATTTAGCCAAAACAATTTCAGTAGGAACATTGAATATTGATTCTAGTGGTGTTCAAACTGGCTCTTGTACTTCAAGATGGTATGATAAGTTACAATTGGTTGTTACTAAAAATTCAGTCGCTGGTGTTATTTGGGATTCATTTACTGCTGATGGTACAAGTGTACTGAGATTTACATCTGATATTTTCACTGATTCTGTTTTAAGATTAGGTGATGGTAATTATACATTGTTTCCAGGTGTTTCTATAGCTAAACCAAGTGATGCACCAAATTCAAGTAAACCAAAACCTGAAAAATTGGATTGGAATTTTGCACCAGATGCTGAAACTTCTTTACATCTTTCAGAAACAAGATTGACTGATTTGATTTGTACTCATTTAACAACAACAAAAACTTTAAAATTTGGTCGTAATTTTGCTAAAAAAATTGGTGTTAAAGCTGATAGTTTAATTCAAGTTGCTTTACAAATTGCTCATTATGCATTATATGGTCGTCCAATATCAACTGTTGAACCTGTATCAACTAGAGGTTTTAAAAATTCAAGATCTGAATTATATCCAGTTCAAAATGATATTATCACCAAGACTTGTCAAATTTTCATTAGTGATTCATCATTAGAAACTAGATGGAAATCATTTATTGATAGTTGTAATTTCCATTCTGATAACTTGAAAAAGTCTTCAGAAGGTGAAGGTTTTGAAAAACATTTGAAAGCTTTACAAAATATTTATTTACAACGTGAAATTTTCAATCATTTAACTCCAGAATTTGGATTCATAACTGATGAATTACCTCCTTTATTGTTTGATGATATTATTTATCCATTATTTGTTCCTGATTTAGTTGCTTCAAATTGCGGTAATCCTGCAATGAGATTATTTGGATTAACACCAGCAGTTGCTAATGGATTTGGTATTGGTTATATCATTAAAGATGATGTTACTGAAATTTGTTTGATTACTCAATATAGACAAAATGAAAGATTTTTATCAACTTTAGATTGGGTTTTACATCAATTGCAACATATTTGGAAACATGTTGGTAAAGTTAAGATACCACATGCTCATGAATTAGATAATAATCTAAGAGGTCATAGGGATGTTGAATCTATTTCACTCAAGTCTGATATACAAGCAAGTGTGATGTCAAGATCTACAACTGCTGGTTCAAGTGATGAAGATATTGATATAGCTCTTGGTGGGTATGGTTATTTTGATATTGATGATTTGACCATAAGATCAACAGTTCAATCAAGAGCACCAACACCATCAATCTCCGCTCATACTAGTTCAACTAATTTAAAGGGGAAACAATTTGAAGTTGATCAAAACTTTGGTAGAAAAATCATTAATGAACGTTTAAAAGATTCTTTTGAAAAACATGAAAGTGATCATAGTGATTCCAATAGTTCTTCTTCCAATACGAATACTAGTAGAAGTTCAGGTTCACGCTATGATACTAAGTTTGATAGAGGTCAAGTCGGTAAAAAAGTCACCGTCAATGATGATTGAACACCCCTATTTATTCATTTATTTATTTATTTATTTATTAACTATAACATATTTATATAATTATTTATTTATTGTGATTTTATTGTTTTCCAAGATGATTCGTAGTTTGTGACAGTAGGTATTTTTCTAATATGTTCTGTTTTCTCTGGTGATGAAAAAGAAAATTTTCGGATCTAGCATGGTAAATAAAAAAAAAAAAATTATGGCAGAAGACATAAACAAAACTGCTTATTATTGTTCCACTTCAGTCCGTTCTAATTACCCACAAAGAAACCACAGAGACACTGAGAAAGGTACTCAGAAATATTAGAACCCATTACAATCAACTAAAACTGGCTTTTCAAAGGGGGTTCAAGTGACAAAAAAGACTGAAAATGTCACAAAATAACCCATTTCCTAACAATGTGTTGAATGATCTACACCAAAACGACGTTAAACCAAACTCAAACGGTTCGTATCCTTATCATCAGCCTGCTATGGGTCGTCCAAGTACAAAGCCTTCAAGGGCTAAGAAGATGGCTTGTGTTGAATGTAGACAACAAAAGTCCAAATGTGATGCTCAAGAGAAATATCCAAATCCATGTACAAGATGCTCTAAAAAAGGAATTTCATGTTCATTACAATCTGATTATAAAAGAACTTATAAAAGAGCCAAATTCCAACAGATAGAGGAAGAACTTGAGGAGTTGAAGAAGAATTTAAGTGAAGCTGGTGCTGATAATTTGTTAAGACAACTGAAACAAGGAACTTTCCAAGCTCATGAACTTAATAATCAAAATTATCAACAACAAATACCTCCACAACAACAACAACCACAACTGATACACCAGCATTCTCCACTTCAGCATCAACAGCAGCAGCAGCAAGGGACAAATCCAATAATAAGTGGACTACCTCCGTTAAGACAAAACATATCTGTGAGTGCTTCACCATATGGCGGATCACCTTCATCAACACCTCAACCAATACAATCACAACCTTCAGTTCATCAACCACAACTACCACCAGGTTCAGAAAACTTTTCGAATATACAAGGGGTTTCAAGATCAAGTATATCAGCAGAACAAGGTCCTTCGATTATAAGGGGTGAACATACACCCCCACCACAGTTGAAGCCTATAAATATAATATTGACAGAAGAACAACTTCGTTGTGAACCAAAACAATTTGGAGAAGTTGAATTATCTTCAGAACAAATCAAGGATCTTTTCGTTGAATTTGTGAATAAATATCATAATTTTTTACCTATTGTTGATGTCTCAAAAGGTCCTGAAAGATTACACAGGCTTTGTCCAGTATTATTCTGGGTTATAATGTCAGTTGCCCTGCGTCATCATTCAACTGATATACTTATGACTTTAGCTCCTATAATCAAAACTGCGTTAGCTGAAATTACAATAAGTCCAATTACAAGATATTTACCAAATGAGGAAGAAGAACCTATATTAAACGTTTCATCTGTTTATTCAGTTCAAGCATTTTTAATCTATACATTTTGGCCACCATTAACATCATCATTAAGTGCTGATTCTTCATGGAACACTGTGGGTATTGCTGTTTTTCAAGCTATAAGGCTTGGTTTAAATGGACCAGGTGTTAATAATTACAATCCTCAACAACAGCAACAACCTGAAGTTAACTCAATACTACAAGAACATATCAAGACTTGGATTTCGTGTAATATTGTTTCACAAACTATTGCAACAGCATTTGGATACCCAGCTTTTGTTTCATTTGATAGTTCAGTTATGAGTAGTTGCAGACCTGGAACTTCTGATGATAAAATACCCACCCAGTTGAAACATATGGTTGAAATAAGTCATTTTGAAGATCAAATTGCTAAAATTTTGAATTCAAATACCGTTGATGCTCTTGGGTTGGCTGATGCTGCTGAAAGATTACCATTATTGAAGGTTCTGACTCAACAATTGAATGAATTAGAATTGAAATTAACTGCTGAAGGTCTTGATGATATAAGAAAATTCCAAATTTTAGCAACAAAAGTTCATTTATTAACATACTATTTCTTGGACAATTCAAGAGTCGCACCTTTTGAATTAAGAAGAGGTTTAGTATTAGTTTATAATGCAGCTTTAACATTACTGAATCATGCAAATAGTGTATCCAATAAAGATTCCAATTTCATCAAATATTTACCAGGGGTTTTTGTTTTGAAAATTTGGCAAGCTTCATGTATTGTCACCAAATTAATTCATAGTCCATTATGTGATGTTATTGATATTGGTGCTGGTAGACAACTGTATATGGCTGCTATTCAATTAGCTATGAGAGCCTCTATTTTAAAACATGATATGGCTTATAGATCAAGTGGTATTATGAGAAACATGTGGCAATTGTTTAAGGCTTTAAGAGAGAAGAAAAATATCAAAAATCTGGATGTTACAATAAGAACAAGAATGTCTGCTAGTGTCTTCTTTGATTGTTTATGGATATTGAGAGAACAAGTTGGTATGATTAAATTAGATCCTAATCAAAAATCATCTACTGCTGAGGTATCTAATGAGAATGAAGATGAAGAATTTGATGAAGAAGATGTTGATGAAGATTATAATTCAGATACAGCGACTGGTGATAAAGAGAGTGTTGGCGATCCAGGCACTGTTGGTTCAGAAAGTTCAGATGCAAGATCTACAACCTCATCACAAAGAAGAAGACCAAGATCATTATCCAACAATTTTAATGCTGAAAATGCAGCAAGAAGAATTATCAGAACTATACCATTGGATCCTACACCGATTTCATTAAAAAAAGACGGTATTAATGATGATAGCCCTGGAAGACCTGGCTCTTCTTTGAAGAGTATCATTAGTAAACAATCACCAGATTCAACATCAAGTGTCACAAGTAAACCAAGTACATCTTTTAACAAGAAAACTACAAGAAATTCAACAACACCACAAAAAAAAGAAAAACTCAAAATCCTCAACAAGGTAATCTTCAATCACGTCATACACCAGATTCAAATATTCATCAATTCCCATTCCAACAAACCATGAGTAATCCTGCTACACAAAACAATTCCCCTTCAAATATTCCATCATTAGATATAAGTGATGATTGGACAAGTGATATGCTTTGGAAAGATGTTGATTCTGTGATGAATGATTTTGGATTCAATACGGATGATTTAGCAAAGATTCAAAATCCGTCAACAATTCCAAATGAAATTGATGGTAATCCGCAGGCTCAACAACCATATCAAGCACCTTCGTTATTCCCATATAATAGGTTTAATAACAGTAACAATAATTCGTATCAATAGATATCTAATTAATATATGAACGAGATTTCAAGCCTTTGGTATCAATGAGATACAAAGATTATTTATAATTGATATTTTACAATATGTAGAAAGAAATCTTTTTAGGAAAGTTCCATGTATATATTTATATAATGAGCTTCAAAGTGCTGAAAAGTCATTATTATTTGTAAAATAACTGTTTATCTTACAATCAATGTATGACTTTTTATAATACACTTTGATTGATGCGAAAAATTTTTTGTATGTATAAATTTTCTCCATGTTGAAGGAATAGAATTCGATGATTGAATTCTATCGAGTTAAAATTGAATAAAGTATGTTAAATACCTAGAATTGTAACAATATAAAAAATAGTTATAACTAACCACTTAATATGAAAATGGCAGTACCTGAAAACCTTTGAAACATTTGTCGTGAAATGTCTTGATGAAACGATATCTCGACAGCATTATCTCATTGTTATCACAGTCAATGAATTTCTATCATCTTTATGAGTGTGTCTCCAAGATTTTTTCATCAATGCCATAAAATAGAATGGCTAATAGCACATCAGCACTGAAGATCAAACCACCACTTATCAAATATGAAATCCATAACTTACCATGTGTAGCTAATTTTCCTGTAGCTATTGGTCCAATACATCTTGCAAATGTCTTACCAATATTCACGATACCCATACATTTTGTCAATTCATCAGGTTTGATTAATCCTGTTAATAAAACTTGTCTTGGAACAACATCCATTGCACTTGTTGAGTAAAATAATATGATGACAAATGCGGCACCCAAAAATTGTTGGATAAATGGTGTAATTACAAGAAAAATTGCACTTGGTACTTGAACTGCTAATGTTGCCTTGATTGGTCCTAACTTTTTAGCTAAAACTGATGATGGTAATGCAGATATGGAATTGACGACATTTGTTAAGAAGAATAAGACACCCAAAGTGGTTGATGTAATTAAGAAATGTGTCTTAAAGTAATAAACAACCCATGAACTTGACATGAATCCAGATCCTAATGAATCTAACATGAAGACACTTAATAATTTGATCAAGATACCAACAGTTTCTCTGGATAGCGATGATGACTTTTTGGTATCCCCTTGTTGATCCTCACGGTCTGATGAAACACCATTTGGTAATAATGGATCCTCCTCTGTATTTTGATGATGTGTCTCTACATGTGCACCATTCAATTCACAATTATCACTTAAAAATAACATCAATACCAATTTCAATAACCCAATACCCGCATAAATATAGAAAATAACACGGTAAGCTTCGACGTTTGTATACCCATTTTCTAATAATCTTCCCAAAAGTATACCGGTAATTAAAGAACCAATACTAGCACCAGCGGTACCCAATAACCAATGCAAGGCATAAACATCTGGTCTATCTTTTAAAATTGTTAAATGAGCCATTGTAGATTCTTCAATTGATTTGAAAGGACCAACTTCATCACCACTAGGACTTATAACACCAAAGATAGCAGCTGATAACAATACATAAAATTGATTAAAATTTGCAAAGACCAAACCGGAGAGAACCATCAATAATGAGCCTGCGATCATCACATAACGTCTTCCAAGTCCATCTGCATACCATGTCAATAGATAGGAAATTGCTGTATCACCAATCAAAGTCAAAGTCATGAATATCCCAATAAGACTCTCTGAAATACCCAGTGCTTTGAGGTACAACACTAAAACGATATTACTGGCACCGTAGGCCATCAAACGTAAAAACACACTAAACCATAGTAATTTGATATCTCTGTTTGCCTTAACTAACGTCTTGAATATGGACATTGTATCACAAAAACCTAATTAATCGTTGGACTGTTTTGATGATTTAAATGTTGAAACTTTCTGTAGTTGAACAGTGAAAATTCTGATTTATTTATACGTATTTTCTTCACCGGCTCTTACCATAAATGGAACAAATTCCGAGACTAAAAATGGAAAACTCGCGAATATTCATACAAAATCCTGATGTTTATTGATTGTGATTGTTGTGTATTTTGTTTCTGAAGCCACGAGACTATCCAGGATGGTTGCTTTCAAGAAGCAAAAGGGATCTTTGGGTACTGCTGTAAAATGGGATGGTATCTATAGAAGTACTGACGAAGAAGACGGTGAAGAAACGAGGTCTAGGGCGTTCAGATCATCAAGAACGAAGAGATATGAGTTCAAAACACAGGATAAGAAGGATTTCCAGGATGATGAGGATTTAGTCGAGGAACTGGCTCATATGAAATTGGTATCGAACTATAGGGACTTGACAGGTGGTCTAGATATACAATTGAAAGGATTTGAAGACATTCCTGAAGCTCCTATTCCTGGTAATACTGGTACCACAGTGGATAAAAAATCCAAGAGGAAGAAAGTCAAATTAGCGTATGATTATGAAGATGAAGACGAGCAAGATACACCAGAATTCGATATAAAACTCAAATCAGTTGATTCGAAAATGAAATTCCAGAAAAATATACCTAAAATGATGAATAAACAAACCACTGCGTCTAAACAAATCACAGATCCTATATACAAATCATTCATTAAAAAATTACATCCCGAGGTACCCAAAACTGAATACAAGTTACCAGAGGATTATCAGCCCAAGTATCACCTAAGTCATTCAAATTCATTACCATTATCCAAAAATGCAGCTACTTCATTACTAAGTTCAAGATTCACATCATCAAATACACCTCCATCATCGTCAGAATCTCAAGAAACAAAACAACAACAGCCACAAAGAACTGTACTCAAGATTGAAGTATCACCATTACTTAAAAAAAGATTAGGTCTATGACAATCTCTCTCTCAAATTATCCCAAAATCCTAGATCATAAATATTTTTCAATTCTTCAGTTGATCTGACTAAAGTTAATTGTTCTTTCCTTACAGGAATAGGTCTATTATCATTCATATTCATACCCAAGAAAATATCATCATTTGGTAAATATTCAAAATATTGGCCATGGTTATCTGTATATAATTCACCTGAATGGATTAAATCATGAATATTAAACCATTTTTGTTGTTCATTTGTAGTCATCCCCATATAAACTAATTTAAAACTTTCAAATGCAAACCAAGTAACCACAATATCTAATAATCCACAAATTAAAAACAATATTAGTTCATTTTGGAAATTTTCAAATTCATCATATCCTATGCTTTCATCATTGACAATGGTTTGAATTAAGTTAAAACTTATAATTGTGGCATAAGTCAAGACAATAACATTCATGATCAAGAATAAATAAAACCATTTATAATTCCCCTTACCAACACAATTATTGATCCAAACACAATGATGATCAAAGAATACGATGCACTGATCACATATTTTACAATGTTTAGACCTAGCAGGTTTCAAAACTTTGCAAGTTTTGCATTTTTGATCATTAAAGAATATTAAATTATTATTCTTGTATATGGAATTATAATACCGACTATTATCTGAATTCAATCTAACCGGTTTGGAATATATGGCAATGATCAAGGATAAAATCAATATGGTTAGCAATGTATTATATACCACAGTATTGGGGTTCTTGATCTTATGAAACATTGTTGTATAGAAAAACTCCACCAATTTATAAAATAATATGATGTATAATACCGGTACACTCCATCCAAACAACCATTTGAAACTTTTGAATAACTTCCCTCCGAAAAGTTCTTGCTCTTTCTGTATCACAGCTTTTGTTTTGTCTTTGAACCATCTATTCAATTGCTTTTCATACCTCCTTTAGTTTGGGTTAGTTGTTTGTCTTTGTATTTAATTCTCATTGTTTTATACTCACCAATAGACGAGAAGCCAGATAAGACACAAAATAAGCAATGGAAGCATGAAAAACAGGAAGATTTCTATAATAATCATTTTTCAAATATTTGTGTATCTAGACTCTGGATAGAATGATATTAAAGAAGTTATCACCTTGATATTCTTTTTTTTCACTGGTTTATTGTCATTTTGAGGTTTTGATGCAGATCAGCCATTTGGTATTTTTTTTCGACCATACCGTAAAAACTGAAAAAATCAGGTACAATTTCTTAAATTTAATTTGATACAAACCGATATACAACAGATCAAATAAAGATAGTGATTGGGAAAATAACGATGGAAGAATCAAGAAATAGAGATTATAGTGCTAAAATACGGAAAACTTTACTTAAACTGAAGTATATCTATGATTTGTGAGTGTGCTGTTTTGTATATGAATGTGGTGGGTCATATTTACTAACTGTACTTCCTGAAAAAGACAAGATCGAGAGATTTGGTATATCAATGTTGTCAAGTTAACAGAGGATGATATAAGGACAGTGAATAGAGATTTTGTTAAAAGGTGAGTTTACATTTGTTTTTTGTTTTTCCTTTTGGAATGGAATTGAATTGGATCTAATGTTAACAATTTCCAAGTCTCTCGAATGATATATATGAAATAGGGTTGAATCTTGGAAGTTCATTAAATGGAAAAGAATTAACAGTGGAACTATACAAATTTAATGAGTCACTAACGAGGTTATTGAGCTCTCATAATTTCCTACCGAAAGATGTTCATGATTTTGGTAGTGATTTACATACAATAGATAGTAATCAAGAAACAATACAACATGAAGAAGATGAAGATGAAAACAATCCAAAAAATCATATAGATGCGTCATTACTTATTAAAACAGTTATAAAATTACTTATTTTCAAATTATCAAAAATCATTGAAGTATTACAATCATCATATAATGGGATAAGTAAGATTGAAATAAAATTGATTGATGATATTTTAACTAAAAATATTTCATCAAGAATCTTGAAACCATATCATACATTGGTTCAACAAAGAGCAGAATCAATAATGTCAAGTATCTATTAGATCCATGATTTCTCCATACCCTTAAATAAAATAGAATGTTTATAGAATTCAGTAACATGTATTATTATTTATAAAATATATCCATAGCTTTCCTCCATACTAGAAGACATTGTTAGTAATTGATTCTTCAATTCTCCCTTCTATTTTTATACTCACTAATCCCTGCAAACCTTCTTCCTAACATTTTCCCAATCAATGGTAATATAACCCAACCAGCCAATGTTTTCAATTGATCCAAAGATTCTTCCCATTGTAATTGAGCATTAATCAATTTTAATTCATCATCTAAACTATCATCAGAATCGTATTCATAAGCATATTCATCATCATAATCATCACCTGAATCTTCTCCATCCTGTTCCTCTTCATCTTCATTCAGTATTTCGTCTAATATTGGATTTCTTTCTTGTAGGGTATATGGGGCATCTATTCCATCTTGTGGGATGAAACTTCCCTGTGGTATACTATTAGCAATGCTCTCTGCAAATTCACTCATATCATTCTATGTTTCTACCTTATAAAACTTCTGTTGATGAACTGCAAAATTGTGTTTTATCTATGGAGATTCTGGTTCATTTTGCCTTGTGATTTTGGTGATGTTTAGAAATTCCTACCCGCGATTTCACTATTTTTGGTGAAGATTCGGAGCATTTTAAGAGATTATTGACCATAAATGGGTGATATTTGAGCTAAAAGTCTGATTTGAAACGCTTATATACTTTATTGATAGTCTAAACTTCATATTTTCAGTTTTTCGATTCAAGTTAAAGGCATTTTTTCCCATTAAAATTACAAATTATAGCTATTTCTGATCTGAGTCTATACTGGCCCTACCAGCTTAGTCCTCATCGCTAATACAAAATTTTTCTTCACTTTATCAATATTGACACTTTCAAAAAACATATCTTTAATATTTCTACTCATATTTATATGAACATTTTCAGATCAATCAAGTCATTTTGGAGATACAAAAAGGTCATGAGTAACGTTAACCCAGAAGATTTCAACATTGTTAAAGAAGGTAAAGCTGAAATTCTTTTCCCAAAGAAAGAAGATGTCTTTTATAATCCAATTCAACAATTTAATAGAGATTTAAGTACAGCTTCTATTAGAGCTTGGTCTGAATTATATGGTATTAAAACTGTTAACAAAAAGAGAAAATTGAATAGTGATGAACCAAATCCTGAAAGAGTTCAACCTTTTATAAATATCTTGGAAGCTTTATCTGCAACTGGTCTTAGAGCTATTAGATATGCTAAAGAAATTCCAAATGTTAAGACAATTGTTGCGAATGATTTCAGTCAAGAAGCTGTTAATTCAATCAATAGAAACATAGAGTATAACCAAGTCAGCTCCACAGTGACTTCAAATAAAGGTGATGCAAGTGCTTATATGTATGAAACCAAGGCACAAAATAAATTATTCAATGTTATTGATCTTGATCCATATGGTACTGCAACTCCATTCATTGATGCTGCTATTCAAAACATTTCAAATGAAGGTTTATTATTAGTTACATGTACTGATTTAGCTGTTTTAGCAGGTAATGGATATCCAGAAAAATGTTTTGCACTTTATGGTGGTACAAATTTAACAGGTGATGCAGTTCATGAAAGTGCATTAAGATTAGTTTTAAATTCAATTGGTAATACAGCAGCAAAATATAAAAAGACAATTGAACCATTATTATCTCTTTCAATTGATTTTTATGTTAGAGTTTTCATTAAAGTTAAAACATCACCAATTGAAGTTAAAAATTTAGCTTCAAAAACAATGATTTCATATGTTTGTTCAGGTTGTGGATCTCATCATAATCAACCTTTAGGAAGACATACCACTAGAGAAAACGGTACAGCTAAATATAGTCAAGCTCAAGGTCCACCAGTTGGTCCAACTTGTCCATATTGTTCATTTACAAATCATTTAACAGGTCCAATGTATTCAGGTCCTTTACATAATAAAGAATTCATACAGAAAGTTCTTGATATTAATAAAAATCAATTAGATGATGATACTTATGGTACAAGAAAAAGAATTGAAGGTATGTTAACTTTAGCAATGAATGAAGTTGAAGAACCATTTTATTTTAAACCTGAAAAAGTTGCAAGTATTGTTAAATGTCAAGTTCCACCTTTGAAAACTGTGATTGCAGGTTTAGGTAACTTAGGATATGAAGCTTCTTTAACTCATGCTGCTCCATCTGCTATAAAGACAAATGCAAATTGGGAAACTATATGGTTTGTTTTCAAACAATATATTAAACAAAAAGCACCAAATGATGTTAATAAATTAAATCAAAACACTGCAGGTTATAAAATTTTAACTAATGAATCAATTCAAATTAAAGATAAAGAATCTAATGAAATTAAAGAAGTTGATTTCAATCCAAATGAATTAAGTGGGAAAGTGGAAAAACTTAGAAGATTAAAGATTGTTAGATATCAAGAAAATCCAACAAAGAATTGGGGTCCAAAAGCTAAACCTCAATAAGCATGTGTATATAGTATTTTAATATAGAAAATCAACTGATTGTCATGATTCATCTGTACATAGACATCATTGTATTGAAAAAAAATATTTTTATTTGTTTCTTTTCTGTATTCATTTCACTTTTTGTGCTTCAAAATTTGTTTCGTGATTTGGCTAATTGCTCAAACTTCAATCACCTAGTCACAAGGTATTTTTTCACGGGTCTGGAGTTCTCGGGGACTAGTCAGAAGCTCCTGAAGACTGAGCAGCGACGAACCCTTTCACTCCTGGCCAGGGAGTTACTCCTCGAGGAACGAAAACTGACATCTTGCAGAGAACCCATTTCATCCCCAGGACAGAAAGCCACAGAAGACCAAGCGGCGACAGCCCGAGCCAATGGTGAGCCCAACCCGGAGACTAGACTCAACTGAGGCTATTCGAAGGGACTGAAAACCGATATCTCTATGGCAATCTTTTTGTCCCACCTCGCCCTTATAGTCCCAAAAATTCCCGGGTTTTCTCCAGAAATCCCAAGAAAATGGAAGTGACGAGGTTCGAACTCGCGCCTCTTAATAGAGACCTGCAATTCCGGCTTTGGCACCACCGATCCGTGAGGACCAGTGAATAACCGTACCTGAAGCGGGCGCCTTAACCACTCGGCCACACTCCCTTGAAACCCACTAAAATAGGTATATTAGCCTATGTGTGTTGTATGATACCGTAAGGACAACAAAATGTGGCCGCTACCGTGTTCCCCAGATTATATAGATCATATACTTAACATAAAAGACCAATGATTTAAGACATTTTAAAGGTCTTCAATACTATCTACCGGATCTGTTTGAATTAGAGTACTATAGGGAATATCTACTGCGTATTCCTTGCACTCAATTCTCAGCACTCAAACCTTTATCGATGAATTATATATGATCATATATTGAGATATCATGGCCGATCAATTAGCTTAATTTAGATCATATTTCAATAGGATATATTCTTCTTGGAGTTGTTAAAATTAGATCTACTACTCATCAGGCTGCAAATTAAAAAAAACGTTATAATATTTTTTCCGATTTATATATATATTTCCCAATTATACATGATCATAGTTCATCATGAACAACTTCATTTTTAATTTCTTGTTCAGATTTTTCTTCAGATTCAGGTAATTTACAACCAATTGGTGATTTAACTCTAAAATGATATTCACATTTTTCTGGTTCAGTAACTGCAATCAATTCATTTTCAGCACCACAATCGATATTAACAACAGCTTGTCTTAAAGGACCATTCCAACATCTTGCACCATTAGTATATTTCAAAACCAATTGATGTTCTTTTGGTGAAATATCTTTAACTTCAATAGATTCGAATGAACCGATTTTAATGTTATTATTATGACCTTTTTGATGAACATTACCAGTGAAGAATAAATCATAATCATATTCACCAATGTGACCTTTAATAGCAATATCTTTTAATGGTCTTAAAATATCATGAGGACCATAATTTTTGGATAATTCTTCATTTATAGATTTGATTGCATTGTTTTGTTCATTGAAATCTTTATTCAATTCTTCAACTTGTACTTCTAAATCACTTTTAGATTCCTTTGGTTGATATGGTTGAATTCTATATTGTTCTTTTGATTCAATACCCAAGAATTCATTTACTAACAATCTGTATCTATATTTAAGTTTTTCCCAGAATGGACCATTTGTAGATGAAATTAATTTTGGTTTCACAGAACCTGAATTTGAACTAACAACATTCTTAGCTAATTCATTAATTTTACTGGTTTGTTCTTTAAACCAAGAAATGGTTTCTTCTGTTGGAACTTTGAAAGATTCTTTATTCACTGAGAAATCTTGAAATGAATTAACAGCTTCTTTAACATTTGGATCATTGAAATTTGGATTATAGTTATTGATCAAATGACTTAATAGATTTTCTAAATCAATAGCACGTTCATTTATAAAATCGTGTTTGATTAAATTTTCAGATAATGTTGTAGAAATTTCATCAAATTTAGATTTTATAGCAGAGGTATCACCATGATCTAAATCAATTGAGTTTAATTTATCGGTAATTGATTGTTTAATTGTATCAAATGTTTGATAAGTTGATGATTTTTCAGATTCATATTGTTCTTTATATTTTTCCAAATGTGCAAGATAATTATCAACTGTATCTTTAACTGCAGCATCTTTCAAGTTTTCATTAAAAGTTTGAACTAAAGCATCCAAAATTTTGCTTAAATTGTTCAAATTGTAAGTACTTGATGTAAATGAGTTAAATTTTTGATCCAATTCAGTCTTGATATTTTCAAAACTTGTTTTAATATCTTGTTTAGCCTTAACAACTGCAGGATCTAATTCACCAGCTTGTAAAATTTCTAAATCTTGTCTTTTCTTGTTCAATTCCCTACTCAAGAAGTCAAAAATTGCACCTCTGCTAACAATATCTTTTTCTAATTTATCCTTTATTCTATTAGCAGCATTGATTGTTTTTCTTAATTTTTCAACACCAATTTTATAAGTTTGTTCTTGAAGATTTAATTGTTTTTGATATTCTTTATTAATCTCATCACATTTACTTGGACAATCAACAGGTGTATCCCATTCATCAGAACCATCACAGCATTGTGAGTAGTCACAGCGACCATCATTTACTTGGGAAGCTTTAATATAACTTGGAACGTGGCCTTTATTCTCACAATAGAACTTCCCATTTGGACAAGCAGAAGTACCAGGTTCATCACTACCATCAGGACAATCACAATAATCATCATTGACTTGGTTGAAATCAAGCACAATTTCAGGATGACCTAAACATCTCCATTTCCCATCAGCATCTGGTTTGTATAGATCTTGTTCTATTAAAAGTCAGTTAGTTCAGTGTCCGATATCTCAATCAAGAATCTTGATCTTGACCACGTCAATGAATACTCACGATTTGGAGCGACACCAATTACTTTTGCAGAGACCACTGAAACTAGCGAAGTGGCCAATGCAATGTTGTTTATGAGCTTCATGGTTGCAATTGACTGCTTTGAATTGGGGTTTGTCTTGAATAGCTTTTTAAGGTGATGAACTGGATCAAAAGATGAAATGTTTTGAAGGTGTCTTGAAATATCGGAAAAGCTTCGTGAAGTTATTCGCGACGACTGGGTGAATATAATTTGGGGAATTAGGAGTAGAATATGATTTATGGGATAATTTTGGGCAGTTGAAGCTTGATATGTACTCCTGTGATTAGTAACTGTGGAGAATTGGCTGTCAAGTCTTTTAAAGTGAATTTTTGCATCAAATTTGCACTTTATATAACTTTTAAACTTCTTGAATGTTATAATAACTTTGACACATTTCTACTGGAAAGACAGTTTCCCGTAGTTCTTTGGCGCAAAAACTTTTGGAGTTCGATATCCTAACACTTTCTTCCTCATTCTAATGCCACCCTTTTCCCCTGAATTGAAAGCTTCTTTAATAACTCTTTTATCAAGCCTTCATCATTTTCTTATCGGTCACTTCTAGATACTGGAATATCAAGTAATACTAGATTATCTCAGCACACACTCAACATTTCCACACTCTAAAACATGGAAAGGAAATCTGGGCTCATTTCCTATACACTAAACACTAAAACTATAAGCTTTTTCCCCTTTAATTACCTTTAATTTTGCCATTTACTTTCAAAGCTCATCACTCGTCTTCCCAAAACTGCAACTTCCGACCATTTTGAAATTTTTCCACATAGTCGGAATTCGCACAGACGTTTAAAATTTTTATTTGGCAAAACATATAAACATCTATAAACAGTTCAAACACTTTGATCCACTGATACACGCTCCAAAGAACTTCTCTGTCCAATTACATTGCTAATTTGCTACAATTACATTCATAATACAACACATATCCATTTTCAAGCAACAGAAACAAGCAATTATAAGAGTTTCCACGCTGTTATTAATCCCAAATATTGACATATCATTAAGCTAAACTAAACATTTTTTCCCAATTACTATTGAATTATCATTACTTATATTATTATTATCTTTTCTTATTATATATTAACACTAAATTGATTGCCCAAGATGTCACAATTCATGATATAAGGGGCTGAAAGTGAAGAAAATAAGAGAAGTCAAAAATCAAATTTGAAAAGAGTATAGGTTATCACATATAAACTTTTTCCATTTGATTCCATAAAGAGGTTCAGGAGCGTATCATATTAATTAAATCATAAAAAAAACAGTTAAAAACAAAAAAAACAACAATCAATTAAAGACTATAACAGTTTCAACAACGTTATAACAGAATATAAAGTAAGTGTTCATATCTATTAACCCATTTTTTGTCCATAATGTTAACCAAGAAAGAATAGAATATCAACTAAAAAGAAAAACTACATATACAATATTACAAAATGGCTAAAAGTCCCGTTAAAAGTACAACACATTTAAATACAAAAGCTACAAAAGCACCAGGTAAAACCATACTTCCCAGACATAAATTTCAAAAACAGAGGAGATTTAGTATAATAGATTCTGATTCTTCATCTGAATTAAGTGAGTTTAGTGATGATGATGATCAAGAACAAAATGAGAAACCTAAAAAACCAAGCAAATCATTATATAATCATCATGGCTCAAATCATCAATTCCAAGGTAATAAATTTCATGCCATAGAATCTGAAAGTGAAGATGGTAATGGTGATGATAGTGATCATGAAGGAAGTATTTCTGCAAATGAACAATTATGGAAAAATCATCATAAACAGGTTGTAAACACTTCAAGTACATCAAGTGAAGGTGAAGAAGAAGATGACGATGATGACGATAGTGATTCAAATTCAAGTTCAGATTCAAGTTCTTCAGATGATGAAGATGTTGATTTTGTTAAATTAACTGCTGAAAGAAAAGCTAAAGCATTACAACATTTTAGAAGTACAAGTCCTTTCAAAGATCAACAATCCCCTTCAAAAGATTCAAAAGCCATAGAAGAAGAGCCAAAAGCTATTGATACTAATGATTCAAAAGATGTTGATTTTAGTTTCAATTTCAATAATGATGATCATCAATTGAGAATTGCTAATGAAGAAGAAGAAGATGTTGGTGAAGAATTAAATAACCACTTACAAGATTATGATCAATTAACTCCAAATACACATGGTATTCCAGGTGTTGATGAATTACCACACCCAACTATAGAATCTTCAGAATCTGATGATGATATAGATAAAGATGAACTATTACGTACTTTAGAACAAGATAGTGATGGTGTTGAAGGTGGTGGTGGATTTGGAAGTGCAAATGATGATGAATATGATTTATTACAACAAGAAGCTGATAATATCTTACATGATTATAATAATGGTGAAGGTTATGATGCATTATCATTACAATATAGTTCATCAAATCCAACACCAAGAAATTCTGTTGTTGAAGAAATGATTAATAAACATAAATCAGAAATGAATCAAGAAGAAGTTTTACAATTTGTTTCTGATGATGATTATGCAAGTGATGATGACGATGATGATTATTATAATGATGATGAATATCATGAAGATTTCATAGTTCCATTTTTTGATGATTCTGCATTCAAAGAACAATTATATACAAATGGGAATGTTGATCATTCAAAAAATCATCAAAAAGAGCTAGATAGTGATGATGATTCATATCTATGGGATTATTTTTTCAGTTCAGGTGATGAAAATGATGAAGAAGTTGAAGATCCAAATAATAATCATTATAGTGATGATGAAGCAACAGATGAAGATACTACATTACCACCACCTTCATCAAGAAAAAAAGTTGGTGCAAAAGCTCAAGAATTATTATCTTCATCTTCTGTCACTGCAAGACCACCTGCTTTAGGTACTTGGTCAACTGATTCTAAACCTTTTGGTATTATTGATGGATTATCAACTAGATCTTTAATTCCAAATTCAAATAAAAATCAATCACAACAATCAAATGCATCAGGTTCAACTAATCCAAGTTTGAATATCACAACCACAGGTGGTGGTGGTGCTAACTCATTAAAACAATCACCAAGTACACCATTAAATAACAATAATATTGAAGAATTAACTCTTGATGAGTTATTAAATATGAGTGAATTAGAAGATGATGATAATGATGAAGTTTTGAATCATGAAGATTGGTTAGAAGCTACAGAATCTACTAGAAAAGTTCCATTATCAGCTTTTAGAAATAAAGGTATAGTTAATGATGATTCACATATTAATGCAACAAGAAGATTTTCACCATCAAGTTCAGGACCAAATTCTAAAAAATCTGGTAAGAAACATGGTAAAAAAATTAATGAAATTACAATGACACCAGTTAGAGTTGTTAATAAACAACATAAACAGAGAAGAAAATCTTCAAAATTAAGAAGACGTCAAAGTATGGCTGAAGCTGCTGTTGAAGGTCTTAGAGTTACTAAAAGTGGATTGTTTTCTGAAGATACTTTAACTAATGTTGAAGAATTTTTAAGTGGATTAGGTAGTGAAGCTGAATTGAATTTACTTTTTCGTGAAGTTCAATAATCATCACCATCATCATGATCACTATGATATAGACATTTTTTACAATAATAATTACTAGTTTATTTTTTTCTATTTTCGTCAATCAAATTGTGGAATTGCGGTGTTTTATTTTTTTTTCAAATCATATCATTATTATACTTTATAAATATTTTAAAAGGGGGGTTTTAATTGGTTATGCTTATTTTTTTATAAAAAAAACTTTTGTGGTCTTTTTTATTCATTTGATTTTAAATTTGTGCTTTTACTTTTTATCATTAGAGAAACTGTTTATACATACAGAGAAAAAAAAACGTTCATGAATGTTAATTAACATGAATGATTGCAACTTAAATACATACTGGTTTATTAGAAAAGAAAACTAATTACATGGTTGTAGTGTTGTTAATCCGTAGTGTATAAATGTACATTAAATTATGAAACTTTTCACTTCAAATTTAGATTAAAGTGGTTAATTTAGCTGATAATTCTAATTGAGCTTTGACAGAACTTGCCAAGTATTCGATCATTAAAGTATCTTGTATATGATGGTTGAAAGATTTTTCTAATTGTTCTAAATTGATTGAATTTAAGTTTGTTTTCAAATTTGTTAATAAAAATTTAGCAAATTCTTCATCACCTTTAATTTCTTTCTTTTCAATTTGTTCAATATATTTTAGCGTACTTCCAATTAATAAATCAATTTTATTTAAATGATCAACCAATTGTTTTAAATCAACTGAAGAATTATCTAATGGAATGGTTTGAGAATCTTCTTGTTCAAAAACTGCACTTGAAGCATAAGATAAAACTGAATTTTCAGCAATATCAAAAGCTAATTTATTATTAATTGGTGTGAAAAGATATGAACTTGATTTATCTAATTTCAAATTAGCAGCAGTAGCACCTGAAGCCCCCACTGGAGATGCAATATAAGTATTTATAGTTGGAATTGAAGTAATTTCACCATCATTTTCATTTGATAAAGTTAAATGAACAGCTGGATGTGGGAAAGTACCATCAGCACTTCTTGAATAGAAATCATGCACTAGAGCAGTGAAGGAATCAACAGTAGAATTGGTTGAAAACCAACCCAAGACTGAATCTTTTGGATTTGATCTCTTGTGTAATTGATATAAAGATCTATGATGATATTCTTCAATGGTGACTTCATCACCTTCTTCGTGGTGTGGTACTATGTATGCATCTTTGATATCTAATTCTGAACCGTCGTCTGAACGAGTACCTAACAAAGTACCAATGACTCTATTACCTTCTTCTGAACGAAGGGCGAATTCTAATAGTTGGAAAAGAGCTGGTGATTGAATAGTGACATTGATTGGGGCGGTGGAAAGAGAACCGAACGCGTTGCTGACGTTTGGTCTCACAATGTTTAAACTTTGGGACATTCTGGATATCTATGATCTTTCAACAGCAATGAAGGTCCTTTGTCAATGATTGAAACTGGTTTAATTTGACGCTTTCCAATACATTTTGAAAGTTGTTGATTTCGTTTTTTTTCATCAGAAATTTTTTTTTGTAGCGCGGTATGTTGACTTCCGTATTAGGAAACTAAAGTGTAAGAGCTTTAATATAGTAAAGGTTTTTAGTGGATATTTAGTTAATCTTGAAGAAAATTTAACCAGAAAAGAGCTCAGTGTATAGAGGATTTCAACAGCTTTCCGATCCGCTAACTTCCATATCAATATCATTTCATTTGAGTTCACAATCACCGATTATCCTCCAAAATCCTCTATTTCCACAATTTTAATACCCGATGATAAAAAGGCGATAAAGTCAGCAATTTTTGAACATTTCGAAACTTCTTTGAACACCTTTCAAGATCCAAAAGATCCCTCACAAAGTAAGGGAATTGGAAATTATAGGATCAAATGTTCAGGTCCTTAGTCCAAAGACGGTTTGCCAGTAGTGCTACATCTGCTGCTGTGAAAAGAGCTGGTGTTTCTGGTTCAAATGGTTCATCTGGGGGTTCCAGATTCTTGAAGTTTACGGTATACGGTACTGGGTTCCTAGGAGCTGGGTTTTTGATTGATAAATACTATTTCGATTCAGCTTGGTCGAGAACTGCTAAATCATTCTATGTTCTAGCTAGGATCGGGTATGATTATAAGTTCAAATTCAATGAACAACATGATATTGCTGCTCTACATGAGGAAAATGCTGATAGATTTTTCAATTTGTTAAATGAAAACAAAGGTCTTTATATCAAGTTAGGTCAAAACATTGCTAACCAAGCATCTATATTACCACCTGCATTCCAAAAGAAATTCGCTAAGTTATATGACTCTGCTGCTGAAGATCCTTGGGAGAAGGTTGATATGATTTTACAACAAGAATTGGGTACTAATTATAATGATTATTTCAACTATATTGAGAAAAAACCAATTGCAAGTGCTAGTATAGCTCAAGTTCATAAGGCAGAATTGAAAACAGGTGAGCAAGTCGCATTGAAAGTTCAACATTACTATATTGCAAAGCAAATTGATGCTGATTTAATGACTTATAGAGTATTCACCAAGATTTATGAATATTTCTTCGAAATACCAGTTAGTTTTACATCTCAATACATTTGTGATCATCTAAAGGAAGAAGTTGATTTCAGAATTGAATTACAAAATGGTGAAAAGGTTAGAAAGTTCATTGCTGATGATGGTTATTTACATAATAAAGTTCATGTTCCTATAAATTATCAAGATTTATCAACAAAGAGAATCTTAGCTTCTGAATGGTGTGATGGTCTCCCATTAACTGATTATCAAGAGTTAAAAACACAATATAATACAAAAAAAATCATGAAATATTACCTTGAATTGTTTTCCAAAATGATTTTCCAATGGGGGTTTGTTCATTCAGATCCACATCCAGGTAATTTACTTGTTAGATATAATAAGAACACCAAAATACAAGAAATCGTACTATTAGACCATGGATTATACGTTGAATTTCCAGAATCATTAAGGTATGAATATTGTGCCCTTTGGAAAAGTTTGTTTGAACTTAATGATAAAGAATTGAAAAAAATTGCAATAAAATGGGGGATTGGTTCAGAACAATCAGATATGTTTGCAAGTTTTTCTTTATTAAAACCATATCATAAAAGTGGTGAAAACTTGGCAAAACTTTCAAATTTTGAAAGACAAGAATATATGAAAGAAAATTTCAAGAAATTTTTCCAAGAAACTGAGAAATTCCCACTTGAGTTAATCTTTTTAGGCAGATCTATGAGAATGATTCAATTATTAAATCAAAAATATAGAGCACCTGTTAACCGTATCAATTTGTTTACAAGAGAAGCTGTTAAAGGTTATTACTTAAATGAGCCGGATGTTAAACATCCAGGATTCTGGTATAGATTTGAACGTTCAATAAGGTATTCAATCTTTGTTGTAATACTGACAATTTCAGATATAACTTTTTATACATCAAAATTTAGTCAATATCTATTCAACACCAAAAATGTTGAGGATTTATTACAAGATCAAATGTTAAAACAAATGAAAGAATTTGGTATTGAAAACCCTCAAGATATTGATATATTTAGTGGTTGAAAATCATCACATATATCATTTCAATTATACATAGACTACATTATACTTGTTCATAGTTTTAGAAATACAAATCATGTTTATAATACAGATACAACTTTCCATTTGTTAGCAATTCCAATAGCCCTCTATTTTAATTACTTTATGACCAAAAAGAACCAATGTCAAGTTTAGACCATTTTTTGCTTAGGTACAAGTCAATTTAATAAAACCATTAGTATTAGTTTCTTTCCATTTACTTGATGCTTCACTTTTGGTTTTTCTTCCAGGTTGTTTTCTCGAGGCTTTTACAACTGGCTCTTTAATATTTACAATCTTTTTAGGTTGTGCTTTTGGTTTATCTGATTTGGGCTTCACAGATTTTGATTTTGATCTAGACTTAATTGATTTCGGTCTCTGAGCTATAGGCTTTCTAGCAACTTTAGACTTTCGAAGTTTAGATTCTTTAATTAAAGAAAGCTTCTTTTCAGTTTCTTGATCTTTGGTTTGTCCTTTTTGTTTCTTTGATTTAGGAATATCTTCATCCTCATCTCTGCTTCGTTTCTTAGTCTTAGTCTTTACAGCTTCTGCTCCATCTTTGATATCTGTATGAGATTTCTCTTCAATCTTTGGAGCTATTAAACTGAGATCAAATACCGATCCTGCAACTAAACGATTAATTTTTTCGTCAATTGATTCAATTGGTTGCTTTGTCTCTTTTTTATCAGCATTCACAATAACTTCAAGAGATGTTTTTGTGATTGTATCGATACCAACATCCTTTATGACAACTTTATCAGTTTCAATATTATTTAATGATATATTACCCATTTGAGTTGCAAGATCCAAGTAATCAAGCTCTAATTTTTCATCCTTGGTAATGGATGAAAGGCTTTCATATCTTGCTTTATTAGCAGGTCCAATTAATGGGTTGAAATTTGGTTTTTTAAGCTCTGACATTCTCAATTGTTTCTTTTATGTGTATTATGGTATAGAGTTAGTAGATAAAAAGGTTTGAGGAATTCCTTTCGAATGAAAGTTTTTATACTTTGAAAGTCGTATACCTCATCTAATCCCTCATTTGAATTATCTGTTGTGTTAATAACTAATATTCTCTGTATTTAGGTGCTCTTTTGAAAAGAACTCGCTACTATTAAATATCTCATATATATGTCTCACTCGGCCGAGAAGTGTGATGAAAATAGTATATTCTATTTTTTGACAAGTTATTGAACATTATTTACACTAATAAAAATATTTAAGCATATAAAAAGCCTCGAGTCACAGTTCTAACTCATTAAAAAGCTCAAATTTGCAATTTTATTTTCACAGAATTTGAAGTCTTGCGATTTTTAACTTATAATAAAGTTTTTAATGTCAACAGAAACTAGAATTCATAAATTTTCAATTTTCAAAAGGCGAAAATAGAGTAAATTTAAACTCTTATGTGGTAGATAATCCCAAAATATTACAGAGTGAGCAATTCAAAAGAGAATAAAATGAATTCTATCTCCTTTTAATACACAAATTTTCTTCACTATATTGTTGACTCGCGGATTCGTTTTATGTGTCTATGTATTATCTATCGGATTTTGTCGGACTACTTTGGAAGCTAATATAACATATAGAGTCGATTTTAACGAAAGTGTACAAGTACAGAGGTAATTTAATCTCATAATATATATGGAACTATGTCTGTAAGATAACAATAAGCATAAAGTAACCCTTATATTTCATTGGAATTCTTAATGAATAGCTCAATTTTACTCGTTTAAATATCTCATGTTTTGTCCACAAATTCAGATGAGGTATTAAACTGAGTATGCGAATTAGTCAATTAAATTAGAGCACTGAATATAAAAAGTATAAATAAACCTATTTCTCCATTTTATTTCAATTCATTTCACCTCTGATTGTTTGTTATATTCATCTACAGAACACTCCTTATCAAAAAAACACATAAGAACATACATATATAACAAGTACATAACAATGATTCGCTCTCACCAAATCTTTGAAAAACTTTTAAAGGTTTTCAATAAACTTGAAAAAAAAGCACCATGGATTAGAGAATGGTTATGGCATGAGATAGATCCTAAGAGTCCTTTACCACTTTTTAGGAACAGGGATGTAGTTGCTATTTACTACTTAAGGCCAATATTGGTTGCTTATTGGAGGTTCAAAACTTTATTCTTTCCATTGATGTATTACTTCAATTCAATCTCAATGATGGTATCTAACATGGTTCAGCTATCAGCAAGTAATCTCTCAAATCTTCTCAAAGGAGACCAAGAGCCTGTAACAATTAGAGAGGAGGAAGAAGGATCCTCAATTACTGGTATATTTCCGTTAGAGATATGGGAAAAGATTTCGAAAAAGGGTAACCTTGACATGAATAACTTATTACAAGTGAATAGTGTATTCTATCATCATTTTGGGAGAATGAGGTATAAAGAATTTGAAAGTGTTCAGCTCTTGCTAGTGCTTAGTACTACAAAAAAAATGAGAATGAGCGATGAATGTTTCTTAAAGTATGGTCCAGATTTTCCAAATCGACCATATGAAAGCTATAAGATCTATGAACGTCATCAAATAAGCTCAAAGTATGAGTATGAATTTCTAGATGTCAGAACCAGTCCAAAAGAGGATTTTTTGGCATATGAAAAATCAGATTCTATTATTATTTCTTCAAAAAAAGATATTGATTTCTTCATTGAGAACATCTTGACCAATCCAAATTCACCGTTGAAAAGATGCATAAAGAACCTTTGTATGGATGTTTCAATTTTAGACGGCTTTGGAGAGCTTATAACTTCACAGAATTCCAACATCAATCACTTTTTAAAAGAACTATCAACCCAAGGATGGTTGAACTGTATAAAAGCTGACTTGCCCGCTGTGAATGTTACAGAGTGTCATGATTACTTTAGTGGTTGTAGATGGCAACCACATCTTAGATCTTATAGCAGTCTTGGATTGTTTGCTCGGGGCCTTGAAGATTCAAATGGGAAGTTTCCCAAGAATGTCTATTATAAAGAATTGATGCCAGTTTCTGGATTCTTTGATCAATATAGTAAAAACGACAGAGTATCACAAATAGGATTCACTAAGGAGAGTCAAGTTTTGGAAAACAATCCATTTTCACGTTTCCTCAATTACTGCGATGGGGTTCCGCCGATTATTTATGATATGAAAGTTATACGAAAAGCAGGTAATATGTCTTTAAGTATAGATATAACAAATAGAGGATTTCTGACCGAGAAGAATGTTGAGTTGTCTTTCTACAGATTCATGAATTTAATAACTTCAAAAGAAGTTTGTGGTGATATAAATTCATCATTTTCAATTTTAGGTATGAAAGATAGCAAGCTAGAAGTACCACCAGATGACTTCCCATTGCTTGATAAACTTGTTGAATACGAGCCACAGATTGTCTTGATAAACAAACCAGCAACTAATGATACCTAAAAAATGTTTAATAACTTAATCTATATATATAGAAGACTGCTTCAAAGCTCATAATATATACAAAATTTATAAAGTTCTGTCATTTTCCACTGTGTAGATATAAGATTGGCGAATATGTACTTTGGAGATAATTAAAGTTTTAGAACCTCCTTCATAAAAATCCAATATAGTTGACAAGATTTCCAGTGGCAATTATTCTTTTAAAATGTATTCTTCACCAATACCAAAGCTTTAGAGACAAAGCAGAAAGGTGTTAGAAATTGGGCTCTTCATCATGTCAACTGATCATCTCATCCAGGTTATATTACTACACACAAAGACATTTGAACTAAAGGATGTTTATGAGTCTAATTTAATCAAGGTTACTGCAAGTTTGGTTTTAGATGATCAAAAGAAGCTCAGAACCAACTTTGATGAGATCATTTCCGTTTCTACAAATGAAAGAATCAACTCTACCAAACTAAATTGGTTAAATAGCCACATTTACAATCTTTTAGGTAAGTATCATAATTATTTTAATCATCTACATGTTTTTTTGTTTAATCAAGAATATTCAGCTAATTAGTTTTAATAATAAGATCGTATAGGGGTATCAATGACTAAAATTAAAGAAATTGGTGTTCCAGCTGTTCTAGATTTACTGAAAGAAGATGTCAATATTTTACACAAGACCCCAGCCATAGTTGAAGTAGATCTAACTTTATTTTTACACGTTATGGAAAAAGTTGATTTGAAATTTGACATATATCAAAGATTGAATGAGATCAATGATGACGTTGCAAATGACTTCATAGCCAATTCGCCTAGTGCGTTGAGTAATGAAACTCTAGACCTAATCGACGAATTATACTCCAATTTATTTCATTATTTGGATTTGGGTATTCAAAAGAAGCTAGTCAAAGATCAAATTGAAGGAATATCTGACAAAAACTACCAGAGAAAGGTATCGAGAGTTTTGTACGACAATATATATTGTTACTTGAAGGATTTGGAATTATTAGATCTATATATACCTATGGTGAAGAGATTAGATAATTCACTTGCTCTTCTTTTACAGTCCCATATAGAGTCATTCAAGAAAAAAATAGAAGAATCCGAGGACAATGCACAAGAAACTGTTGGTAATGGGGATATTACGCATTTTGATGAAGGTGATTTAGCAGTTTTGTCGTTAGGTAGACAACATGTATCTCCAAAAGATCAATAAACAAAAGCTTCAACTGAGAATCTAGCCTAAACAATCGCTATTTATGAGCTTCAAGATTAGCTATGATATTTGAACAATTCAAATTTTATTTTCTTCTCCACTACCACCTTCCACTTTTCAAATTTTAATAAATATTTATGGCAATATGTCAGATATTGATATTCAGATCATGTTGATGCTGTAGTTCCAATTGAATTTCGACGCAAATGATAAAATAACTTCCCTGAATAACAACTTGAATTCTTCACGAAACATCAATATGGTATCATAGTAATCACTGAAGACTTCAAAGCTTCCCAAATTCCAACTAACTCCCCTTTAAAAAGTTTGTTGTATTATATAGTATACATAATCATGTAATTCCCTCACTATACTATGTATTGACTCGCGAATTCGTTTTATGTCATCTATCGGATTTTGTCGGACTATTTTGGAAGCTAATATAACATATAGAGTCGATAAATACAAGTATACTAGTACAGAGGTGACGGTCCACGGAGCTTCATATATGAGAGTAAATTGGTGAGTACTACTTTCATATATTGATACATTTTAGCGGTAAATTGGTGAGTAAATTACTTTCATATATTGATACATTTTAGCGAGATCATGGAAAAGGTCTCAAAATTAGATCAATAGTGTTGTAAAAATTGTATAATGACTAATGACTACAGACTTTTAATTCAACCCTTTGAAACCTTTTTTGAATCAAGAAAGAGAGGAAATAAGAGAGCTATCACAAAATGAAAGGAAAAAACTGTATCCAATCGTGAAAACTCTCATATTTGACCTCATGTTTTGCTAAAAAATATTGAGTTGAAAGATGAGATGTTCAAACTCATGAGTATGCGTTAATTAAGTGAGATCACTGAATATGAAACGTATATAAATAAACCTATTTCTCTGTTTCATTTAATATCTTAAACTCTAGTTCTTTAATTTATCTACAAATACTTCACAACAAAAAGTTATAACAGAACATACATAACAATGATTCGATCACACCAAATATTTAATTACTTTTTGAAAATCACGTCAAAGATCCAATATAAATATGCATGGATTGAAAAATGGATATGTGAACAAAGAGATCCTATTCGCTTTCCATATAGTACAAATAGGGATATGATTGCTATTAACTACTTAAGACCAGTATTGGTCGCTTATTGGAGGTTCAAAACTTTATTCTTTCCTTTAATATATTACTTTAATTCCATCTCAATAATGGCATCTAAACTGCTTCAGCTACCAGCATTTATTGTTTCAAGTTTCTCCAAAGAAGAAGACCAAGAGCCTGTAATTATTAGAGAGAAAGAAGAAGAAAAAGGATCTTCAATTACTGGTACATTTCCATTAGAGATATGGGAAAGGATTGCTAGAAAAGGTAATCTAGACATGAATAACTTGTTACAAGTGAACAGTGTATTCTACCATCATTTTGGGGACATAAGGTACAAAGAATTTGAAAGTGTTCAACTCTTGCTAGTACTTAGTACTACAAAGAAAATGAGAATGAGTGATGAATGTTTCTTAAAATATGGTCCCGATTTTCCAAATCGACCATATGAAAGTTACGAGATTTATGAAAGACACCAAATCAGTTCAAAATATGAGTACGAGTTTTTGGATGTCAAAACTAGTTCAAGAAGTTATATATTGACATATGAAAAATCAGATTCCATTATTGTATCTTCAAAAAAGGACATTGACTTCTTTATTGATCACATCTTGACTAACCCTAATTCAAGATTGAAAATATGCATAAAGAATCTCTGTATGGATGTTTCATTTTTAGACGGATTTGGAGAGCTCATAACTTCAAAAAATTCCAAAATCGATCAGTTTTTGAAAGAAGTATCAGCTCAAGAAGAGATAAATTGTATTCAAGTTGACTTGCCAGCTGTAAATGTTACAGAGTGCCACGATTACTTTAGTGGCTGCAGATGGCAACCATATATCCAGTCTTATAATAGTTTTAGCTATTTTGCTCGGGATTTTGATGATTTCAATGGAAAGTTTCCCAGAAATGTGTATTATAAAGAGTTGATGCCATTGTCTGCAATTTTTGAACATTACGGTATAAATAATAGAATGTCTCAAATAGACTTCACCACAGAAAGTCAACTCTTAGAGAATCATCCATTCTCACGCTTCATCAGTTACTTCAATGATATTCCAGCTAGATTTCATTACACCAAAAATATACGGAAAGCAGCTTTAATGTCATTAAGTATTGATATAATACACCGTGAATTCTTGGGTGAACAGGATGTGGAGATGGGTCTCCGCAGATACATAAATTTAATTACTTCAAAAGAGGTTTGTGGTGATATAAATTCATCTTTTTCAATTTTAGGTATGAAGGATAGCAAGTTAGAAGTAGCTCCAGCTGATGATTACCCAAGGGATAATAAACTAGTTGAGTACGAGCCACAGATTATCTTGTTAAACAAGCCTTTGATTAAAGCAACCAGTGATGTTTAAAAGACAATTATTCGTTTGAAATATATTGAAAACTCTATAGATTTCTGTCATTTTGTAGCGTGTAGATCTGACCGATTGGCGGCTAATCTAAACTTTTGATTTAAAGTTAAAGTTTATATAACTTGCAATATGAAAATGAAAATTATCAGGGAGCTTTTCAGTGGCAATTTCTTTCATTATGATTTATCCAATATCAAAAAACTAGATATCAGCGGCAAGATAAGCTAAGATCTCAATGTCTACACAATTTAAAAAAGGCTTCTTTACCAAAAGTTTCAAAATTGACAAGCTGATTTCCAAAGAGGGCGATGTCAATGTTACTGCTACTTTAATATTTGAGGAAGATAAGTTAACTACAAAAATTGACAAGGTTTCAACTATCACAGCTGGTAAAATAGCTAATTTAAGCTCTTCTAAGCTAAAATGGTTAAATGATGAAATTCCACAAAGATTAGGTATGTACAATTATAATCATAGTAATTTATTGGTACATTTGCATTGAAACTTTACTAACCGATTGTATTCATTTAGAACGCGTTGGTATTAAATCAAATGATTCACAGAAAATACAAGAAATTGGACCTCTTAACATTATTCAGCTATTTGAAGAAGATCAACAACAAAAAAGTTTCCAAGAGAATATAAATTCATCTTCTATAGATCGGGAGGATATTTATTTATATTTAACCATTTTAGAAAATATTGATTTGTGCAAAGAAGTCTATATGATATTACAAGAGATAAAAAATGAAACACTTGCAGATGTAAAGGATATTTCCCCAGAAGCATTAGAAAACTCAACTTTGGATATGATTGATGACATATTCCATTCAGTCTTTGAAGATTTAGACACTAAACTATTGGAAGATTTAGTTAACCATAAACTCCACCCCTGGTATACTGCACAGGTTAAAAGAAAGATATCTCAAAAAATCTTTGTGATTCTACAACAATTAGATTTAACAGAGATTTATCTTACTGTTGAAAAAAGATTGGATACAAGGTTTTCATTAGCTTTACACGAGAAGGTTGAATCTTTTATAAAAAGATTAGAATCAGATGATGATACACTTAAAAAGATTGATGAAATTGAAGATACATCTACTGATATTATTAAAGATTTATCTAACTTATCTTTTAAATCCTCTGCAAAGGATAAATGATTAAACAAAAACATCAAATGAAGATTCACCAGATTACCATATTGCTAATTATCATGTGCTTTAATACCTATTCTATTTGCACCCCTCAATGCTTCACTTTCTTTTACACTTTTCACTTTTCTCTCTTTTAATTTCAATAAATATTTATGGTATGTCTGATATTGATGATGCTATAGTTCCAATCTTAACCCCCCTGGTTAGCAGAATGCATTATTCTTGAGACATTATGGACACCACTGAACACAACAAGGCTTCTCGTTTTCAACTAAAACCTGTTTAAAAAGTTTGTTAAAATTGTAAATTAATTTGGTGCTTATACCCTCGCGAATACGCGAAAATATTACATAAGCGATGAGCTCAAATTTTTTTTCATGTATAAACAAATTAAATTAAATTTGAAAAACCCGAAAGTATAACAATTTGATCCATCTAAATCTTTTGAATCTAATAGAAATCATATTTTCAAAGATGTCATTGAAGACCACATATGCTAATACAGAACTAACACCTTTCTACGTTGGTGGTTCGTTAGCTTCATTATCTTCAGATGGATCTATTCTTGTATCTGCAGTTCTTGAAGATGTTGTTATAACAAATTTAATAACTAATGAAGTTCAAGAAAAATTAGAAGGTGATGGTGAAATTATAACTTCTTTAGCAATAACACCAGATGGGAAATATGTTTGTATGATATCTCAATCTCAACAGTTGAAAGTTTATAATTTACATGAATCAAAATTTATTAAAAATTTAAAATTATCTTCACCAGTTTATGTTTCTGATGTTGATGAAACTTCTACTTTATTAGCTCTTGGTGGTAGTGATGGTGTTGTTCAAGTGTTTGATATTGAAAATGGTTATATTACACATTCTTTTAAAGGTCATGGTTCCACAATTTCTTCATTAAAATTTTATGGTGAATTAAATTCATCAAATTGGAAATTAGCAAGTGGTGATACAATGGGTATGATTAAAATTTGGGATTTAGTTAAAAGAAAACAAATTGTTTCATTACAAGAACATAATAATGCTGTTCGTGGATTAGATTTCAATAATGATGGATCAATATTCATAAGTGGTGGTCGTGATGATGTTTTATTAATTTGGGATACAAAATATTGGAAATTACGTAAAACTATACCGACAAGACAACAAGTTGAAACTGTTGGTTTTATTAATACCCAAGATGGTGAATTATGTTATACAGGTGGTGGTGATGCAATTTTCAAAATATGGAATCCATCAACTGGTGAATTATTTACACAATCTAAGAAACCAATTGAAGAATTAATGATTATTGGAGTTTTACATACTGATAATGATGTTATTTATTTAGTTTTATCTGATCAAACATTATTTGAAATTGATTTATCAACATTAGAACAAAATGAAGAAATTATAATTTCCAAGAAAATTGCAGGTAATCATGGTACAATTGCAGATATGAGATATTGTGGTTCAAATTTAAATAAATTAGCATTAGCAACAAATTCTCCAGGCTTACGTATAATAGATCCATTAGGAGCACCATTAGAAGTTGAAATCATTGAAGGTCATTCAGATTTATTAAATGCAATTGATGTTTCATCAGATGGATTATGGTTAGCAACTGGTAGTAAAGATCAAGAAGCAAGATTATGGAAATTTAGTGAAGATGAAGAAGAATGGACATGTTTTGCAGTTTTTAAAGGTCATGTTGGTGGTGTTTCAGCTGTTGGATTACCAAGATCAGAAACTAATGGAATTGCACCAAGTTTCTTATTAACTGCATCAAATGATTTAACTATTAAGAAATGGAAAATTCCAAATCCAAAAAATTGGAATGGTGAAATACATGAAGTTCGTGCATCTGAATATACAAGACGTGCACATGAAAAAGATATAAATTCATTAGATATTTCTCCAAATGATGAATTTTTCTCAACTGCATCATATGATAAAACTGGTAAAGTTTGGGATTTAGAAACTGGTGAAACTATTGGTGTTTTAAAAAATCATAAAAGAGGTCTTTGGGATATTAAATTTTGTAAATATGATAAAATTTTAGCTACTGCATCAGGTGATAAAACTATTAAAATATGGTCATTAACAAATTTTACATGTTTGAAAACTTTAGAAGGTCATACAAATTCTGTTCAAAGAGTTGAATTTATAAATGATTCTAAACAATTAGTATCAAGTGGTGCTGATGGATTAATAAAGATATGGGATCTAAGTACAGGTGAATGTATTAAGACACTTGATGCTCATGTTAATAGAATTTGGGCTTTAATTGTTAAGAATAATGGTGATGAATTTATAAGTGCAGATGCAGATGGTGTTTTCCAAATATGGATTGATAATAGTGAAGAATTACAAGCTAAAGAAGAAGAAGATAATAAATTGAAAATAGAACAAGAACAATCATTACAAAATTTTATAAATTCTAAAAGATGGGGTGAAGCTTTCCTTTTAGCATTAACTTTAGATCATCCAATGAGATTATATAATGTTTTAAGATCAAGTATTGCAGGAAATAATTCAAAAGGTGAATTCATACTTGGTGAAGAATTAGATCAAGTTATTGGAACTTTAAATGATGAACAAATTATTTTATTATTTAAAAGAATTAGAACATGGAATGTTAATGCCAAATTTTTCCAAGTTTGTCAAAAACTAATCAAGATATTATTATTAAAATTTAGTGTTGAAAGATTAATTGAAATTCCTGGATTAGTTGGATTAATTTCAAGTATTATTCCATATAATGAAAGACATTATGAAAGAATTGATGGATTAGTTGAACAAAGTTTTATATTAGATTATTCATTAGAAGAAATGAGTAAGATATAGATTGTTAATATATGCATATAGTCATTGATGTGTGTTGTAGATAATATTAAGAGCATATTACATCATAATACCACAATTTTATCTCATATGAACAATCCATTTCCATTCTATAGATCAATATGATCTAGGCTTTGAGATTTATTGATTTCAATCAATAATTGAAACTTCAATTATTCCAGAAATCAATTTCAAAACATAAGACAAGGCCAAAGAGAACAGATAACAAAATTTAAAATCAATTCAAAAACATAACTTTAAATCAAAAGGATTCAAAATCATATTCTAAATCAATTTATAAAATTCGCATCTTCTACAATAAAATGTTCATTGGATCGCCCAATTATTACGAATAGAAATCATAGGTGGCTCTATATTTAATTGAGCACTATAATGATTCCCCAAAATGTAAAGCAAATTGCTTTAAATTAATATATAAACAAAACTAAAACTAAAACCAAAAAACAACAAATGTACAAGTGAAAATTCATAAAGCATCATGATAGTTTAGAAAAGACAAATCTATTCATCACTGATAACACCTTTTTCACTAACATAAATACCATCCAAGAATTTTCTAATATCTTTATTTCTAACTCTACAAATTTGTTGAATATCAGCAGCATTTTGTGAAACATCTTCAACAGAGTTACCTAACAAGACAATTTCATCCTTTTGATTAGCAGAAAATTCAACAGAAACACCTTCTTTAACAGGAACTTGTCTAATTTGTTTATCACCCAAGAAATTTCTAATTTCAATTAATTTTGAACCATCATTTTCCACAACATTAACATTAATTGGGAAATGTGCATAAACATATCTTAATTTATATTTATAACCTTTAGTAACACCAGTAATCATGTTTGAAATTAATGATTTAACAGTTCTTAAAGCAGCAACATGTTTTCTATCACCATTATGAACAGTAATTTTAATTTGTTTATTTGAAATTTTGGTAAAAGTAATATCAATATGTCTTAAATTTTTAGTTAAAGTACCTCTTGGACCAGTAACAGTGATGATTCTTGATTTGATGTTAACTTTGACACCTTCTGGGATATCTAAGACTTGATCAGTTTTAATGTATTTCATTTTGGGTACTGGATTGGTATTATAATATTCAAAGTTTCAAACTTGGTTAATTAGAAAGAATAAAAGGTGAAAAGTTTTCAAAATGAAAAAGTTTATGGTGTATAAAAAAAAATTGTTTGGAACAAAAAAAATCGCGAATTTGAGGAAAAAGGAGGGTAAATTACAATCTCGTGAATATTACATAAGCAATATAACCAAAAATGTTTTGTACTCATTTTATTTCAATTAATACTCAACAAAATCAGTAAAGTGAGAGAATATAAGCAATTGAGATGGTTTCATACATTGGTATCCATTTGAGTTATATAACACTGTTTCATCAAAAAATCATCAAATTGTATGGTAATTTACCACCACTCTAAGCCCTGTTTCACTGAAACCAAGCTAATTTCTTAAATCTCAGCTGATGCATGATATACAATCTCGGAGTCATGAACTTGTGAACTTGTGGGTATAAAAATATGAAATGTGGTGGTTACATGATCAATTAATAGTTTATCCATTTCTCCATTGATGGATTATTTCATAGCAATTGCTTAGCTTTTGATAGCAATTGTTAGATAGGTGAACTGGTAAAGTACTAAAGTTTGTACGCTAAATTATCGTATGTTATTGTAGATCATGATTTACTATAAAAGGGGTTCGTGTAGAGATTCCTTATGTTGATTATACATTTGGGTACAGATGTCACTTAACTTACAACTTTCAATCATCAAACTGAACCTATAGCTTATGGCTTATGATCTATGAGCTATAGACATAGTTATGTTATAGTATATGACTATCTACAATATCAAATTTCATAAACCAATGTCATCTATTGTTTAAACATAGCAAATTTAAAACTAAACCTGTAGTTTCTATATATTATTGAAATAAAAAATATGAGCTTATTCAATATGATTATAAACCAAATGTAGCTTTTGGTTTACCATCATCACGATTTGATAATTTTAATCTATCAACACCTTCACTAACAGCTTCTTCATCATCACCAACAACTTCTTTTTCAGTCTTAACAACTGGTACATCAACTGCAGATTCATTCCATTCTTTCAATTCCAATTGATGTTCACGTTCAATAGCATATTTAACAGCTTCCAAGACATTTTCACATGTATGTTTTGGTTGATATTTTGGAACTGAACCATCTTTATAAACACCAGTCTTAACTAAAATTGAATGCCATGATGTATCATGAGAATTTGCAAATCTAATATCTGATTCTGGAGTATCACCAACAAAATAAACAGTTGATGCAGGTGGTAAATCTAATGAAACTTGACCCAATTTTTGAACAGTTAATGGTTCATCATCATCTTCTTCATCTTCAGAATCTGAATCAACAAAATCACCATTTTGCTTTCTTAAACCTTCATCAACTTGTTCTGCAACATCATCATCTTCTAAATCATCATCATTTAAATCATTCTTTTCTAAATAATCATCCAAGACATCTTTTCTCCATTTACCTAAAACTTTATTTGCATAACGGAAAGTACCACGTTGAGGTTTACCAAATCTTGTAACTTTTAATTCTTTACCAGTATGTTCTTGATATAATGCAGCAATAGAAACTTGTAAAGCACCCATACCATATCTTGTTAATTTATAATCTGTAGCCCAAACAAAATCTGAATGAGCAAAATATATTGGTGGACCTTGATCAAAAGTTTCTGAAATTGTACCCATTACACCCTTTTTAGATAATAATAATTCCAAAATAATTTGTTGATCAGCAGCCCAATTTCTTGAATCTGCAAAAACCAAAATACCATCAATTGGAATCTTGGAGAAATCAGCATCTTTGGTAACTTTTAAATCTTCTTCAGTTAAATTATAATATGGAGAAACTGATGGATTCCATTTCATAATATCTAATGGAATATAAACATTTTTAAAACCATATTCTTCAGCAACTTTACGACAAGTATCACCAACACCACCAACAACCAAGACATTTTTATAAACATTAACTAAATCTCTCATTGGAGTATGACCTTGAATAACTTGATCTTGAGTAACTTCAATACCTAATCTTGTTGATAATTCTTTACATCTAGCAGCTTCAGAACGACCACCACCATTTGTAATAAAGATATATGGAACTTTAATATTATATTTATTTTCACCATTTAATAATTTTAAAGCTTCAACAGCTTCTGGAATAGTTTCAGGACCACGAACAATAACACCATCAATATCAAAAGCAAAAGCATAAGAAGCAACACGTTGATGATCAATAACTTCTCTCTTGGTACGAATAACTGATGAACCACGTCTTGAACTTGAAAAAGATGATTTAGAACCTGATTTCTTTAAATTTGTACTTGAATTTAAATCAGTCAATTTTGTCATTGACCCACCCCATTGATCACTTAGAGAAAGGGATGAGACTCTTTTAGCTCTTGTTGGTTTCAATTCATCAATCCCATCATTGTTTAAGAATGATGTAGACTTGTGTATCGACATTGTTGTATAATAAAATAATCAATAAAATCTATAATTACTGATCAAAAATTAATAAAAGTAAATAAATTTTAAGGAAATTCACTTCCTTATATATTAAAAATCTCCACGTACTAAATTTGAGAATATAAAAATTCGCGAAGACGTCACCGAATTTTCGAGAATTGCAAAGTTGCTAAAAAAGTGAAAATGCGCATAAAAAATTGCTAAAATAGGCTATAAAAATTAGACTGCATTGTTTTAATTTACTATACAAAAATATACAAAAGTATTCAATTGATGGTTAATTGATTGGTTATTTATTCAATTGATTAGAAAATAAATGGAATTAAAAAAGATTTCTTTGTTCCATATTTTTGTTGTTTCTTAATACTCCAAAAATACATTTGTGTAGCTCCAACAGCTAAGAAAATCAATGTAAAGATATTTGGATTTAATAAGAAGACACAAATCCATCCATAAATTTCCATTGTATAATTTGGACTAATGAAAATTTCAAAAAATCCTCCAGATGGTGGAGTTCTTGGTAATCCTTTTCTAACTGTTTTATCACCTAATAATCTTAATTGAATATGTGTAACTGCATTGAAAAATTCAGCTCCAACCCAAATATAAAAAATATAATCTGGATTTAAGTATTTTTCTAATTGAGGAATTGATAAATTACCTAAATCTAAATACATTAATGATAATGAACCACCAAGAACCCAATAATGGAATGAATTTTTAAATAAATTAAATAATGGCATTGTTGAATTTGAAAATTTATGAACTAAGACATTTTCAATTTCTCTTTTACCATAATGAATTAAATTCATTTGATAAATTAATTTATATGAGATTGGGTTTTGAGCTAAATAATTATAAATAAAATAATGAACCAAAATTGGACCAAAATATTCAATTAAATAAACAGTTCTCCAACCAATTTGTGGACCAATATCTTTAACATAAACCTCGGTTTGATCCAATAACTCTTCATTTTTATTAATTAATTTACCATTAATTGATGTAATTCTTAATCTATTCTTGTTTAATTTTGAATGAGTAGATAATTGTTGTACCAGGGCATTATAATCTGGTTTAACCAATTCAATGGTTGTTGGTTTGATGTTTTTACTTCTTGGATTGACTTTGATAGAACCCATTGTGATCAATTGATAACCCTAATTGTTAACTTTCAATTGATTCAATTGATCATTTCTGATCTGATCTTAACAAAAAACCTGTTGAAAATCCAACAAATTCAAAAAAATCACAAACTTGATGATGTAATTGATTAGGTAATATCATAGATTGTTACCCTCTTTTCACGAAATATCTGTCATTTATTTCACTGTTCAATAAATTTGTTTTTTAAATTTTCGCGTTTTCCTTCGCGAATGCTGGTTTACTTTACTTTTATTTAAGTGAAAAGTTGAATTAAGCGCTAGAAAAGAACTACTTTGATTATAATCAAATAAGATCAAGAAACTAGACTATTATTAAATACAAGATGAAGTTGGTACGCTTTTTAATGAAACTAAACAATGAAACCGTTCAAATTGAATTGAAAAATCAAACCATTATTCAAGGTACTATAATATCAGTATCACCAAATATGAATATAATTCTTAAAAAAGTTAAAATGAATATTAAAAATCGTGATCCTCAATTATTAGATTATATAAATATAAGAGGTAATATGATTAGAGATGTTATATTACCAGATTCTTTAAATTTAGATGTTTTATTACAAGAATCTTCAATTGGATTAAATAATAAAAAAAGAAAACAAGATTCAACTACAAGTGTTGGTGGTGGTAATGTTAAAAGAGTTAAAAGAGGGTTATAGAAGGGAATATTGTTTGTTATATTGAAACCCGGTGTTCTTTACTTATCAGCGTGCTTTGTTTCAAAGTGACTACTATGTTATGGCTAATGAATTGTATACTAGTGTAAATTAGATTTCATGTATTATATTATATTCGTAAGCTCATTAATCACTATCACTATCATCCTCATCTGAACCATCACTCTCATCATCACTTTCATCATCACCATTGGTCTTCATATATGGTAAATTCAAACCTATAAACATTTCATCATTTAATAACTTATCAGCAATTTCATCAACATAACTTAATTTATATTCTCCATGTTCATATAATCTAACTTTTCTATAATCATTCAATTGTTTCTTTAATAACCCACCATCTCTATAAACTAACCTTATGAAAACCATTGCTAATACTTTCAAATATTTAAATTTCCCTTGATTTAAATAAAATTCAATAATTTCTCTTTGAGGCATCAATTGAATCAATTTAACTAATAAACAAATAAACCCCATTGGTTTCCCACTTGTCTCAAGACCACCAACACATCGTATCTCAACACAACGATCCAATATTAAAGCAGCATTAACATTAAAACAATATTGTTTCCAATATAAAGAATCAAATATTCGTTCTCTTATGATTTTTTCAATTAATAAGATGGAATTTTGTCCTTTATGTGTGGATTTTGATAGTTCTCTATCCACAATGATTCCCTTTCCAACCATGGCCTTTATAATCCTTTACAATTCTCAATAATCAATTCAATTTTAGTGGATTTGATTTTAATTTATATACAAAATTTATTTATGCCCTAGTTTATAAAAATTCGCGAAGTTTTCAGATTTTCAGAAGTTTTTTTTTTTTTTTTTAAAGTGCAATTTTTTTTCAGGTATAAAAAGAACAAAAAATTTTCCATCTGAGATTTTACTTTTTATATTACTAGAATTTATCAAAAATACTCAAAACAATCATGGTTTTTCAAGATTAGATGTATTATTTGATCAGTGGATCAATAGAAAAGATATACAAATTGTACGTGCTCCTCAAAGATTAACAATAATACCAAATTTCAAACAAACAAAATGCTTTTTTTATGATGATAACGTTGTTCACTTCTTTCCCAGTCCGATTTCGACCATGACGAATTGGGATACTAACATGTCTTTAAATTATCGTGCCTTGTGCCGTTTTTTCTATGACCTATACTTGCCAGTATTAACAATCCTGATCATTTGTTTGGAATTTGGTATATTATGTCTATTTTATCAAGGTTATGTTACTAACTATTTCAAAGAGAGTTCTAATTTTAGTGATTTTATAACATTATTATAATGATTAAATATCTCATAAAGATTCAAGGTGATGATAATATCCATAAACATTCGCAGTTTCCTCGGTAGCTTACGCTTGAACCCATCAATGTATGCCAGTGACCGCCCATCGACCTTCCTAGGATGTCTGATTGAATCTTTTTTTTTTAATCATTTATGATTTGTTTATATAGACTACAAATATATCTTTGTACTTTATTACATTTATTGTAGATTATAATACACCAAATGGTTTTGGTTTCCAATTTGGATATGGTTCAAAATTCTTAATTGGATATGTCTTGACTAATTTAGCTTTTTTCTTTAAATTTTCTAAATCTGCAAATACATCATCAATCTCTGTAACTAGTCTTGAATTAATTTTAGCCTGAGCGGTTTTATTTAATGAATTTTCAATACTGTTGATCTTCATGTTTATTAATTCTTTTAATTCATGATTTTGTTGACCATGTTTCTCATTAATTTTTTGTAGAATTTCAATATTGAAACCATGATTAATTTTACTTATGATTTCAATTGATTTAGAGATTTGTTGGTCTTGTAAATGTTCCACTATCCATATAATCCATTTAGTTACTTGTTTCATTTCATTTGAATTATATTGTTCTTCATTAGTTTCTTCTTCTTTCAAAATTTTTTCAAATTTTTCATATTCATATTTTTTAAAAATTAATTTATCTAATAATTTCCATGAAAATTGATCATTTGATTTAATTAAATATAAAAATAATGGTTCAAATAATAATCTCAATTGTTCCCATTTATATTTCTCATTAATAATACAATTTTGAAACATTAAAACTTTGTAAAATTTCTTATTTTCAATTCCTTTTTCTAATAATTTAACAATTTTCCAATATTCTTTACCTTCTTCACTTGAATCTCCAAACTTAATAAACTTATTAATATCCATTCTCCTTATCCTTCTATATTTTCTTATTAAATCTTTATAATCAACATCATTTTCTAAATCTTCTTCTTCATCTAATAAATCATCTTTTATTTCAATTTTATCCCAATAATTCAATTGAATCCAATCGAGAGCTCCATTAATACCAATCTCTAACATCTCCAGACTTGGAAGAGATTCATGAGTCCCTGAATGTCTTAATTCAACAAACCAATTTGGTAATCCAATTTTTTTAGCTAATAAATTTAATGGTATTGCAAATGTACTTTGTTGTGAAGGATCTAATAATCCATTAACAAATCTGATTAAACACATTGTGGAACTTAATTGTAATACCGTTTCATTTTGTGAATCATCATTTTGTATGAATGAATTCTTGGTTTGTAATAAATATGCAGTTGATTGTAATAAATGTGGTAATTTTGTTCTTGTTTCTAATGATAAAATTCTTTGTATGGCTCTTTTTTGATCTTGGGTATTGGAATGGAATAATTGGGTTCGAAGGTCTATGAGATCTTGTGAAGACCTGAATGCTGTGTGTCTGGGGTGTTTGTTCATAGTTGAACTGGGATTTAATTTGGTGCTGCACATCTGATCCTTTTGTTTACATTTGATTAGAATAATGTTAATTTTTTGGTGATGTTTTTGGTGTATAATTTTTTTTGGTGGTATTTTTCCGATGTGATGACTTACACATTTCCGATGGGATATAAGCTCTACAATGTTAACCACTACAATTAATTCAATGTATTAAATCAAGGTCCATTATATTTCATTTTATACAAGTGATTTCAATTCACCATTTGCCAATAGTAACACTTTCTCAAACTGATTAAAAATTTCAGTAGGTATAACGACTTTACCCTTTGTTCTTAATTCATTTAATTCATCAGAAACTTCAACAGCTTCATTCTCCAATATTTTCAATATAGATTCTTGTATAGAAACTAGTATCTTATTATCTTTGGTAATTCTAATTAATGAATCTTTTAAACCTTCAACTTCAACTTTTTCAGGAATTTTCTTTAGGATTTGTGGATCAAATAATATCCCGGTATATTCAATTAAAACTTTTATAAAATTTGGCTTTTTAATACCATATTCAAGGAAAATTTGCCATAATTCTGATGATTTTTGCTCTGTGGCAAATTCAATAGCTTGTTTGGGATCATCCATTGTTTCTATTATTAAATACATTGCTTCTTTGGATTTTCCAACTTTACCTAATAAATAAACTAATTCTTCATTAAAATTTTTTAATTTCATAATTTCCATAACTTTTTCAATATTATAATGTTGTTTTTTCTTTAAATATGTTAATAATTGACTTCTATCAAATTTTGAATATAATTCAACCATTTCAGTTTCATAAAGTTCAACTGATAATGGATCAACTTTTGAAATTTTTTGTAAATAAAGAAATGTAATTATTTCTAAACCTTCTTGATTTAATAATGGAATTATCTTGTGTGGTATTATTTCATGTCTATTTTCAACAAGTATATCAATTATATGTGATGATTTTTCTCCAAGAATTTGAATTGGTGCATCTTTTAAATCTTCTTCACCAATTTGAAATCTAATAATTGTTGGTAAATATTCAATAAATTTTGAAACTAAATGATTTTGTGATAATAAATCAATTGTATTAGGATCTTTTAATTCAATGAAATGTTTAATTGATGATGATACATCTTGAGTCTTAAGGTACAATTCTGCTAAACATCTTCTTAAAATTGATAACTCAGGTTCAACTTCTAATTTATTTTCAATTAATTCTTCAATTCTTTTATAATCAAATAAAGAAGTATCCCATCTATTTAAATATTCAAAAATTTGATCATTATCATTATTTAAAAACCATTCCAAACATTTATTATAAATCTCCTTGGGACATTCATCAATTTCTAATGGTAATATTTCTGCCAACAAGGGGATTTTATCACTATGAATGAAAATCCATGCCCATTGTTCCCATTTTTCCATTGTATAATCTTTGAAAACTTGTTCAGTTGGATCATGAATTGTTAATATTTGTTTTAAAAATCTAGCAGCTTGAAACCAATTATTATCATCTAAATAAACTTGAACTTGCTTTATACCAATATTTCCCCTTTGTTCTTTAGTAATCAAATGTTCACTCATTTCCCATGCTTCTAAAAATCTTTCTCTTTCGACAAACCAATTAAATCTACCCAAAAGATCAAATTCTTCAGCAATTATACCATCTGTTGCACTAATAATGAAAAATTTTGATCTTTGTGAACCAATATATTGACCTAAATGGAAATCATTAATTCTTAAACCTTGATATCCTTTCAATACAATTTCATCTGTAGAGATTTCTCCATGAGTTATAGAATTTATAACTCTTAATTCTGGTGGTTGATCTTTAGAATTTGAAATTGTTAATACAATTAATGAATCATCTTTAAATGTTGCAATACCACCAATCAATCCATCAATACTATACTCAAATTCAACACTGATATTAGCTTCTGAGCTTGGTCGACTAAAACTTGACATTGCTGATGAAATTCCAAAATTTCGATCACCTTTCCTTGGAGATCGTATACTTGTACTAATTTTTATACTCCATATATGATCAACCCATCCAATTAATAATCTATCTCTTTCTAATTGATTTATCCTTGGCCATATAAGTTCTGCAGGTGGAGAATTCTTAGGTCTATTCAATTTGGTTATTATATGTTCATTTGATAAATTTAGTGCAGTTATACCATCATCACTCATCCATATAAGTACTTCTTCCATAATAACAAGCCCTACTATAGGACCACTATCTTCACCAATGATTCTTTCAGTTCTATTACCAAGCCAGTTTGTAGTTGAAATTATAACTTGACCTTTTTTATTCCCATAAATAAATGACTTTGTTTCTTTATATTGACCATTAATAACAACGGAATAAATTGGTGTTTTAATATCATAAGCTACCGTACTTGCTTGATTATTAGTTTGTACTTGATTTATTGAAGAGATCACAATAGTACCATCCATAGAAGCAGCTGCAATATATGAACCATCAGTATGTATCGATAAAATAGGTGATTTCCTAGCTCTAATTGTACCTAAAGATTGTAGATCTGGATTTGTAATGTATAAAAGACCTGAAGCTGTACCGAATGCAAAGACATGTTCATGAATGAGACAACTCGAGACGAGTTCCTTGTTGAAAAATGTTTTGGGGAGTTGTAAGAGTCTTGAATACTTGAGCATTGGTGGATCTTCATCTTCCTCTTCTTCTTCAGAACTTGATTCTTCGTCCTCTTCCTCATCTTCGTCTTTCTCTTCATCTTCCGTATTATCGTTATCATCGTCATCCTCTTCTTCTTCACTATCACTCCTTACCACTCCATCATCCACTTTCTCAGCGCTATTTCCATTACCATTGCCATTCACTTGATTCCCATTCGACTTCTCTACCTTTCCCAACTGTTCTTGTTCTGTTATTTGTTTTGACACATTGGTATCTTCACTCTCCAGACTCATTTTGTACGACCTTTGAGCGGTTTTTGATCCGTTGAAATCCCAAAATTTAGTATTCTTCTTCTTAATACTATCTGATTACCTCTATCTTGAATCTTTGGGTTTAAATTGACCTTGTTTTGTTGTTCAAAAACTTTGAATTGTTGATGTTTTGAAATTCTCGCCATACAAAAAAATGGTTGTTTTTTTTAAATTCCAATAGACGCCAAAACAATCAAAACAATCAAAACCATCGTCAAAATTATCAAGATCGAATACAAACAAAGTCACTACAAAATGTTTAAAAATCAATCTCTCTATTAAATAAAAAAAAACTTAGTTGGAAGCTATCAGACTTCTTGAGGTTGGAAAAGTCGATTCAAATGTTGGTTAATCGATTTGGATCTTCTGGTGGTTTGGTCTTTCACAAAGGCAATTGTATCATGGAATGCCAAATTCAACTGTCCTGCTTTGGTTTGTTGCAGACGAATTCTTCTGGTTGGATCAATGTCTTCAGAATCATCACCTTCATCGTCTTCCAAATAACCATTGTCATTCTCATCGTCATTTCTTCTATATGAGATATGGTAAAGCTCATCCAAGGCATCAACATCTTGATCTTCATCTTGATCAAACCCAGGTGGAGGTCTTGAATAATCACCATCATAACTCTTTCTAGAGCTAACAGCACCAGTACTTAATCTGGTCACAAAATCCTCAGATTCAAAAAGTTGAGCTAATCCATCTTGATTTTTTGACAAAACATGAGTTCTTGATTTAGAAAGACCACTTGAACCAGCTTCTGAAGTTTGAGATAATTGTGGTGGAATTGGAAATATTGGAGTGCTTGGTTTAATTGGATCTTGTTCCAGCAGGTTATTTTGCAGCTCCTGCAGCTCACTATTATTGGTCTGATTGTCTGTTGTTCTCCATTTTTTACTTGAATGGCGTCTTATGGAAACATTCGATAATCTTCTCTTCAATTCACTTCTAAATGTTGATGGTTGTGAATGTTCTTTTGGCTCTTCTTCTGAATTATTTTCATTCTTCTTTGCATCTATAGCATCATTTTCACTCTTTGCAGATGTTGATTTCCATCTTTTACTTGAATTATGACGTCTTATGGAAACACTAGAAATACGTCTTTTCAATTCACTTCTCAAAGTTGAAGGTTGTGACTGTTCATGTTGTGGTTTACTATGTGGTAACTTTGATGGAAGTGATGGTGTTGATGGATGTATTGGTCCAGATGAATATTTACTTGAAAGTTGTTTCCATAATCTTAAAGTTTTCAGTGACAATCTATGAAGTGTTGAACCAGCTTCTGATTTGTTAATTCCTTCATCTTTGGAGTCATTGATATTACCGGGATCTTCAATAGCCGTATGGTCCAGTGCAAGATTACCAACTATACTTGAATTATCAACTGCTGTATCACCGTTATAATTTGTCTCTGGGCTATTCTCAACATCATATTCATCCAATATCAATTCACCATCTTCTGCTGAAGCATAATTCAAATAGCTTATATAAGTGTCATAAATGGGATCATAACCACTACTTGATAATTGATCCAGTTCAGTATGATTTGATGATTTTAACAATTCAGAATTAGTTCTTTCAGCAGAATTTTCATCATCTCCAATATTCAAAGGTTCAACAGGTGATTCAGTAATAATATCAATAGGTAAAGCTTCTCTTAATTCATCAATCAGGTCTTCAACTGCATGGATATCATCATCAAAATTTTGCTTTTTCTTTGGATCTTCATCATTTGAATCTGGTGTTGGTAATCCGCCAAATTTACTATTGAAAAATTTTAAAGGAATTGTAAACATGGATTGGAAACTTGAAGCTGTTTTGGTGGCTAAATCATGACTTGGTGACTGATGCTTAGATAATTGTGGTGATTCTTCAGGAATTGGAGCAGTTGGTAAATTTTCAATCTTGTGTAAAACTAAAGGATGTGTTTGTTCAATATAAGCAGATGTGGAAACTGAAGCTGCAGTATTAGAACCTGATGGACCACCTGAATTGATTGGGACATCTTTAACTAAAGAATCTGGTGTATTAACATATTCTGGTGAATTTTGAGATTTGTATCTTGAGATTTCAGTTCTTGAAGAATTTGCAGTTGTAGTTGCAGTGTTTTGATAAACTCTAATAATACTATTAGCTGACATCTTATCGATGTTTCAAAACCACCCTCTAAATACCAATATAAATGAACCTCCTTGAATACAATAAAGAACCGCTTCAATGAATTTACTTCAATCCTTCAAAATTATTGATTTTTTGTTTTTGAAAAAGGTGGTGATGTTTATATTTCATCTTTGTGTCACTCGGAAAATCACAAAACCAAAAAAAGTATGGGAATAGAACTACAACGGATCGTGGCGCTTCATATAAATATCATATTATTAGCTTGAAAGCTCAATGGAAGTCATGTATACCATGAGGATCTTTTAAATCTAATGCTTTTTGTTTTTTCCGCTCATTCCAATGTAGCGTTTCACTAATCCTTTCAAACCATGCATTTTTAGAAGCTGATTTCCTTATACAAGGAATTGGATAACGACTAGCAGTAACCGTAACGAAATCACCTTTACCTAATTCTACTCTATTTTTACCATCAAATGAACACCAAGCTGTAGATCTAGCATCATATGGTACACCAAGTCTCAAAATTATAGATTCTGGAATAACCAAAGGTCTAAATGATAATGTATGTGGACAAATTGGTGAAATTAAGATACCTGGAATCTCTGGATGAACAAGTGAACCACCTGCACTTAGAGAGTAAGCGGTAGACCCACTGGGTGTTGAAATAATTAATCCATCAGCTTCCGCTGTTGTTATTGCTTCTTTATCACCAAATACTTCAAGTGATGACATCACAGCATTTGGACCTCTATCAACAACAACTTCATTGAAGATACAATATGTTTCAGAAATTTGATGAGTTTGACAATTTGAGTTTAATTTTGCAATTTGTTCAGTTAATGATTGTTTAGGATCTGAACCTGTAATTGACTTCATTATAGTACATTCAAATCTCATTCTTATTGAACATTGATAACCATTTTCAATTATATCAGATAAAATATCTTCATGATCCTCAACATTAAAATCTGTTAAAAACCCTAAACTACCTAAACTGAATGCTAAGATTGGGGGTATTATAGTTTGAAATATCCAACTTGCATAAAGAACTGTACCATCACCACCAAATGTCAAAATCAGATCAAAAATTTCAGGTCTATAAGCACATTTATCACCAAACCAGAAATGTATTCTTTTAGCAAAACTTGGGTTTTGAGATATTATATCCTGATATTGATAATAATCATTTGTTTTCAATTCTTCTTGTATATAAATATTAATCTCTGAATTATAATTTAATAAAAACAATGAAACTATTCTTGCCCAATGATTTGGTTCATCATCATAAATTTTAGTCAAAATCATAATATTAACCATCTTTGCTCTAATATGAACATGATTCAAAGTTCTTTCGATTTCTCTAATACCTCCAACAACTTTTCCTAGTTGTCTTTTAGTCATTAAAGCTGATGATAATCTTGACAAATCATGTTCAAGACATTCCTTAATTTCACCCGTTGAAGATCTGGATTCATTCAATTCATCACCTGTTGAGCTTGATGGATCTTTTACCGCGTTATGAGTCTTTCCACCTTCATGAGGTTCAAATATCTTTAGATTGTGCAATTGAGCATTCAATAACGATGGGATAACTGATTTTGAGCCTATAGAGTAACGTTTTTGTGGGATTGGTGTATGTGGAGTTGAAGAGTCTGAGCTTGAAGTACCAACGTTTGTCTCAAGGATCTTCTCACCATAGGGTATATTGGACCCATCATCATCTTGATCATGATTTGATTCTGTGAATGTGAATTTCTCCAACTCGTTCTGAACTTGTTCTGTATTGACCTCTCTCAAATCAAGACTTCCCTCTGGATCTGATTTCTCATCCAGCTGTTCAGCTGTGACTGGTGGTTTAGAAAATGGTGAGTAAGGCCTATCCAACGCTGGGGATTGTGATCTATTAATATGAGCCATTGTTGAATTGATTTGTAGTTTTATTGTTGTTGATCTAAAGTATTGCTCTAAACGACGAGCTGGTATAAAATGGCCAAAAACACAGCTTTGGAAACGGTTGAAAATGGACAGCACTGATATAATACCAGAGAGTCACAATATTCACCAATCTAAGAGTAATATCAACAGCAAATTTCTGCTTTTTTAGAATCAAAACCCCAAACAAAGTGAAGAAACTGTTTATTGTTTACTCCATAAATTTTGCCTATCGACCCATTTTTTTGTAGATAATCCCGAAGCCCGGTGTTGAAGTATTTTTGAGAAGAACAAATTCAATACTCAAGATTCATTGAACTACTGGGAAACTCCAATATAATCTATTATTACAATAAACTATTCAAATATGGTGACTGCTATTAAAAATTTCGAATATGATCTCAAAAGAAACTCCATTCTTATGGAGGATACCATTGTGAATGTGGAAAGTTGCTTTGTCAAGTCTAGATTATATGATTTCAAGTTGCAAGACTTATTTAAAATCCATCAAAAGAATAAGTTAGAGACAGAGGCTGATTACTATGTTGATGTTGAAGATACAGAGAAACTTTGTGAAGCAATTGATGAGTTGAGATATGAATTTTGCAACCCTAGACTATTAGATATTATAGAAGACAAGGTTGATTTTCTACCAGATACAAATTATCCAAAGTATTATCTGGGAATCTGGTACATTGCTTTTGAGATCGATTTGTTAATCCAATGGCCTCCTTCTCAAACTTCCCATACAAAAGATTCCTCAACGTCAAGTGAACAAGCCGCTAACGATAACTCCAAGTTTACGAGAGGTTTCAAACTCCTGGAGTTTGACAACGTTAAAGAACTGAGAAAAGATGACTTTAAGGCAAACTTTTATCAATTGGAATATTTCATAAAGCAATCCCTAATGAAATTTGATCATAGAAAGATCACTGATATCCTTAATGAGCTTTTGTTCAATTGTATCAAATGTTTAGAAACAAGTTCCAGTTCGTATAATCCAGAATTTCAAGATACTGAAGAAGAAATGAATTTTTTACAAGAAGGTTTTAATACAAGTATACTGAAGCCTTTGCTGGACTTTTTTAATGGATTGATAAATGTTCATTGTGGTGATCCAGATAATAGTTCTAAATTTTTAAAAAGTGGTAATATACCAGCAACAAGTCCAAGTAAGATTTTGAAAGAAATATCTACTGAAACAGGTGAAGGTTATCCATCAGATTTAATCAATTTCCCATTATTCAATGGCTCCGAGGATATCTCAGTAAAATTACGGGTGAATCAAGGCTCAGTGAATTGCTTTGGTGCCCAAATGCTAGATTTAAATCACTCCAACAAATTTGACCCTTCAACCAAGTTTAAAGGTTTGAATACAGTCTTCAGAAAGTCTCTACAATATATACTACCAAGACATTATACTCATTTTATGCTTACCAACTTTATCAAGACTCTTTATTTTGAATTTCCAGTGTCAACAGGTGGTGTTTGGAATGGTGATGATCCAAACCATGTTATATTGAAAAAAGAACCTTTATATTTTTTTCTTTTTGATAATTCTAAGGTAAGAGATCCAGATAAAATGTCATTACAAGCCATGCTTGCATTACAAGTGTTTGATATAATTAGAAAAATAATGCCAGAAAATATTATTTCATTTAAAGGCATGGATCAACATATTGGTGCTTCTTATAGAGTGATTGACGAATCCACAGATGTGAAATTTGGAAACTTTTCTTTAGATCTAATGAAGAATGGGTTCAAGAAAAAACAAGGGATTACAAGAAAATCAAGTAAACGTGGTAATAATGAAGATTGTTTGAATAAAATTGACTATATACCAGCTTCACAAAACACAAAAGCAAAGAAAATATCAAATAAGAGATTCAAGAAATCTAATAAATTCCAAAGACAGCCCAATTGCAAATTAAACCAATATTTAGATGGTATTTTCGATTTACAAATTCAAATGGAAACAAAAGATTTTGAAGTTTTGGTAGATTTTACTAATGCAAGCAGTTTTAAGTTGTTCGTATCTTCCAAAGAATTTTTGAATAAAATTACTATAAGAGATCAATACAAAGATTATGCATTATCAGATCAAGTTTTTTGCAAAATCTATGATACATTTCAGCTAAAAGATCTATTCAGTTATTCATCAAGAATAAGTGGTTCAAAAGATTTTGATGATGTTCAACTGAATATCATGAATTCATTAGAAGATATAAAAGATATTGATGAATGGATCAATCATGATATGAAAAGACATTTGTTCAAAGAAATTATTGCTTTGAAAAGAATTGAAAGTTGGAATTCCATGAATGATGAGTCAAATCAAATCAACACTGCCAAACTACTACAATATGGTTGGTTTGATGATTTAACATTAGGAAATGATAAATACTCATTATTTGGACCTTTTATGATATTTGAAAAGATTGATTTCATTAATGATAATGAAATTTCATCTTTGAAACGTGAAGAAAGTTTCAATAAACAAGTTGAGTTATTGAAAAAGGCAGGTATAACCCATGGAGATTTAGAAAATAAATACAATTACTGCTTCAACAGTGATGGTAAATGTTTCATTGTGGATTTTGATATGTCTACGGTTGATAATGATTCAATTCTAGAAAATGTTTTTGATAATATTGATTTTTGGCCTCCAGAAGATAATGATTGAGCTCATGGACCTTGATTGAAGTTGAAGTTATAAAGATAATCTGACAGAATCATTATATTAAATTCAAAGACTTATACAATGAGTTCATTTTCAGGTGCCATATTGGGATAAGGTAAACCCTTTAAATGTCCTCATATGATAAGAAACAAGATTCATTTATATAGATTCAAATAATGCAATATAATCTAATCATTAATGACAATGAACTTTTTATTTAAGTACGACCCTTTAAATCTCTACATATTTCAGATTTATAACATTAATAGACGTATAATATTATTCTAAGATTATTATAAAAACGACGTTTTCAAAATTGAAATATAATTTGATACAATTAGTAAATTTATATGATTTAATTAACATTGTGTTTTTTGACCCATTAATATAGGCCATTCGGCGTTGAAGTTGCGCTCATTGGAATAATTATTGATGGGTTTTAATGTGATGGAGGTTGGGTCATTTGCTGCTGCCATATTTAAAAACTCATGAAATGAATTAGCTTTATTTAATCTTACTTCATCAATGAAGTATTCTAAATGTTTCTTGATTTCATCTTCTACTTCAGTATCTAAACTGTTTGCTAAAAAACTTATGTATCCAAAATCCTGATAAATGATATCACGAGCAGCATTTGGTAAAATATCCAACTTTATTAAATCACTTTTTAGTGAAATTTTTAAGCTTTTACATTGCTCATGTAGCTGTAATTCATAACGTAATGGAGCAACAGACTTTAAAAAACACATTTTTCTTAAATTTGTTTCAGAAAAATAAAGTTTCTGCAACGGACTAGACAGCTTCAGTTGTTTGTAATTGTTTAAAAGATCCACAATGGTATCTATCATCAGAGTTTTTCTCTCGGTGTAATCTATGTTGATGAGACTATCTTGATAATATATAGATGGATTATTAAATCTGGTGTAATGTTGCTCTTGTAAATGTTGCTCTTGTAAATGTATCTCATAGCCCCAACTATCTAAATTATAATGGTTCATATAAGATGTTAATAAAACGTCTAGAACACAATCAATATATTTGTTTATTGTCAGATCACTGTTAATGACGTTATAAAGCTCAACATTTGCTCTTTGATCATTCAAATATGTTTTAATTATTCCAAACAAACTACTTGCAAAATTTTCAACCCAATACTTTGATGGAAGTATCAGGTCATGATCCATAGGATTTTCACAATACCAATAAAGTGAATTGGACAGCTGTAATTGCAATTTGAAATTATCTAAAATCAAATTCAAGAAATTGTCATTCATTTCTTTTAAATAAATGATCAGTTCATTGGAAAAGTATGAGTTTTTGTCAGAGATGAAATAAGTTTCTATCTCTTGTATTAACAATTCCCTGATTGATGAATTTTCTAAAGTTTTCTTAACTGAAGTTGGACTATAGCTGCAAGATCCGTCTGATCTCAAATAAAGGGTAACTGAATCTTTAATACGAATATATTTATGATAGCATGCATGTAACATTAACTTGACCAGCACATACAAATATTCAAATAATAGAGCCAAAGCAGCATCCAATTGATCCTGCTGGGACGTTGGATATTCATAGGAAAGACCATTTATAAATGTAATAAAACCATCTCTCTGTGATGAGCAGTAAATGAAAAACCAAAGACCACAACAAAATAAAAGATGCAAGTACCAATAATAACCATAAACATGTATCATAACAGTGGAGAAAATTCTGAAAGCCATTTGGGAAACTTTATTCACACGTAAATTCAAAAGGATGAAATCTGATATGTAACTGAATTTATAATTTGAATTGAAGCTTAAAACCAATAACGAATTACTAGCACCAATTATAACCAATAATGTAATAATTGCAAGATTAATTAGCCAGATGAATTAAGCAAACTCTGTAGCAATTATATTGGCGATTGCTCTTCAAAGTCCAAATCAAATGAAGAATTCCATTTTGTTTTGATGATTTTGATTTTCTTCTATGGATATTCGTGGTTGCCGCTATGAAGTTGTTTACAAAACTGTTTTTGTGTTTTTTGAATTTTTAAAGGATTGAGGATGTCGGATTTTGGCGCCCTCGGAGAAACTACACATTTGTATGGAACAATTATATTGCATCAATTATACATTAATCATCTTTTGGCTGGCTTATTCACAAGCGTAACCACAGGTTTAAGCTCCACAATATCGCCCAAGCTCTCAGATGACATTGAGAAAGCTTGCCCATCTGTATTACTATCTTCCTTATCTCCTATAATCAAGAGAGATGTATCAATATCTTGACAAGTCACTTCAGAAGACATGGTTTCCACAATCTTTGATATCAACAGATTGAAATCATTGGATTTAATAAACTGTCTATTGTATATCTCAATTTCATGGGTAATTATGGTAGTATGCTCGAGAATTTTCTTAATATAGCTGTCCCCTTTTTTTCTAATCAAATATTTAGATTCCAAACTCCCAAACCTACAGGGAAAATCCACAAATGGATTCTGCAAATACCTGAGATCATCAAAATTTGTTATTTTTCTCATACTGGCTCTTAAATCATTGTAGTAATAATCAAAAACTGGGGAGAGATGAAGCATTTCTTTGAAGTAAACATTTTTGGGAAATTTGTTATTTGAAACTATACCAGCTTGAGTCTTTTCAAATCTACTAAAACTAGATTGTACATTAATATTTTCACCCCATCTATCCTCATCGAAGCTATCATAAAGTTCTGCAGTAATAAATGGTTGTAGTTCAACATTTAGTTTCTTTACTGATATTTTTCTACCAGCTTTTTTCAAAGCTTTTTTAGCTAAAGATTTTTTTGAATGAACAATATCATAATAGCCATACAACAATGAAACATCGACAGTTAAATGCTTGATTGTAGCTTTCAATAAAGACTTTGGATTTGTTAAAATGGTTTCAAAAAGAAACTTTATCTTATTTGGATCAGTTATAATTTTCGCAGGTCGACTTTTATAATTAGAATAATCCTTTTTAGATCTCACATCTAATAATTCATATTCATAATGTGCACTTTGTTTATGTCTTTCATATATTTTATAACTTTCATAAGGTTTATGTGGGAAATCAGGACCATATTTTAAGAAACAAGCATCACTTTCTCTCATCTTCTTTGTATTACTAGCAACCAATAATATTTGTAAATCTTTGAAATCTTTATAAATATCTGGAGCGAATGCTTGATAAAATGTATTATTGATTCTCATTAACAATTTTGGATCAATATGATATTTCTTTGTTAAAAGATACCAGATATCCATTGGGAGCTTACCAGTATGAGTCGGTTTCATGGCGCTGATCAATTCCACTTCAACTTTAGAAGAGGAACCTTGTAACATTTTCAATGGGTTCTTGAAGGGGACGAGTTGTATTGAAGTGATGATGAAATATAATATTGACTTGACTATATAGATGATTGGGAAGAATAATACCTTGAATCTCCAATAAGAAACAAGAAAAGGTCTTATATATTTTCTTTGAAGTTTTTCATATGATTTATTTGGTCCACTCGCTGCACAGTTTATACTTATATAATAACCGTAAAAGTAATTGAAGATGTTAACAATAACTGCAAATATTTGGTAGGAGCGTAACATATTTGTATGTGTTATAATTGTTTTGTTGTTTGTTTATGATAAAGAGCTAGAAGAGAAAGAAAGTTATCAAGAAGGTAATTATTTCATTCTATTTAAATACTTTTCAGATATTCTAAAGTACTCATTGATGTAACTCAGAAACTCGCTCTTTAATCTCGTTTATATAACGCATATATAACCATGATTAATTGCTCTCAATACATCTCATACATATGCTCAAGCTCGGTACTGAGGGAATATTCATCTATTAAATAGAGTAATAGAGATTAATGCTCAGTTAAATGTCACCTTTCAAACGTCACAATGAGATCAATTAGATATCTGATATTAACTATGATGCTTTGTAAGCGCTGACTAAGCAAAACTTTCAGAATCAGTACCCCCAAATAGCTTGTAGTGTCCATAGCAAAGGTTCCGTGGTTTAGTTGGTCATAACGTTCGCCTAACAATAAATTTCTGAAAAGGATTAAAGTTCGCGAAAGGTCCCCAGTTCGATCCTGGGCGGAATCATTTTTTGGTACTATTGGCTAAATACTCGCTTTTTTTGGTGTTTTTAAGCCGTCATCATACGCAAATATTGGATATATTTTTTTATTTGTCTACTTTAGTGTTAATCTGATTATTCATATTGTGTTTAATTGAAAGTCCATGCTTCTAATATTCAATTAAAGCCATATATTATAGTCTCTGCCTAGCGTCTTCTATCTCTGCCTAGAGTGTTTCTCAACTGTCCGTCTAACCTTCGCCTAGATCTAGAGTCTCAGCCCGTGCCCTTACCGATTGTCTCACTCAAACCGAAATCTCCAAAATTCGCGATCTGTTCAAAAATTGGTTGGTTGTCACCATTCAAATATTCAAGATTGATATCAATTCAAATTTATAAGTTTCAGCTATTTGCTGGATATATAACTAATTGGCAAAAAGTGAGCAAAAGTCTGATCAATTCAAAAGGTATAGAATAAAAGTTGCTGAAGAATTGAAAAAGAGGACAGTGATAGGAAACAAAGAAAAACAAGTTCAAAAATGAGTGATCAAATCACCCCTGAAGAACAACATGCTCTATTACAAGAATCAATAAATGTGATCAAACAAGAAACTCAATTGATGAAGAAATCACTTGAAACGAAAGGGAAATTAATGGATGCCTTGAAACATGCTTCAAATTTCTTAACTGAATTAAGAACTTCTCAATTAACTCCAAAACAATATTATGAATTATACATTCTTATATTTGATTCATTGAATTTATTAGCAAATTATTTGAAAGATAATCATCCTCATCATCATTTAGCTGATCTTTATGAATTGGTTCAATACGCTGGTAATATAGTTCCAAGATTATATTTGATGATCACAGTGGGGACTGTTTATATGTCAATCCCAGATGCACCAATTAAAGAAATTATGAAAGATATGATTGAAATGTGTAGAGGTGTTCAATATCCAATTAGAGGTTTATTCTTAAGATATTATTTATCACAAAGAACCAAATCATTATTATCTGAAAATCAAGATTCAATTCAATTTGTTATAACAAATTTTATAGAGATGAATAAATTATGGGTTAGATTACAACATCAAGGTCCTTCAAAAGATCGTTTGAAAAGAAATAAAGAACGTGAAGAGTTGAAAATTCTTGTTGGTAGTAATTTGGTTAGATTATCTCAATTACAAAATGATAAAGAATATTATAAAAATTTCATATTACCAACTGTTTTAGAACAAATTGTTCAATGTAAAGATATTTTGGCTCAAGAATATTTATTAGATGTTGTTATTCAAGTTTTCCCTGATGAATTCCATTTATATACACTAGATGAATATTTGGATATTATAAAAGATTTGAATCCAAATGTTAGTATTAAAAAAGTTTTAATTACTTTAATCGATAGATTAACAGATTTTGCTAAAAGGGAAGATTTGACAGATTTGGAGAAATTAACCATTAAGGAAACTGGTATTGATGAAGAACAAATTGAATCTCAACAAGAAGAAACAACAGAGAAGTCAGAGGAAGCTGATGAACAACCAGTGGAACAATCAGAAGGTGAATCAAAAAGTGAAAATGATGGTGAAACCAATGGCTCATCAAGTTTTAGTATCAATCTTTTTGAAAAATTTTGGTATTATATTAATCAGTTAGAACAATCAAGAGAATTATCAATTGAAGAAATAAGTTCATTATTAGAATCAATTTCTAAATTAACTTTAACTTATTATTCAAATAATTTTGAAAATATTGATTTAATTTTAAAATTTGCAATTGAAAAATTAAAAGAATTATCAAATGATCAAACTAAGAATGATTTTGATCAAACTTTTAAAAATTTATTATTAGCACCAATTAATAATTATGAAAATTTATTAGATTTATTAAAATTAACAAATTATATTGAATTATTAAATTTAGAATCTTTGAAAATTCAAAAAATTGTTAGTTTAGAAATTTTAAATAAAATTTTATCAAATGGGATAAGATTGAAAACTTTAGAAAGTGTTAATGGTATTATGTCATTACTTAGAGTTATTATTGAATCTAAAGATCAAACTTCTTCAACATCATCAAACACAGATCAAGAAAGTTTAGAATTTATAACTGAACAAGAAAAATTATCCAAAATTATACATCTTATTGGGAATAAAAATCCAATTATTCATGGGAAATTACTTACAAGTTGTAAAAATTATTTAAGTAAAGGAAATATAAAATTTACTTATCCATCAATTTTTTTCAATACATTAAAATTAATCAGAAAGAATAATCTTGAGGAAAATCAGAATAGTTTATTTAAATTTATTTCAAGAATCATAAATGATTTATATCGTTTAGGATTGAATGATCTAAGTTTTAAATTAAATCTTTCAAGTGCCATTATAGCAGATCAAATTAAATTTGAAGATATTTCATATGAATTTTTCGTTCAATCATTCACAATTTATGAAGAATCAATAAGTGATTCAAGATCTCAATTCCAATCAATAGTGGCTATAGCAGGTGCATTACAACAATGTAGAAATTTTAATAAAGAAAATTATGATAATTTAATTACCAAAACTGCATTACATGGTTCAAAATTATTGAAAAAACCAGATCAATGTCGTTCAGTTTATTTAGCTTCACATCTTTGGTGGGGTGTTGAAATTCCTTCATTAGGTGAAGAAGAAGGTATTACAGAATTTTATAGAGATGGTAAAAGAGTTTTGGAATGTTTACAAAGATCTTTGAGAGTGGCAGATGCTTGTATGGATTCTTCAGTTTCAATTGAATTATTTGTGGAAATTTTGAATAGATGTTTGTATTATTTCATTCATGGAAGTGAATCCATCACTATTAAATATATTAATGGATTAATTGAATTGATTCAAACTAATTTGGATTCTATATCTAATGAAAATGGTGCGATTAATGAAAATCCAAAGAAACATTTCCAAAGAACTTTAGAATATATTGATTCCCAAAAAGAAATTGATGAAAGATTTCAATTGATAACGTGGTGAACAAGAAGAATAACAAGGAGTTTAATAAAAAATAGATTTAACTATTCAGAAATAAACCATTTCTATTAACAATTTGTAGTAAAAGTCCCCATGTAAATTGAAATCTCCTTATATCCATGTGTCCCGTTTCAAATTCTGGGGATGTTTTTTTTCCCTTTGAAAACATTCGACATTTTTGATTTTAAAAGGCCAGAAAGTTGAAACACACCAAATCAAACAAATTCAATTTTGAACAACAAAGTCATAAAGTTGAGATTGAAGTGGTATATTAAGACTAGCATTACTTGATAAAGAAGGAAAGTGAAGTTCAAATTGATCAGTTGAAAAAAAAAAAAAGCGTTGAAAATGCCCGTCTACACAGTGTCCCATGTAAGTTGCTACCAGGATAACTAGGATCTAATGGAATCTGATCTCAAATGAGATCTTAAGGGGAAATAAATGAATAATTACTAACATTATATGAACAGGTGCAAAATATAAGGATCTGTGTTGTAATGGTTGGTCTTCCAGCCAGAGGTAAATCCTTCATTTCACAGAAAAGTAAGTATATTGAATCTATAAAAACCTTTATGTGGAGCATTATACTAACTATTTTCAAATCAGTTGTTAGATATCTTTCTTGGTTATCAATTAAGGCTAAATCTTTTAATGTTGGTAGTTATCGTCGTCAAAATCATAAACATCCAGATGCTGAATTTTTTGATATTCGTAATAAAGAAGGTTGGCAAAAAAGACAAGAAGCTGCTGAACAAGCGGTTACTGATATGATGAATTGGTTTAGTGATGAACAAGGTGTTGTTGCTATATTGGATGCTACTAATGCTACTAGAGAAAGAAGAGATTGGATCTTAAGATTATGTAGAGAAAATTCAATTGAACCAATGTTTTTAGAAAGTTGGTGTGATGATGAAAAAATTATTAAAAAAAATATTTTAGATGTTAAGGCAACTTCACCAGATTATGAAGGTTTAAATCAAGAAGATGCTTATGAAGATTTCTTGAAAAGAATTGCTAAATATGAGGAAAATTATGAACCTTTAGATGAAATTGCAAGTAAAGATTTAACATTTGTTAAATTAATTAATGTTAGTCAACAAGTTATTATAAATAAAATTGAAACTTATTTAGAAAGTCGGATTGTTTATTATGTTATGAATCTACATATTAAACCAAGATGTATTTATCTTTCAAGACATGGTGAATCAATGTATAATCTTGAAGGGAAAATTGGTGGGAATGCAGATTTAAGTGAACGTGGTTTCCAATATGCTAAAAAATTACCTGAATTAGTTAAACAATTGGCTGGTGATGATCATCAAAAATTAACAGTTTGGACTTCAACTTTAGTAAGAACTCAACAAACCGCGGAACATTTACCTTATAATCAATTACAATGGAAGGCATTAGATGAATTAGATGCTGGTGCATGTGATGGATTAACTTATGAAGAAATTGAACGTAAATTCCCAGATGATTTCAAACAACGTGATGAAAATAAATATGAATATCGTTATAGAGGTGGTGAATCTTATAGAGATGTTGTTATAAGATTAGAACCAATTATTATGGAATTAGAACGTCAAGAAAACATTTTGATTATTACTCATCAAGCAGTATTAAGATGTATTTATGCATATTTTATGAATGTTCCACAAGAAGAATCACCATGGATGTCAATTCCATTACATACACTGATTAAATTAGAACCAAGAGCTTATTCAACTTTAGTTCAAAGATTAAAAGCTGATATTCCTGCTGTTAGTACTTATAAAGAAAGAGGTACTTCAAGATTAGGTGAAATTGAAGATGCAAATAATAAATCTAAACATTTGATTACTGGTGAACCTGTTAGTGCTGATCATCCATTAGCAATTAAATAAGAGATCATAAAGTTGAGAGATCTATTATATCTATTATATGACTTTGTATAATTTGCTTCTTTAATTGAGCACAATATAAAGTATGGTATAAAACAATGGACTATTCTTGTAGATATTTTGCATATTTGAAGAACGTGAATTTCAATTTTAATTAGCAGTTGCTAGCTTTTTCGTTAGCGTCATTAAAATTCATGATATAATATTGTTTATTTAAATCAATTATATATCGATTCCCCATTCGAACCCCCTCAAACGCATTTTCAATTTTAATAATTTAAGTCAAATGCCGTTTGATAAAGAAATCGATAAAAAAAAATGAATGGCATTTTGAATATTTTGATAATGGAAACTTGTGTTTTATAGGTCATTTAATGCCCTTTGTACGAGGTTGTTGGTACAGTGTGTGATTTGTGATTCTTGGTTGTTGTTGTGGCTTGGTAATAGTTGATTTGTATTTAGTTTGTGGGATTTGCTGTTGTTTACAATATGAAGAGAATCTTTGGTATTAAGAAGAACGACTCAAATATGTCAAATGAAAGTGTTGATGAAACGAGGAAAAGTAAAGAGGTTGGTGATGATGCTAGTGATGCTTTGCCAGTAGAAATACCCATTGATATGTCAATAGATAACTCAGGACCAAGTTTAAAGGGGAAAGAACAAGAATCATCTGAAGAAGATGATCCTGTGGAATCATTATTACCATCAAGTTATAATAGAAGTTCATTATTTTCAAGAGATCAAAATACTTTCCAAACATTATCAACAAATCCAACAAGTTCATCAAGTGGTGGTGGTGGTAGTCAAGGTCAAGGGAAACAATCAAATGTTATAAAGATTGATAATATTGGTAAACCTTTAAGAGTATTAAGTACTGATCGTTATAATGAATTAAGTCGTGTGGGGACTTCAACTTCTCAACATTCAACAAATTCGTCAATACCTAGTTCTTTCAATAGACGTAGAAGAAGTGATAATGATTATAATTTATCAAGTGGTCAAGTTATCCCATTACCAATGAATCCTGGTTCAAATGTTAATAATCAATCATCATCATCAGGTGGCACAGGTGGATTAAATATTTTGACACAAGAAATTGTTTCAAAAGAATTATCCATATTGAATGAAAACTTATTAGGATTGATTGATCAATTGAATCAAAATGTTATCAATATATCTAAAGCCACTATATCAATAGTGGAATTTCTTGATGATTTTTTACCTTTTACAAATGTTTCAAATCAATTTAATATAACCACAGAGAATAATGAACAATTAAGAAATATTATCAAAATAATTTTACAACTTTATGATAATTATCTAAGATTTGAAGTTTATATAAATTCAAAAAATTTACTAATTAAAAGTTTTATTGAATTTTTATCAAGATTACAATTTAAATTCCCATTCAATTTATTTGAAACTATACCATTTATGAAAAATTTTGCCATTACTGATGAAATTGAACTACCAAATAAATTTAAAATTCAACAAATTATGGAAACTATATCCCAATCATCATCAAATATAATTTCAGATCAAGAAGGTTCATTTATAGCACCAATAATGAGAGGTTTAACACCCAAAACTTCAATCCTTGCAATAATGTTTGGATTCCCAGATCCACAACAAGATCATTATGAAATCATAAATGCCTTATTCCAATCATTCCCAGATGTTCATTTTTTCCTTAAAAAAGATTATATTAAACCATGTGGTATTACACCAAAACCAAGTTCATCAAAATTTAAACCTCCTTTTAAAACTTTATCAAATAAGAAAAAACCTGAAATTTCATTATCTATATCATCAGAAAATTCAATAAAAACAACGGGGACATTAGGTGGATTTATTGAACCAATTTTCCATTCAAATACAGATAAATCATTACTAAAATATAAAGGATCAAAATTTGGTATTACATGTGCCCATGTCCTTTTAAACGAATCACAAGATTATCCAAATGTTAATGTTCCATCAAGTGTACTTGTTCATGCATATATGAGTGCCCTTAGAGATGAACGTGATAAATATCCAGAAAATTGTATGGAATATGTTTCATATAATGAAGAATTGAAAAAATCTGAAAATTTTTCAATGGATTTAGGTCAAGTTGTTTGGGGTGAAAGGGTATTAATGCCCTCGAGTAAAAAAATTAGTGATTTATCAATAATTAAATGTAATTCTGGATTAAAATGTGAAAATATATTAGGTGATGACCTGGATTATTATAATCCAAGTTTAAAATTCAAGAATTTACAAATTAAGAAAAAAATTAAAACTATTGATTTTAATAAACATTCTAAAATTTTTAAAATGGGGGCAAGTACTAAATATACCCAGGGTGAGATTAATGGGATTAAATTAGTTTATTGGTTAGATGGTTCATTACAAACTAGTGAATTTGTTGTTAATTCAGAAAATTCAAATTCAAATTCAAATAATTCACCAATTTTTGCAAATTCTGGAGATTCAGGTTCATTAATTTTAAATAATTTATATGGAGAAATTGGGCTTGGTGTGATTGGGATGTTACATTCATTTGATGGAGAATTAAAACAATTTGGATTATTTACACCTGTTGATGATATATTGGATCGATTAAATCAAGTTACAGGAATTGAATGGGATTTTATTTATTCATGAAAAGGAATGAATATGTTTATATATACATGATGAATTTATGAAGTTTATGAGACAATTATAAAAATTCTTTTGTTTTTCTTTTGTAAGCATTATTATCTCTTAACCATTGTTTATATTGTTTTATACTATTAATTTTTTCACCATAATAATCAGGTACAGGATTTGAAAAACTTTGAGAACTTGGATCAACTCTATTTTGTGTAATTTTTTCCAAAAAAATCTTATTTTTAGAATTAAATAATGGTAATTTTGATTTATTTTTCAAATTGAAAATTACACCACCTAAAGCAGGACCAAAAAGATAACCAACACCTGTTGTTGCCATAAATCCAGCAAAGAAAATCATAAATGGATCAAAACCAAAGATTAATTGAGTTGGATCAATTTCAATGTTTGAGATATAACCCCATGAAACAAAAGAACCAGTTAATGCAGTGAATACAGAGCTAACAACATTAATATTTCTTTGTTCTTTACGTAATTTAAAGAAATCAACCCATGATAAATCTTTTGGATTTATATCTAATTTTGCTTGTTCATTTGATTGTTGTTGTTGTAAGAGTCTTGAAGAAGTTTGGAAAGAACGGGTGAGTGTTCTTGTTGATTGTCTAACTGTGGATCTGATACCTAAGCTTAGCATTGTGAAGGGTTATGAGTATATCTTTGTTGATTCTTGTTCTAATATATAAAGAATTGATTTTGGTATCTCAATATTTCAATATAAAGGATCAAAGAATTCGCGGGTGTTTCGGCGCGAAATAATTATAATTACCCGGAAATTCACAATAAATGAATAAGTTTATCAAATTTAGTTTCAATCATTTGTCTATTTGATATAATTTTGGGCTTTACGGATATTTTTAATTAAGGGTTGTTTTATTTGGCTTCTTTCGTGGCTGAAGCCACCTTTTGTATTTTTATGAGTCTGGGAATTTGATCATGATAGTTCATGTGAATTAAAACTTCAATAGACTTCATTTGATCAATTGAAATATCCCAGCTGAATAGATATTTTGAGATGATGAATTGAATGCTTGTATACTGTTTAATCAACGTATCAACTTTGATTCAGGCTTCTCAATAAACATTTATTTGAACACTACTTGATATCTGTTGTAGGTCACAAAAGGCATCCAATATAGCTATCACTTGATCACTAATTCTTACTTAATGGTATATATACTCGATATTGCAATGCCGTACAGGGTTAATTGTGCTCGTATGAATTGCATATTATACATATCAGTAACTTAGGTCATTGGAGATTCAAATATATTCTGATCTTAATTCATCAAATCTACTAAATACATACAATTAATTGAAATTCAAGGCAGCAATTAAATAGTTATATAATTGAGGCATAAAAGACTTTCAGCTAACAATGAGAATCAATTTCAATTATAATCAAGTAGTATATACAGCTTTCGTTCAATCTTTATATTATTCTGGCCAAAAATCAATCTTATCAAAAACCTCATCTAAAATTGAATCATCATCAACCTTAGAAAATTATCAAAATCAATGATAAAACATTTATCATCTTGATTAAATCAGTAATTATATTTATGTAATGATCTATGTGATATATACCAGCTTTTGCCAACAGCACAACTTGTTCAACGAAGCTTTCTTTACGTTTTGAAGATGAAATTTCATTATCATTAATGAAATCAATCTTTTCTAATATCAAGAAAGGTTCAAATAATGAATATTTATCATTCCCCATTGTAAAATCTTCAGCCCATCCATATTGTATTAATTTGTCAGTTTTTATTTGATTTAATTCATCATTCAGGGAATTCCAACTTTCAATTCTTTTCAAGGCAATATGCTCTTTAAACAAGTACCTTTTCATATTATAATTGATCCAAAACTAGACATGACTTGACAAAGCACTCTTCCACATTTTGAATTGTATCTTCCATCAGGATAAAGTTTTTTTTGAGATCATATTCATAATCTTTTATAACAGTTACCATCTTTTAATTGTATAGATTATTCTTGAGTAGCCTTCCAAGCGTATACCAAAAAGTGTTGATTTGAATAATCACCCTCTAAATCCCAATATTTTAACAAATATACGTCCCTATTTCAACAAGTATCTATCAGATCCAAAATACCCAGCAAAAGGTTCCTTATAATCCTTAAAGAAGTAGCAATTACAACTTTATAGATCTTTCAAGATTAAAGTATCTACTGTTTATCTTATATTATTATAATAATAACAGCTGCTGCTGCTGCATCATCATGGCCGCGGCCGCGGAATGAATATCAATTACCCGGTACACTAGTTATCAGCTTAAAAAAATTCATTTAATGATATTTGGTTACTTCTACAATTAATGGTAGAAATAACGATTTTCTATGTATTGGCACATGTTGAAGGTTAATGTTTTATTTGCACCAGAATCGCATAATATTTCTACTTAGATGTTTGACTGTTATTGATCAATTAGTGCGCAGAAATGGCACATTTACAAATAATTTTGTTCATTAATAGTTAATTTGGATCATTAAAGGTGATTTTGGAATTTGCTTTAATCAATATATCTATGTAATTCATTTTTGAAATAAAGTACATATGAATTCAATTTTATAATTGATCAATTAAAATACGAGGATCATAGGTTGATTGTTTTGTATGAGGTTTAATCACTTCATCAACATTGATTATATGTCTTGAAATATACATGTTTTTGCAAGCTAAATTGTTAATATAACAAAAATACGTAGATTAAATACTAGCTAATATGATGATATTCATGTGCTATAATTAAGAATATAAATTGATCTTTCATTGATCTCTAATTTATGATCCAAAAAATATCAAGCTACTGATAATCTTCCGACAAGAGCCTATATATAATCTACAGCTATAATTTTCAAATCAAATATTATATAATCCTAGCATGAAAATTTTGATCGATATTAAGCACATCAATCCAATTGAATAAGAATTCTTGATTAATTTTTCCAAATGGTATACTGATTTCTGGTTCCTTTGGGGTTGAACCTTTGTATTCTTTGAACATGTTGAAGAATAGCTTGCTTTAAATTTGTTCATATGAAGTTATATCGAGCTAGTTATAACATATATTGATCATGTTAATGTTATTCAAATTAACATGAGATGTTAATTAGGTCATGACTAATTTTGATTATCATAATTGTTCAGGGCATGGATGTGAAGTCCCATGATCATGATCAAAGCTTGATATATATATTAACTAATATTGACATTTAAATATGGGTACTAAGGATCATTAGTTTGTATGAAGTTGAAATATTTGACACAATTACTACATCAACTATGATTCAATTGGTATCTAATAATACACATTTTTGACAATTAATTATTTGTACCTATCTTAAGTGTTAGTAAATATCGTATCGATCAATAATTCTTAAATTTTGGATTAAATATTCCTAACGAGAATTCATTTGAAGGTATTGTGATTATTAAGATATTATATTATAATATATAATTATCGATACAAAAGTTACCCGGGTGTTGATTCTTTCCGAATTGATTTTAAATTTTAATTTTAGTTAATCATCTATATCATTAAGTATTCAGATTATCCTTTGACATCATTCTAAACCGAAATTTTCTATCGCTATCTGGTATTCGGGAGTTTATGTGAATTGCATTTCATAATCTTAATAAGATTTTAATTGGTATCAGTTGCATATCGTATTTGAATGGTCCACAAACGTCTGTGTGTAGCAATTTTATTGAGCTACTTGTGATTTTGTGAATATAAATTTACATTAATCTAGGATCCAATGAAAGTAAGCCATAACATGATCAAAGAAATGAAAAACTTCATGAGATCATATTAAGATTATTAAACATACACAAGTATATGGATCAATAGTTTTCGTATGAGGTTTAAACTTACTTCATCAACATTGATTAACCATATCTTGATCAATATACATTTTCAATTTCATGATATAACAACAAATGTGTTTGTAGCTTCTAGAGTTGGACATCCATTAATCTATTTAATCGTTGAACTAATCATTAGTATATAATATCCTCACTGATGTATGGTGTATTGTAATTATTGCAGATTACTATAGTCACTTATGTAATACACAATCAATTTTTTTCATAGGTGGTTGTTTACTTTTAAAAGAGTCTTACACACTATGATCTCTCAAACCAATGTACAGGTCTTCTTGGATACATACCTTGGGAAGTGTCTTTAAAGTACCCACAGTGATCTACGCATAAGGACTGAATGGTTTGTTTCATCTTTTATTCTGAACTTTAGGTAATTTATCCTGTAATAGGTGAATGAATTCTTTAAACTATTCATTGTTTTGCAGACTTTACAAATCCATGTTGTCTCGATTGTTCAGGAACGGGCATTGATTCTCCAACAGCATCATTGATTCATTTCCAATTATTATATATACATACCATATTACGGTTTGTTTAATTAATGTTGTCAAATTCAATACATATGAGGTACCAAAGATCATTAGTTTGTATGAAGTTGCAATAAACAATTACTACATCAACTATGATTAATGGATCTTAATACATATTTTAGAACTGCTATACATTGATACGCTTGTAGATTTACTAGATATACTTACAATTTCAATCTTACTCTTCCTTGATTGGTTTTCTACGGAACGACCTTGCAACCAATAATCAATACGTACTAATGATCATCAACATTAACCAACAAATCACCAACTTTCACAGCTAATATCATCCCACGGACTACAATTCAATAACAATCACCTTATCTTTGATTTATTCACTCATATAAATGAGGGGTCTATTATAATCAGCAGTCAATGACACATATGACACATTTTCATCATATCATATAGCTCATCTGATGACAAAATTAAGCGAAAAAAGGAATTTCCGATCATAGACATCATCAATAGCTTAATAAGAACTGATAGATATTAGAGATACGCATATTGTTGTTATTAGGTCCATGAGTCATGAGATACAATTAGACTTTTAGATCATATGAGATCTAGTTTGAGACTTGAAGATACTTACGATCTTTAGTCTAAATTTTGGTACGTAAGACGCGACGTATATATGATGATGCTAATTACGCGAATTTTTATCAAATAAGATGACTTCACAGCAATAAGCAACACTGATTAATAAGTTATAACTACAATACAGAGTTCAAATAAAATCAAATTATCTATTATTATTTCCAATAATTATAGAATATATAAATAAAAACCAAAAAAAATCAATCTTTTTTTTGTTGTTGTAAATAGTAAAAGTGAAAAACCAAATGTATAATCTAATGTATAATAAAATCAAAATCAATTTGATAACAGTGATATATGCTAAAATTAAATTAAGAAAAGAAACCAACCCTTAATTGATCCTTTATATGCTATGTGTTGTAATGTATAAAAATATAATTGTTTTAATATGGGGTATATTATTCTCCTTAGTTTTCTAAATCACCATCATCTTCAATTAAGTTTGGTAAGTTATCAATAGTTTCACTACCATAAACAATTTGATAAATAGCTTCAAATAATGGGAATTCTTTAGTCAAGTTTTTGTTTTCTAATAATTCATGAACTTCTTTAGCAGTGATAATACCTTGAGCTGATTGACCATTTAATAATTCAGCTTCAACTTCTTGAGCTGGTTTACCAGTAATAGCCATATGTTTAGCAACTCTAACATTTCTACCACCAGCACATGTAGTGATTAAATCAGCAACACCTGCAGATTCTTTAGTGAAAGTATCAGAGTTAGTTTCACCTGGGAAAAAGATTTCAGCAAATTTAATAGTTTCATTTAAACCATATCTTTGAATGGCAGCAGCAGCATTTGAACCCCATTCTTTACCTTCAACAAAACCAACACCAATGGCAACAACATTTTTCAAGGCACCAGCTAATGAAGTACCGGCAACATCTTCAATAACTCTAACGTGGAAGTATGGTCTGTGGAAAGCAGCTTTTAAAACTAATCTATCAATATCTTTACCTTGACCTTGGAAATCATTTGGAATAGTGTAAGCAACAGTAGTTTCTGACCATTTTTCTTTAGCAACTTCTGGAGCCAAGTTAGCACCTGATAAAGCACCAGTGTGAACTTTCAAGTTTTCAGTAATATAAGTTGATAATAATTCACAACCTTCTGGAGTAACTTCTAAACCTTTCAAACATGAAATACCTCTAGCATGTGGTTTCAAGTTAGCACCTTGTAATTGTTTAACAATTCTTGGTAAAAATTGATGTGGAATGTTGAAAATTAATAAATCAGCACCTTCAGCAGCTGAAACAATATCTGGGTTAGCAACTAAATTTTCTGGTAATTTAATTTCTGGTAAATATTTAACATTTTCATGTTTTGTGTTGATAATTTCAGTTAATTTTTGACCATTAATTTCTTCTTCATAAACCCACATATCAACTCTTGATTCAAATAATTGTGGTCTTTGAGCAGCATTTTCGGCAACAACTTTAGCAATAGTTGTACCCCAGTTACCTGAACCAATAACAGTAATTTTGTATGGTTTTACTGGATTTAAAGATGCTTTGTTATCTTGTTGTAAATGGTTACCTAATTGTGACAATCTTTGAGTAGCGGATGACATTTTTCTATAATTGTATAATGAATGAACTTTTGTTAAGTTTGATAAAGTATTTCTAAACATCAAGATTCAAGTGGCAAAAAAAAAGTGGAAATCTAATGGTACTTATATAGATTTTTCCAATTGATTCAAAACTTCAACAACTGATAAAATATCGTAATTTTTTTTTTAATTTTTATTTTGTTGATTCTTTTTTGTCATTTTTTCTTTTGCAAATTATGTATGTGTGCGCCCGGGCACAAGTATAATTACCAATTAAAGGTCAATTTTGCCAAATTAGGGACTCCGGCGCAAAGGTTCTTTAAAGTGGTTCAGGTCTAGTCTTTAACGGATAAATTTTTAATTTGTTACGGATATGAGGATTTGTGGTGTAAAGATGTCCATCCTCGGTCAAGCCATACCGCCATACCGGGAGAAATCGTTTTAAAATTTGTCCCAAAAATTAAGGAGGACTAGGACTTTAAAAGATTAAAATAATACAGTTTTATTGGCGGGATCTTTCAAAGGAACCTGGCGGTTTATTTTGCAATTCGTTAATTTTTTGACGCTCGCAATTTATCGTTGAAATTTAACTTTGGCGGATACTTGCCCCTCAATTTTAGCACACGGGTCTGACAAGAACTCAAAAACCTCATCACCAGGCGCAAGTCTTTCAATCTGATTCGCGACTTGCGAGCCTGACGAATTTTCTCAAGACTCAAGAGATTATCGCGCCAGTGCGCCAGGGCTCAATGAATTTTTACGCCTTTTTTCAATTTTTAATGGCGCATTCCTTTTTTTCGCACTAAAATCTTTCTTTTTTCGCCAAATAACTAAAACTCTTGGTGAAAAAAATACGTCATTTAGTTTTTCCGTTATGTCATTTTGCTTAAATTGATAAATTAAAAACCCAATGACATAACAAATTTTTAATTTTACTTATCGATTAATTTAAAGTATAAGTGGCTTGATTTCCTAAAACAGAGTGAAATATGTTGAAAGTTTTGTATTTGTTTCACTTTATAAAGTGTCTTTCGCTTCAAGATCTTTTTGATAAATAATCAATAAAAGCTACAAATTCATAGAGATTCTTCAATTGATCACCATCATATAAATCTCTAATTGACTGATCATCTTGACTATTGTGTAGGTAGCTCCATGCTTCACTTTTCACTTCAGATATTTGTCTCTTTCAACTAAATCTAGATCAGCTACTTGTTTTGTCAAGTTCAAGTCTTTCGACGTGTACTGTTTCTCGCCTTTCAAATTAGTACACGTTGATTTGAAATTTACGTCATAAAACACCAAACACAAAACAAAGATTCAAAATCAAAACAAACGTTAAAATTAAAAGGAACTTGAGGTATTCAAAAGAAACAAGAAACAAGTCAAGGTTTATCCGAGATATATACTTAGTCAACAAGTGACAATAGGCTTAGTCAAGGTTATCTCTAGATCTAACAGCCCTTATGATGGCTTATACGAAATCTTATCCAAGTATGAACTAAATCCAGGAACTGAAATAGTGGTTCTGGTTCTCTTTCCGTATTTCTACTACGATGTTATAATGGATTTGAATAAATAATAATGTATTAAATAAGCATTAGGTAATATATATAGTACAAAGTTTCATGAATAATAATTGTGATGCAAAATGTTACTTATAGACTTCATAAACTTATAGTTCTTGATCATCTAAAGTTTTGAAATAGAAAGTTTTAGTTTCTTTAGGGAATTCAATACCTAATTCTAATAATTTTTGGAAATCTTTAGCAAAATCTTTAAAATATCTTTCTTGATCATAAGCATAAATTTTAACCCATTTTAAATAAGATTCATCTTGAATTAAAGCATAATCAGTTGGTAACATCATTAAATCATCTTTATTAACATATTGTCTTGGACCATCCCAATTTTTCCATTCCCATTTATCTTCTAATAATAATCTGAAAAATTCACTAGACATAAAATTTGGTGATGCAGTCCAACGACCTGTAAAACCTGAACCTGGACCTGTTGATTCTTCAGAACCTGGCATAGCTGGAGCTAGAACATGACAAGAACCTAAAGCATGAGCACCAATCAAAGAAACAACTTCACGATCATTAAAACCCATACGAGCAAATAAATTACGAACATAATCAGCATCTTGTGAAGCATCAGGTAATCTTGAAGTTGAACCAAATTTTGGACCTTGATCAACACGACCATATCTCCAACCAATTTTTGGACCACCCATTTCTTGAATTGCAACAACACCACCTAAAGTATATAAATCACCATAAGAAATCCAAGGATTTGAATCATGGAATTCTTCAAGGAATTTTCTTGGATTTTGTAACCCATTATTTGCAGGTTCTTTTGCTTCAGCACCTTCACGAATAGTACCACCAAATGAACCACCAGATTGATGAGGACAACCTTGGAAACCAGGTTGAGCATAAGTACCAGATAAATGCCATGCTAATCTAACTAAAGCAGGACCGAATCCAATATACTCATCATATTCATCATTATCTCTTAATTTTTCTGCAATTGCATTATATAATTTTTGATAATCTTGTTCAGATTTTTGTGAAGTCACGGCAGCATTAAGACCTGAACCTGCAATTAAAGCTTTACCATAATGTTTATGATTATCATTTGGTGAAGAATTTTGATTATTTATTGGACTGAATTTAAGGAATTGAGTATTTGAAGAATTGTTATTTTTGATTAATTCATTTGTAATGAAGGCACTTGAAAGTAAAGCACCTCCAAGTACTATATTTCTATTGAAAATCTTTGTAGCTGACATGATTGATTGTTAAACGATTGAACTTGATAGTGATAATATGAATACAATGAAAAATGGAAGTTTAAATTTAAGGATATCAATTATAACTTATATACAAATGGTTTTTAAGGATGATTTAATCCCCGCTAGTAAAAGACCATTCTTTATTATAAATTAAACACGAGTAGATTAGTATTTGACAGCTGATGACGTTCTAGCCAGAATCCAGAATCTCTGATAAGTTATAACATGACAAATCCGTCTTTTAAACCAACCTGATTGGCTGAATTGGCTGGGATGTTGAAACTTGGGGCCTTTCTTAGTAAGCTCTTAGTTGAACTTTTTTGAGTTCATTAGTAAAGTGAAAATCGGCCCGGTCTTTCTTGATTATGTAAGTGTTGACAAAGCAGTATAACCTTTAATATAATCTTTTATACTCGTTTTAAATCTTTGATTCTTTGAGTCTATTACCATTATAAATCTACATCTATTTTCATCACAATCATTATGTATTATAAATCAAAGTATATTGTGTAGAACTGAAAGCATATGTGCTTTTTGCACAAGTTATATTATATTGACTAATTATTGGAATTTAGCTAAAACACCTTGATCTAACATTCCTTTAGTCTTAAAACAATGAATAAATTCATATTTTAAATTTGGTTTTTCATTAAAAGTTTTCAAACAATGAACTAAAACTCTTAAATATTGATCAACATCACCATTAAACATTTCATCTAATTGAGTATTTTCATTAAAACATCCACCATTAATTGAAGTATCTAATTCTTTTCTCATTCCAAAAATCATTGAAATTATTTGTTCTGGATCCATATCATTTTGTAAATTTTCTAAAATCATTAATTCCATGTTTTTGAGCACATAAATTGGATCTTTAAATGATGATAATGGGGCATAAATTGGAATATCAATAAAATCTAAATCACCTTCTTCTTCTTTTTGGAAATATTGTTTTATTGGTGAAAAAATTGTATCTAAAGAATCTTGAATTAATTTTAGTTTAATATTGAAAGATTGTTGATATGTTTGATTTAGGACTTGGTATTCATAGTTTAAAATTGGAATTTCAATGTATTCATTTAATGGGAATTGGAAATGTTTTTGTAAATTTTTTAAATCTAATGATATTTGAAATTTAAAATTTTGTGAATAACCATCATAAATATCTGATAATTTCAATTGGAAATTGTTTGAATTACTTGGTAATGATTTCAATTCACAATTTTGTTCAAATTTTGATATTGATATAAAATCTGATGTTGTTAAATTACTAGCAGATGATAATTCAATTTTAAATTCTGGTAATAAAACTTTTGAAAATTTATTAAATAATCCAGTTTCAAAACCCTGAGTAAATTCATCAATATTTGAAAAAGTTTCAAATTCATATTTATAACCGCTATTTGATTCCATTGTTTCTATAACACCTTGTGATAATTTTTCAAACCCACCAAGAGCACAATGATGAATAGTAAAACCTAAATCATAAAGTCTATCAAGACAATCAAATTCTGTTAACCCTTCAATAAATTCATCATTATTCAACATTACAATTTTTTTAATAGTATTTGAATCAAATTCCAAAAAATGTTTTAATAATTTATCGCAAGTTTTCAAACCAATATTTAATTCATCAATTTTTAAATCATTATAAATTTCTAATTCATCAATAATTTCATCCCATCCTGACCATGATGAACCAATCATACCGAAAAATGAACTATTATAAGAACCAGCTTCTCTTTGTCCATTTCTTCCCAAGATAACAAGACCTAATTTATCTCTTGGATTCAAAACTCTCAAAGTTTCTTTAAGCATTTTTTGAATTTTCTCCAAATAAACTTCATTTGAATCCCCAGTATTATTATTTAATGATATAACTAAAATCATATAAATTCCTAATCTTTGAGGTCTTGGTAATAATTTTTCCATTATACCAAAAGGTAAATCTAAACCAAGGGCACTTAATTCATTAAATTTAATTATATCTTCTGGGATTGAAATTTGAGGATCATTATCTAATAACCACCATAAATTTGTTGTTATTTGAACAATTGGAATTTGTGTGGTAACATCTTCAATTGAACTAATTTTATTATCAAAATAATCAAACCATTTTGTTAATAAGATTTTATTCTTGGAACGGATTGTTAATTCTGGAACTGATTGAGTTGAAAAGATTAAAGTTATTGTTATATTTGAATTTTGAACAATTTTATGGAAATGTTCTAGGATTATAGTACCCAAAATTTCATCCCCGTTGGAATTTAATATAAGTATAAATTTTTGGAAAACAAAACATTGAACTTTTTCCCAATTTGTTGAACCATCCATTGAAATTTCAAATGAATCAAATATTTTTAAATCTTGGAAAGTTTGTGGTAATAAACCTTTAAAATCTTTAATATCATTTATAAAATTTTTGATAATTTTGTTATTAATCTTTGTTCTTAAGCCCTCGTCATCATGATCACAATGATTTGAAGAAAGTTTTGTTGTTGAAATGTTTAAAATTGAAGTGAAATCTATAGTTGATTCATTTAAATCAGCCATTAATTTATTTGTTTCAGGTATTATTTGAACTTTTGGTTTTATTAAATCTTCAATTGAATAATTTGAAGAATCTCCCAAGATTGGTGATGAATCATTAAATTCATAAATTGAATCTGTAATTTCTTGTTGTAATGGAGTTGATTGATATGATTCTTGGAAACCATTTGATCCATAATTTTCAATAACTTGATTTTGTGGTGTATATGGACTTTTAACATTATTATGAATTGTAGTAAATGTAGAATTTGTTGAACTTGATGATGATGATGAACTATTAACTAATTTTTGTAAATTTAAATCATCAAATATTGAAGAATCTTTTGGTAATGTATCTTTTTGACATATCAAACATTGAGGAGTTTCCAATTCAGATTCTTGTAATAAATATGAATAACAATTATAATGAGTTTGATGATCACAATTTAATTCAATAATTTTTTCATTTGTGAATTTATTTAATAATGGTTCTTCACATATACAACATTGGGAATTTATATATGATTTTTTCTGTTGAATTGAAGAAGCTTTAACATTTAAAGTTGGTGAAGATAATGATGGAGTTGAAACTAATGGAGATTTTAAATTTGAAATGATATCCCAATTATCATGAACTCTTGCCTTTTTGATAGTTGGAGGAGGTGTTAATAAAGGTTGATCTAATTCTAAAGGAGGTGGAATATTTGACCTTTTCTTCATTTTTTTAGGAGTTGAAGGTATAAATGAAGATATTTTGGAGTTTATACTAGTTCTTCTAAAAGAGAATGTCTTGTATAGTGATAACGGTGAAGATTCGACATCCATTGTGGGTATAAATTATTATGAGCTTTGATCTAGTTGTTGTTGATGAATTCCTTCTTGTAACTTGATATCTTCTGGCAAAAGAGAGATCTGAGTATTATATATAACCAAACTTTTTCACTTCAAGAACCTCAAAATATTCAGATCTCAAATTGTTTCATGAAAAGGTCCAATGTACCTTATAAACCGAATCTAGTTAATAATTAAGCCTAATTAAGAGCGTCTGTGAGTAACTTAAATGTAGATTGAGTTAAAAAAAATTGTACTTTGTATCAGATTTTGTGATGAGGTTGATCAAGTTGATAAAATGTGGGAAGCTGCACAAATTTGTTTCGAAATTTTAATTAAATTGAGTGCATATGGTCACTTCGGGAAGATAAAAGTTTTGGTTTTATACAGTTATAGGAGCTATGGAGTATCAGTTATTGGTATCATTAGGTAGCCCTCAATTGTGGCTACCCAATGGTGTAATTTATATGTTTCCACCACTTCTATTAAGTTCTATATCTGGACTTTTACTATTTAATACCCGCAATTCTCGATATGTTTTTCCTTGTAGCCCCAAAGAAGGAAAAATGTAAATCGAACAAGGATTTTTAACGAACGAACCAGAAATCGTTGTGATTGATGTGATTGATGGTCAGGGGTTGGGAATCGGTCTCAAAGTGTTACTTCAATGACTTCTACTATCGTTGTTTACCCTTGTACACTTGAGATCTGGTTTGAAATCTGAGTGGTAACATTATTATCTGGAATACGACTAGTCAATTAAAATTTGTGTGCAATTGGATGCAAAATGGGTAATTTCCCAAAAGGGAAATGTAATTACGCTGGCTGTGATTATGTAATTATTTATTATGTAATGATTATGTAATCAAAACTAAAAGTCACATGACTATTAAATCACGTGATACCTTAAAATCTGTCATTTTTAAAAGTGTCAATTAATAATTTAAAATACACTTTCAATTTTGACAGATTTTTTTACTTTTCGCGAAAAAAGTGCTGGAAAATAAACATTTGTTTTGAATCTTTACACTTTGATTGATTTGGACTACTACTATTCAACAACAAGACACGCTGCTGCTGAGTCATGGTATCATGGAGGTAACGCCCATCATCCCACAGGACTCTTTAAGAGACACACTGGCGCTCACAGTGCTGCTCATCTCCACACCACAACCCATTTCCACAGCGGTGCTAGTGCTCTATATTTTGTTTTCATCTTCCAAATTATTCGTTTCTAAATTATTTACAAAAGTTTTCAAAAATCAAGTTCAAGTGGGTAATAATGGTAATGGTAATGCTGCTACTACAAATACCAATACAGAAACTTCACCTTCACCTTCATTTTCACCTCCAACAAGTCATACATTTACATTGATTTTATTATTTGATTTAACATTAGGTGCTTTATTAAAATCAACAGCTCCAAATATTACAAAATTGATACATGTCTTATCAAAATCAATAATTGCAAATCAATTATGTGGGAATCAATTTGAAAATTCAATATTATCTTCATTATCTATAATTTTTTTGGATCATTTTTTCAAAATTCTTGTACAATATATTGATTCAAATTTTGGTATAACAATATCAAATTCACCAAATTTATTCCCATATTTATCAAATCATGCAAATATTCAATTTTCTTCATTTTATAAGAAAATTTTCCATCAATTAACTTTTAAAAAATCAAATCAATTATCATTCATACAATTTAATTATCTTTATTTAACTGAATTTTGTTGGCATTTTATCAATTATATAATGAATTATGCAAATTTATTATTATCTATACATATCATACTTATGGCATTTGCATCTCAATTTAAAAAAAATCCAATATCGAAAAGTATAAATCAATTTACAAATGATTTAAATAATACAAATCAATCAACAATATCGTCATCTACAGCGACAGCAACAACAGCAACAACAACAACAACTAATAATAATAACAATACAACAAACAATATTAATACAATAAATAACAATAACACTGAATCTTCACATTTCCTAGAGATTAAAATTCCAAAAGATTTAGCATCTCATCAATTAAATTTTGATGAAATTGAAGATGAAGAATTGAATGATCAATTAGAATCTAAAACTCCTGCATCATATCCAGATTCTTTTTCAAAAACATCAAACATAAATCAAGATGAATTAGTTTCAAGTTCAACAATTGTTGCAGAAAATTTTGAAATTTTTGTTAATTCTTCATTTAATAAACCTAAAAATAATATTAAATCAATTCAACCACTTTGGTCATTAATGGCAACTGCAAGATCAATGAGTTCAAGAAAAGATATTTATAGTGGTGAAATAGATTTTTTGGAATCAGATGATAATAATTCATTAGTCTTGTCAGATTATACAAATAATTATGATGATTATAAATTTAAAAATTTTACAAATTCAATAAAATCAAAAATTATGATTTTTATAAATTATATTGGTGAAACTTTAATTTCATTTCAATTGAAAAATTATTCAAGAGGTTTAATCTTCGTTAGAGTTAATGGAGTTATTTGGTATCAAGTTTCAAGAGGTGAATTTCAAGGTGAAGAATTTTTCATTGTTGGTGGATTAACACCTTCATCACAATATGATATTCAATTTATTATTGAAAATGAAGATGAATTTGGATTGAAAAGAAAATGGCTTGTTGATGATTTAATTGTTAGTACTACAGATAGAAATGGTGAATCATTAATAAATTCTAAAAATTTATCTTCAACTTCAAATAGAGTTTTATCACCATTGGTAACATTACAAGAATCATTAATTACTACAAATGATAATTTAATTAAAGAAAAATTAAAATTGAAAAAAACAAGAAAAGAAATTAGTAAAAAATTAAATTCATACAAGACAGATATTGAAAATTTAAAAAATAAAATTAGTAATAGTGATAAAAATGATGAAAAAAATTGGAAAAAAGTATTAAGTCTTAGAAATTCTGTTAAACAAGTTGAAGAGGAAAATAGTAAAATTGAAACAAAAATTCAAGAAATTGAAATTAAAGAATTAGAAATTAATGAAATTTACCTCGTGGAAAAAAGAAAATTTGATAATTTAGCAAGAAATTTTAATAATTTTAAAAATCAATTTAATGAAAAATTAACTCAAAAGACAAATATTTTAAAAGATTTATCAAATGAATTAGATTTATTAATAACTAAAAATGAAAAATTATCAAATAAATTTGAAAAATTACAAAAAGATTATTTCGCAATAGATAAAGAAATTTCAAAATTAATTGAATTAGATCTAAATCATAGATTTAATGAAAGATCAATTAGAGCTTCAAAAAGAGAAAGTCTGTTGGATGAATTTAAAAAGGAAATTGATAAGATGCAAGAAGGTTTAAGAAAATTAACAAATGAAAATGAATTTTTAACAAATTCAATAAATGTTTAAAGTTATATAAAAAGTTGTTATTCATGTTGTTGTTATATTAGTTGTTTATAGTGATTTATAGTTTAAATGCAATATGTATTTTGTTTATCATCTATGTATATCTTTATTTTTTTCCTTTTGGGAGATTTCTATTCAATTTTCTCACCAATTATATGGAAATTTCTATTAAAATTTAATAATCCACCAGATTTTTCAACATTTTTAATGAATTCTCGTACTTCTTTAATTTCACCAATCCAAATTTCATGATCTTGAATTTCAAAATGTTTAAATTTACAACAAATTAATAATTTTTCCACATTTTTTAAAATTGGTAATTCAATTTTATCATTACCTGCACCTTTAATTTCAATTAATTCATAATCTTTCCCCAATTCTAATGAACTAAAAGGTGATACTGGTTCATATTTAGACTTCTCGACATTATAAACACGAGCTTTGCTAAACAATTTAGCTAAATCAGCACTCTCTTGTGTTGGTGGAAGGATATGTATACCAAATATTTCAAAATCATGTAATAAATCACTAGTCATTGAAGGAATTTGTAAATTGAATTGTAATAATGGCTTTGGATTTATACTTAATGAAGTGACACTTGATAATGTGGCACCTTTATAAAAACATTCTTGTGAATGATCTTCTGGATGATTGGCAAAAGGAGCTGTTAAAATCATTGTTTGATTAGCTATACTTGACATTGTGTCTCTGAAAAGTTGTGTAAATATTGTATGATTCTTTCTGATGGGAAGGGAAAAGTGGGAGAAGGGTATATTATACCATAGTTTATTGGATCTTAGCATTGTGAGCATTGATAATTTGAGTGTTTCTTGTGGTCTTTTGGTGGTCTTCTGGTGAAGTTTGGTGAAGTTATGGGTTATAATTATTGGGTGGTGATTTTTTTCTCGGGCTCCAGAACAGCGATGCGATTGAAAGTTTCAAAATTTTGGACTTTTCTAGCTATCAGATTACTATTTGGTGATATTATAATTTGAATTGGATTAGTATGGTATGATTATTGGGATTGGGGTTGGTATTTATAAAAGTTTTGAAGTTAGTTCGAGGATTCCCCAGAATTTTGTAATTTTCTTATAAGGTTTTAAAGAAAATTTTTCAACCTGTCAAAATGTTGATGAGTATAAAAGATTGTTTGAACAATCAGTTGATCCACAATAAAGGGAGGTTGCTTTAGGTTATTGCTGGTGTCATATTAGAACATTTAAATGATTAGAATACAGAAAAATCTCAGGATCAAAGGGTTCTCTGGTCGTTGTGAAATCCATACTAGTAATTACTTGAGACAAAAAGAATTAAATGATGATGAATTACAACAAGAATTAAATAAATTGTATGAGTCACCTGTATTCAAACAATCACATAAATGGGATGGTTCCACCAAGAAATTATCTCAATCAAGTATACCCAATCGTTTAAACTTACAGGATAATCCATTTGCAAGGTTATTAGCTTCACCAGCTCGTCAAGATCGTATTTCCAAAATTACTTATCCAAGAGACATAATGTTGAGGTTTTCCACTGCAAAAGATTTGGAAGATGATTCATTATGGCTAGTACCAAACCTAAATAATACATATATGAATTCTGAAAGTTCATATTTCCCATTGGATAGGAAATTTATACATAAACAATTCAAAAAAAGTCCATTTTTCTTTGCACCAATTGAAGTGTTGACAAATGCAACTAAAGTTAATGATTTGAAATCTTTGAAATTTAATAAGACTACTGATTTAGTTGTCAATCGAGAGTTCATAACTGCGTTACAAGAAGAATTACAAGATATTGAAATTTCCCCAGAGGCTAACCCTAATGATTTAGTTATACATTTGGAAAATAAAGTGGAAAATGGAATGAATGTTGATGATCAAGGTATAATACATATTTCACTGAACTCTCTTGATATTCCCTCACCAAATTATAATGAATTTTTGGAAACTTTAACAAAAATTTCAAAGAATAATCAAGTTATAATAAAACATACAAATAAAGATTTCATAGATATACTAATAAGATTAGTTTTATATAATAAATAAATGAATCCTAATTTTTGTCATTCAATTTTCTCTTTTTCCATCTTTCATTAACAACTTCAAATGATTCCATTCGATCTCTTTTAAACAATGGAACATATTCACCAACAATTTTACCTTTACCATCACCTAAATTAATTCTTGTTCTTCTTTCATTTGAATTTTGGAAAATATCATCATCATTAACAAATTTCTCATACATGAATTTTGCAACTTGAGTTTTCATATTTAATTCAATCCATTGAGAATAAACACTTGTTAAAGTTTTTTCATATTTTGCACATTTATTAGCTTTAACCCATTCCATTTCTGGGAATTTACAATCATATAAAATTAATGGAATATCTGAACCCATATCAAATAATGGTCTTGTTGGAGTTTCTTGGATATTCATTAATTGTGTAACAATTCCTGGTGATTCAAGTTTTTGTCCAACAAGAAACAAAATGGCAACCATATTTCTAACTTGGTGCCATAAGAATGCACTACCTTCTAAATCAAAACAGTATAATCCATTCCCTAAATCCAATATTTGAGATTTTAAAATAGTTCTTTCATAATTTGAAATTTGTTTTGATCCATCAATTTTACAAAAATTTCTAAAATCATGTGAACCTTCATATAATTTTGCAGCTTTTTGCATTAATTCAATATCAAGCCCTTGTTGATGGAAAAGATATTTATAATGACGTGATGTACAACTAAATCTAGCATCAAACCCTTGTGGGGGTCTTAGGGAAATTTCATGGATCTTTATATCTGATGGTAATATCCCATTTAATATATTAATATAATCAAATTCTTTAGAGTCTAAATTTGGATCCAATTGTTCCTCTGGTGTCAAATTTGATCTTACTTTTAATGAAATCACTTGATTCAATGCACTAACACCTTTATCAGTTCTACCACATCGACTAAAATTAAAATTTCCGGGATTTAATGATGGTATTAATTTACATTTATTTAAAGCTTCTATTATTGTCCCCTCCACTGTTGGTAATGGAGTTGGTTCTTTTTGTATAGCCAATCCATTATAGTTCCAACCTAAATATGAAAATTTTAATGCAATAAATCTTGTATGATGTTTGGAAAAATCAAAAGGTTTAGATTTCTTTTGTGGTTTTTGATCTCTTTTAATTATAGTACCATTTTGTTCATTTTTGGGAGTTTCCAATTCTAAAATTCTGGAAATCAAATCTTCTTTTGACCAATCTGAATATTTTCCTATACTATTGGTCTCAGAACTCATTTTAACTCGACTGAATCTTTGAATTAATCTCCAAAAACTCATTAAATTCAAATCCACTGATCTTAATTTATCATGAGTACAATTGTTTATGTCAAAAAAATTTCACCGTTTAAAAAAAAAAAAAAAAATTAAAGTATGTGAAAAAAAAAAATTTAAAGCTCATCGCATACAAAATTAATTGTACTCAATATAAACAATAAGGATAACCAAAAAATGCCACCAAGTTCATTAAATTGGGACCAATTAGAATACGAACTCACACCATGGATCAAAGACGCCATCAGCTCTTTAGGTTTTGAATCCATGACCCCAGTACAAGCTTCAACAATCCCATTATTTTCACAAAATAAAGATGTTATCGTAGAAGCTGTGACAGGATCTGGTAAAACTTTAGCATTTGTTATACCAATAATTGAAAGAATCATGAAGTTAGACCCTGTTTTGATACAGAAAAGACATTTTAATGCTGTTATTGTCTCTCCAACTAGAGAATTATCATTACAAATTGAAAAAGTTTTACAAAGTGTATTAAAATTTAATCCAAAGGAACAAGGAATAAGGACCCAGGTTCTTGTTGGTGGTATAAATAGTATTGATGAAGATCTTAGAACTTTCCAAAAGACAAATCCACAAATTATCGTTGCTACACCGGGGAGATTATCAGAATTTTTAAAATTTTCTAATATTGTTCATACAAAAAATTGTGAAGTTTTAGTCTTGGATGAAGCTGATAAATTATTAGATTTAAATTTTGAAAAAGAAATGAATAATATTTTCCATTCATTACCAAAACAGAAAAGAGTTGGGTTATTTAGTGCAACTATCTTAAATGCAAGTTCTGAATTTCATAAAACTGGTATGAGAAATCCTGTCAAGATTGTTGTTAATTCTAAAAATCATAAACCTAAAACATTAAAATTAAATTATCATATCTTAAAACCAGAAAATAAAATTAATGATCTTTTTGCATATTTAGATACGTTCCATTTTAGGAAATCAATTATATATTTCCCAACATGTTTATCAGTTGATTATTTTTATTCTTTATTTAAACAATTAACAAAAGATAACAATTTAAATGATTTAAAATTTTATTCATTACATGGGAAATTGAAAACAAATTCACGTATTAAAACTTTAGAAAAATTTGATTCAAATAATGATTCTAAATCTATTTTAATGACTACAGATGTTGCAGCAAGAGGTATTGATATTGAAAATGTTGATTTAGTTATTCAATTAGATCCACCAACTGATCCTGATGTTTTTTTACATAGATGTGGTAGAACAGGTAGGGCAAATAATGTTGGTCAAGCCATTGTTTTTTTAAATGAAGGACGTGAAGAAGATTATATTGATTTTTTACAAGTTAGACAAATTGAAGTTTATGATTTAGAATTTAATCCAAGGCAAATAATTAAACAAGAACAAATAACTAAATGGATTTTAGTGGATAGATTAAGACATGACCAGGCTATAAGAGCATATGTTTCATTTATAAGATATTATTCAAAACATAGTGCAAGTTCCATTTTCAGATTACAAAGTTTTAATTATTTAAGTCTTGCTAAAATGTATGGTTTGATTAGATTACCAAGAATGCCAGAATTAACAAATTATTTAAAAGATCAATTCCCAAAAGATGGGTATTTAGATCCTTCAATTGATTTTTCTAATTATAAATACCTGGATGAAGCAAAAGAATTAAAAAGAATTGAAGAAGAAAAAGAACAAGCAAAAAGAGCTAAAAAACATGAAAAAAAACATGAAAAGAATAAAATTGATGAAAATTCTGCATGGTCCAAGAAAGTTCAAAGAAAAGTAAATAAAGAAGAACGTAATGCAGGTAAAGATATTAAAAAAAGAGAATTAGAATTAGTATCAAGTGATGATGAACATCAAGAAACTGATTGGAAAGATTTAGTTCGACAATCTAAAAAGGAAAAAAAACAAAAAAAGGAAATTATGGGAGATTTTGATGATTTATGAAAAACATAATTATACTACTATTTTGTTTATATTAAAAATTAGAATTATTGAGTATACACTCTTTTTATATAATACTTTTCAAATGTAGTGGGACCCCTGAAGTTCAATAAAAATATTTAATATCAAATTCTGGAACATCAATATAATCAATTTTATTGAAAAATTCATCAAGAGTTTTCAAATCATGAAATTTATCATCAAATTTATTATTTAATCTATTAAATAATTTTTCAGATTCTTGTAATTCTTCCAAATTAAATTCACTTAAATTTGTAAATAATTGATCAAATTTAATTTCATCTTTAGAATTTGGTGATTTTATTGAAGTTGATAATAATTCCATTGAACCTGGTTCCTTTTTAAAAGCTTGTTTAAATAAATTAACTATAATTAATACTTTATTTTTCAATTTCCAATTTATATAATAATTTTCTAAAAATTCAAATCCATTTAATTCTTCAACCATATTTATGAAAAATTTTAATATAACTAACGGTGGGAAATTTATACTCCACATTCTTAATGCAATTGCTGTAAGGTATTTAATTGATTTATCTAATAATAAAAATAAATGTGGGAAAATCATAAATTCATAACCTGAATTAAAATGTAAATTATAATTTTTCAAAACATCAAAAGATTTTTCAATTGAATCAATAACTAATTCCGTGGTCTTGGTGACAATTTTAATGAATTTTTCTTTAGATTTCTTGGATTCATGTTCATAATGTAATAATATAAAACAACTTAAATTCATTTTAGTTAATTTATGAATTGCATTATTTGTAATATTGAAAACTTTATTTGAATAATTTGAATTAATATCATTTTTATAAGAATCATAATCTTTAAAATTTGAAATAACAAAATCATCATAATCTTGAATTAATTTTTCTAATGTCCCCACACTAACTTCTCTTCCAGGAAAATTATATAATTTTTGCCAAATATTATAAATCACTTGGTTTAATTCAATTTGTTTACCATAAATATCCACGATTGATTTATGGAAATTTGAACCTAAATTCCCATTTGGAAAATTTGTTAATTCTAAATTGAAAAAATCATCATTCAAAAAAATTGGTAATCCCTTGATGATGTTTAAATTATAATATTGGAAATATAAATGATACCAAACTTTAATTAATTGTTCATCTGAACCAATTTCTGATTTATTATTTAAATTTAATGAAACAGCTAACCCAATTGGATAAAATTCACAAGTATCATTTAATTCTCTTGTTTTGGAGAACAAAAAGATTTCCAAAAGGTTTAATCTTATCCGAGTTAATTTATCAATTGTAAAATTTTGTAAAAAAGCTAATAAAATTTCAATTGTAAAATCAAATTCCGAAATATTTGTTAAATTTTTTAATAAAAATTTATTAAATTTATCTAATTTTATTGTATTTGACAATGATAATGCTGTTATTCTAAGGATTATTAATAAATAACATAGATTAACAAGATCTTTTGAATTGTTTACATCTGCATTTAATTTGATTTTGGATTCATCCAAGATTTTTTCACCAATTATTTGGGTGATCTCTGTATAAAATTCTTCTTCATTTAATACTGGGATGAAAGGATCTGCAAAACTATTAAAGAATTTTTCAATTAATAACCAAATGATTTTTTTATTTGGTAAAATTTTACCAATTTTTTTCAATAAATCAGTTAAATTATTCGTTTCATATTTAAAAAAATTTTCCACTTGATACTTGGGGTTTTGTAATAAATTTGCAAAATGATTATTATTATTAGTTCTTTGTTTTTTTCTTAATGGTTCATTTAATTCTAAATTTTTTAAATTTTCATGATGAGTCTGTAATAATAAATAAAAATTTGTTTGGAAATTATCCTTTTTAGCAAATGATATAGTTTCAAAAATCCCATTATTTTCTAACCCAAGGAATGATGAGTTGGGGGTATTTGTTTTAAAAGATGTAATTATTTCACTTTCATCAATTAATGTAGGATCAATATTTGAAACACTTGAACCATTTTCAGATTTTGGTGGAGTTGATATAAATTGACCATCCTTGGAAGGATCTGAGATTGGATTGATTTGATTTGTTATTGAAGGTAAATGGAGGCCATAAGGTTGTTGACCTTGTTGTTGACCTTGTTGTTGTGGACCACCCTGTTGTTGTGGTTGACCTTGTAGTTGAGGTTGTTGATTTGGAGGAGGATAAGGTTGAAATTGAGGATATTGATATTGATTTTGAATTTGAAATTGATTTGAATTTGGATCTAAACCTAAAGAGCCTTCAATTTGTTGAATTCTATTTCTTAAGAATTCTAATTCAGATATTTGATTTGGCATTGGTGGTAACATTTGGTTATAATCTGGTATTGGGATTCCTTGTGGACCTTGTGGTATTGAACCTGGTGGTGGGACACCACCATAAACATTAGGAAAAGGAGCATTTGGGAATGGAGATCTTGGATTGAAACCATATGGTAATGGAGATGATGAAGATGAAGGATTATTAGCACCAGTAAGAGGTTTGCCATTTGAACCATATTTATTTGAAATTTGAACTTGTAAAGATTGTTGTTGTAATATTTGATTTTGTAAAGCGTTTTGGAATTGTTGTTGTTGTAATTGTAATTCATGTTGTTGATTTTGTTGAAATTGAGCAGTTGCAGTTGCAGTTGGTTTTAAAGTAAATGGTGATCTTGGACCTGGTGAACTATGATTTGATTTGGTATTATCATCATTTTCATAGGCAAACCCAGAACCCCATGAAGGTTCATCATAATGACACAAATGAGATACGTTGGATTTCTTACAAGCACCACAAGCAGGTTTCCCTCTGTCACACTGGTTGATTTGTTAGTAAATGGCCTTTTCTAGTCTTTGTTTATCTCCCATTAACTCCAGACTGGTGGAGACGCGTCTTGATTACTCACTCTGATCTTCCGCTTACGACACACAGTACAAACGACTGGTTTCCTGTTTCTCTTTCTGGGTTCCATAGTATTATTACACTCTAATATCAGTTGTTGACTGTGTTGTTCTGGTTCTTTTAGTTGAATTCTGGTTGTTTTGTTTTGTTTGTTTTGATAAAATTTTACTTTTTCGTGGATTTTTATTTTAATTTTCATGGTTTTCCAATTTGATTGGTTGAAAGAACACAAAATAAAGTGCAAATAATACAAATTGAATAAGAACAGAATAATGAAATGAATATTAGTAAAAGACAATTATAATCGAGTAGAAAGTAATTGAATATCACCTTCAAAAGTATCAAAAGCATCAAAATCTCTACAAAAAGTATCTTTCTCATCTCCGATCATTAACTCCATTCAATATCTACCACCTATAAACTCACCAACTCCCAATCCAAACACTACACATTCCAACAACGAGTTCCCTCCTAATCTATTCTCTCCATGAACTCCACCACTGATTTCTCCTACTGCGAATAACCCTTGGATCAATTGTCCCTGTGTATCTAAAACTTGTCCTTCTGAATTGATCTTAACACCTCCCATTGTGAAATGAACAACTGGTGTTATGGTAGCTAAATAGATCTCAGTATCCACTGTGATGTTATTGAATGAATGAGCTTTAAAAGATCTTCCTAATGGATCTATCTCATTTTGGGAATAATTGATTAATACATTATGAACCTTGGTTGAATCCTCATTAAATAACTCTTTCAAAGTACCTTTCTTCACTAATCCTTGCTTGATATAAAAATCTAATTGAAATTTAAAATCCAAATACATATCTTCATTCAATACCAAATATGCCTTCTGGTCTTTCTGCTTCAAGATCCCTTCTGTAACTTTATCCCTTGTAGTTAATTCATCAATAAATCTTTCCAATTGATCAATATTTAACAAAACACCACCAATACCTCTAAGAGATTCAGCTGCAAGAAATTTCCATCTATTCTCAGGATCACTAGGGTTTATAAACCCAGTTGGATGGATTTGAATTTTATCCATATCAATTAATTGTGCACCAATCTTTTCCAATAAGATTTGTCCTTCTCCAAGGGTTTGTTCACCATTTGTTGTTGGGAAATTAATTAAATCAGGTCTATACTTGGATAATAACTCTTGAGAATAACTAAACCCACCAGTTGCCATGATTAAATGATTTGTTTTGATATACTTGATCTCTCTTTGTTCATTTTGTAAAAAGACACCTTGAATTTGACCTTTTTCAATTTTAATATCAATTAATTTCCATCCCATCATTAATTCTAATCCTTGATCTTCATATTCTAAAATTTTTGATTTTAATTTTGATATGATTTCAAAACCTGGTGGGATTCCTGTTGATCTATGAGTTCGCTCATGAGAATGTCCACCTAATCTATTAACCAAATCCAACCCAACTCCAATATCTTTTTGTAACCAATTAATAGCCCTATTACTACCTGATACTAATTTTTTTTGTAAATCCAAATCACCTTTAAACCCACTTGATTTAACCGTATCATTTAAAAATTCTTCAAAAGAATCCTGGACACCTTGTTGCAGTTGTGTATTGGTTTGAATACCATTTATACCTGATGATGCCTTAATAGAATTCCCACCAAATTTAGTTAATTTATCAACTAATACAACTGGGATTTTTTGTTCTAATAATTTAAAACTTGTTGAAAGTCCTGATAATCCTGTTCCGATAATTATAACTGGTAATTTATTCATTGTTTGTTGTTGTTGTTGATAATAATAATAGTATGAGATTATGATAATTAATAAAGGTATGATATATCTCATAATAAGATGAAGTTTATATTGTCATTATTTACCTTTTTTTGGTTTTCATGGGTGTGCAATTGGTTTTATATTAAAAGTATGGAGTTAGCTGATTTTTTTATCGGGTATTATTTAAATGCATACGAATCAGATGTTCAAATCTATAGTAAATTTATATGGATAATCTAAACGATAAATGATCAATGATGACCTTAATGAGGATCATACATGAGTTTAATAATCAAACATCAAATTAAATCAATAACAAGTAAAAGACAAGTTCTTTCATGAGTATAAAAGAATAGCCAAAAATGTGTCAAGATTACGTAATCTCAAAAATCACATGACCACACTTTTTCCGCGAAAATCAATCAATTTGATAAAATAATGGGTATTATTTATGGTATTACTTGTATTAATTACAATTCAACAAAATAGAACAATAACAATGGATCAAGAAGTCAAATACGGTGCAAGCATAGAACACAACAAAAGAGTATGTCACATCAATCACTATTAGCTCTACATAATACTAACAATTTAGACCATTTTATATATTCAAGATTTCACTTCATTAATATTTGGTTCAAGTTCTGGTATATTACAATTAGAATCATTATATGGATTTGGTTTATTTTTTATATCGTGGGTATTGGTGAATTTATTGATCTTAGGGGTATTGACTAAGGGGAAACCTGGTGTTTTTTTTGAAAGTCCTGCGAGGGAAATTTTTTTGGATAATTCTACTAGATCTTTATTAGGATTTCTTATGATGTGGACTTTAAGTTATGCTTTGGTGCAGTCATAAAGCTTCGAAACTTTTAGAGAATATAATGAAAGTTTCGAAAAAAAATAGTCTCTATTTGAGAAAGAAAATTAAAGAAAAATCTCCAAATAAATACAAGAAAAGTTGTTTCAAGGGAATTCGGGTTAATGTACAATATATTTTAATTCTATCATTTATTTATTTCATTCAATTGTAACTTTTATATATAAATTCTATACATTTTTAAAATCTCTAATTGGTCTAGTTTCTTCTAATTCAATACTTTTCCAAATTGCAAACTTAAACCTTTCCAAATCATTAAATTTTTCATAAATTTTTGATAATAACCACCAATTTTCTGATATATAATAATTTTCAAAAAATTTAACTTGTAATTCCAACAAAATTTTAATCCTTGCCAAACCGGCATTTAAATCTTTTTCAGTTGTGAAAATTTTTATACCTGGAGTTAAAATTAATTTACTTAATCCAATTATACCTAATGAATGATTTGGTTCTAATATTAAAGATTTTTCAAATTCTTCCAATGCAAATATAGGTCTTATTTCACTTGTTATTAATCCTAAAATTGCATGAGTCTCAGCTGTGGCTCCATAAACTTTTTCAGCTTCAATAATTGATTGTTCTGAATCTTCAATTAAATTTGCCTTAAAATATATAGTTGATGTAATTAACCAAATTTTTTGTAATAATTTATTTTGTAATGAATGTTGAGGTTTAGAATGTGGGATTGGGGCATGATCTTTATGTGATTTTATTGATTTTAATTTTTTATTTAATGTAGAAATTTTTTTTAAAGATCTTGTTGAATCAATTTCTGAAGGTTGTTCAATTTGTTGAGTTGATTCAATTTCAAATAATTGATTATAAAGATTGAATAATTCTGGTAATGAATCTAAACATTGTTCAATCCCAAATAAAGATTCAATTATTGATAATTGTGTGATTTTAATTTGAATAAATGTTTCTTTAAATTCAAATGAAACTTGAGGCTGTAATTCAATAAATTCTTGAATTTCATTAATTAAAAAATTTATAATTTTAAAAGATTCATCTTTATTCTCTTCAATTGAAAGAATTAATGTTAATAAATGCCATGATTTAAAATAAAAAATTGTCTTTTCTGTAAAATTTGATAAAACTGTTTTTAAAATTAAATAAGATTCTTTAATTTTTCTTATTGATGTTAAAAATTTAACATATTGATACAAAATTTCATTATTATCAAAATCATTATATATAGAATTTTTGAAAAAAATTATTGATTTAATTAAATTTGTTTCAGTTTCTGGGAAAATTGAATTTGATGAAGTATATAATTTTAAATTTGTTATTGATAATATATACCAAAATTTTGATAATTTTTGATTTAATATTTCATTGTTTAAGTTTAAATTTGGTTCTAAAACATTATAATCAAAATCAACTTGATAAATTTCATTATTTTTATAAAAAACTTCCAAAATTTTTTTAAAATTATTCATAATTTTCAAATATTTCTCAAATTCATCCTGTGTTATTTTTAAATCATTATTTGACTTAAATTTATAACTTAAAATTTGTGTAAAAATATCTAAAATCCCCATGATATCATTATATGATTGATTATTTTGATGATAATAATTTTCAATATATTCAAAATAAACTTCAAAACTATGTAATGATTCTTCAATTTTATTTAATTTTAAATAATTCCCTGTTAATGAACGTAACAAAAGATGTGATTGATAAGTTTTATTAATACCTGATTCAATTAATTCTGTTGTTAATGTTGGATTTATCAATGGACAATCATTAACTAAATTTAAAAATTCTTCTAATTCTAAATTATTTGTTTCATCAGAATTTGGGAATTGAGTATTTGATAATAAAAGTTTAGATCTTGTAGAGACAAATTTTGTGACGTCTTTTGAATCAAATTTAATACCCTTGTTTAAAGAATAATTTATAAATGATAATACATAATTTTTATTTTGGAAAATTTGATCAATTAATTCAATTGTTATCGGATTGTTTGATAATAAAATCCTATCATAGATTAAATATAACCATTTACATGATTCTATATTTGATAATGATGGTAATCTTGGGAAAAAATTAACACTTTTTTTCAACCAATGTTGTTCTTGAGTTAAGTTTTTAATATAATGGAATGAAATTGATAATAAATAATGCTTTTTATAAAATAATGATTCAATATAATTATTTATATTATGAGAATCAATTTCTAAATTTGCACTGCTCAAAATTTCAATCCCTTGATCTAATTGATTTTGTAATATTTTAATATGACCCAAATTTATCAATATAATAAATTTAACAAATATTGATGATGTGGATGATAACAATTCTTGAAATTCCAAACTAAAACTTTCAAATTCTTGTACAGGGTTTGTCAATGGAACCAGTCCATCTAATTTATTCAATTTTAAGAATTTTTGGAAACGATATTCAATATTTAATGTTTGAATCAATTCATAATCCGAATCATCATCAACTTGTAATTCAACAACTTCTTTAGGCCATATTCCAAACCCTTTTTTCTGGATGATACTCTCAGCAACGTTCTTTACTTTCCCCATGGTATAATAACAGCAGCAGCACCTGTCTCTTCACCAGCTTTAAACCATATAAATTTCAATGTTTATTGTTTAAAATTCACGGTACCTTTTCGTCTCAAATCAAAACGTATACCGGAAAATGCTTTCGCGAACTTTTTGGCGGGAATCTTTTTGGCGTTTTTGTCGTTTTGGCGCTCAGGGTAAATATGAAAAAATACTATAAATAACAAAAAAAAACGAGCTACAGAACCAACCAGTGATTAAAATTATTATGATGTCGGTAGTACTTAGTAGGTTGTTAAGTGTTCTACTGTATAGTATTGGGATATGTTTATTATTTATACGCAAATAACCTTCGCCTTCGATGTTTTAATTTCAATGAAATATGATCACTTTCACACACCGTGATTGAAATTAAAACAAGGGTAAATTTATGAATGGGTATTTTTTGATCATATAATTCTTATGCTTTTTCAGAATTTTTGTCAAGCAATAGTTCATGGGATGGTTAGACATTGTGACTACATGTTAACCTTTTTTTATATTTAATTGAGATTGTATATACGTTCCTTATGCTTCCCAGCTGATTAAGGACTATTACAAATAAATTAAATAAATCATTTTTATATATAAATTTTTATTTTATTGTAGTACTGTTGAGCGTATTTAATTTTACTAAACAGCTAGCATTGTAGATATATGTCATAAGATGCTATCAACATTTAGAGCATGAACAGTAATTACTAATTTGTAGTTGTTACGTTGTTACTGTTACTGAGCTTTTATTTGGCGTAAAAAAAGTGCCATTATTTCCCTTTTGAGATCAGAAGATATATAAAATTACAAGTAATCTTTTAAACTATTCATTAAACATCATTTAAATTTTCAAAAGTAGTTGAGTATTATCTCTCTATATTAATCTATTGAGGTGGGATTGCAGGTGGTGCTTTTTTCTTTTTCTTCTCTTCAATTTGTTCAACTTTAATATCAGTTAAACCTTTTTCTTTTAATAATCCAGTAATATATCTTTCAACTTCATCACCAACATCACCTTGAACAATGATTTCTTCCTTTTTCTCAACAGTTTTTGTGACAGAACAACCAGTGGCGAATTTTGAAGCAAATGTTTTAGCTAATTTTTTCATATCAATTTCAAAAATTTCTAAACCAGATACTTGAATTGCATGTTTTCTCTTTGTTCTTTCAATTCTTTTCAATACAACTTTTGATGATAATTTTTTTTGTAATTCTCTTTCTTGTTTAGCTTCTTCTTTAGCTTGTTTTTTTTGTAATTCTTTATCTAATTTTTCTTGTTTTTCTAATGAAAGTGTTGAAGTTGCATTTACTAAAGCATCTTCGGAGTATAATTTATTGTATAATTCTTCATTTTCATCTTCTAACCAAGCTTTACACTTTTTAACACTGGCACCGAATTCACAGTACTAATTCACTTGTTAGTCAATTGATCATCCAAGCCTCTAGATCTTTCAAATACTTACTTCTGGTGGGAAAGTACACACACCGCAATATAAAACGTCTTTTGGAGTCAACTAAAATCATTTGTTAGTAAGGGAATTCATGGGAAAAAAAAAAGAGCATGGGGTAAACAGATTCAACGTACATCAACTTCAGCCATTGTTAACTAATATTTGAGTTCTAAACTTTAAAGACACCTCTAGTTCTAACTTCAAAGGGTTTTCAGGTTCTGTTCCCGGTGTTTTGGGTGGTCTTTCAGATGCGTTTAATATGAAAAATTTAAAAGGTGACCCTCTTTTATTTACCAATCGCGCTTTTAAATAAGAAAGTAAATAACCACGTCAAAATGAAAACAGTTTGATTTGATCTGATTTGATCTCAGAAAGGAAGCTGATTTGAACCAGGTTGAAGATGAGTTTTGAAGACAAAGTACAGAGAAAGAAGTCCACGAGATGGGTCAGAGCGTCAACCGCCAACTATGATGGGGACGATTGGGGGGACGACGATTGGTGAGTATGATATTTATAGCCCATTGGATCAACATTCCAAGATGAGTTGTGATGTCTTTTGATACTAACAACGAATTTGATATAGGGTTGAGGAAGAATACTATGAAGATGAAGATCAAGAGGTCCCACCTGTACCACAATTGCCACCTATTCCCACTGAACATTTGAAACAATATCAAGATTCTCAAAAAAATGATGATGAGAAGAATGTACAACTTCATGAAGAACCTTATGATGATGATTTTAATGACGATGCTAATAGTTTTGATGGAGATGGTACTCCTCAGATAAATACAAATCAATTCCAAGATATTGATCTTGATGCACAAGAAGAAGAAGAAGAAGAAGAACCAAAAGAACGTGATGAATATGTCGATATGTTAAATAATGAAGATTCTGAAGATGATGAAGATTATAAACCTCAATCAAGTTCAAGATTTCAACCTGTTATACAATCACCAATTGAATCAAGATTTGACTTAAAACTTGAATCTCCAAATTTGGAAAAATCAGTGGAACCTGTTGAACATGTTGAGCCTGTACAGCCTGTACAACCTGTTGATGAATTACCTTCAAAAACCCCAATTGAGGAAACTATAGAGGCTACATCAAGTTCATTCCAACCATTCCCAGAAGAAACACATTTAAGTACAGTTGATCATCAAAAGGAAGAAACTCCAGTTTACGAAGAACCTCAATCTGAGAAGCCGCTTGAAACTGAATCAATAACTCAAAAAGATCAAGAATCTATCGATGAACTTGTGAATGATTCTGTAACAAGTGAACCAACTGGTAGTCATTTCCAACCATTCCCATCAACTAATAGTGATTATGATGATCATTCAAAAGAAGAGATTGAATCTGAAAATGATTTAATTCCACAAATTGAAGATAGTGAAGATGAAGAATATATTCCAACATCAAATAGATTTAAATCTTCATTCTTGGAAGAATCAAAACCAGAACCTCATTCAGTGGAAAGATCACCAAGTGTTGAAAGTTTTTCAAAGGCAAATTATCAAGATAATTTATCATCTGTATCACCTATTGAACATCGTTCAAAATCACCAGCTAATGATACTGATGATTCTATACAAGAAATCGGATCGAAAAACATTGAACCTGCTCAAATCAGCCAAATTTCATCAGAGCCTGTTGATAAGATTCATGATGATTCATCACAAGAACAAATTTCAAATGATCAACTTGAGCCTTCATATTCATTAAAAGTGCCATCTATACCTCCAGTACCTGAACCTAAACATCATTTATATGAAGAACCACAACAAGTACAACAACACATTCCTGAAGATCCCCAATCAAGAGATGAGGAATCAATACAACAAGAACAAGAACCACAACCATCAGATTCAAGATCATTAAGAGTACCGACAAATTTTGGTGCTGATTATTCAGATGTTTCAGATACAGATACTTTACATATTCAACATCCAGATGATCCAGGCTCTCCATCAATTGAAGAAATTAGAAGAGAATTATCAAATACTTCAATTCAAGATGGTTCAAAAGATGATTATTTTAAAGATCATGCTTATTTAAGTAGTATTATTAATACCCCAGATTTGAATGACAATAGTGGAGCTTTTGAATCACAACAACATAATAATAATCATATACCTGAACCACAAACCATTGAATCTGAACCAATACCTGTTGAATCAACACCTGAACCATTTGTTGAAGAAAAATCACCAGAAGTTCAAGAAATATCTCCAGAACAACGTGGTTCAGATGCACCAAGAACTTTATCACAATATTATTCTTCAGTTAATGATTATTTTGATGATTATGCAGACTCAAGTGACAATGAAAATAATTTAAAACCAAGAGATAGTAGAGCATTAAGTGTTAGAAGTTCTGGATCTTTATCAACTGGAAGTTTTTCAATCAAAAGTGAATCAAGATATAGATATTCTAAAGTTAGTGATCGTGATTCAACTTTGAATCAATTAGAAAATCGTTCAATGAGTTCTTTTATTCCAGATACTGTTTCTGAAACTGGTAATGAACCTCAACAACCAGAACAACATCCAGGACAAGGACAACAACAACAAGCTCGTGGTAAAGATGGTAATTTAAATCCTACTTTATCAGTTAATTTTGGACATTGGAGACCAGATACAGATAGTTTTAGAGATCAATTTATTAGTGGTACTGCACCACCATTACCTTCATTAGATAATTATACAAGAAATTCAATGGGTGAAATTATCGAAGATAGAGGTTCAATTATTGAAACAAAAGACAAAGAATTAAATAAATCAAATGACGAATTAAGTAATATCCCTCATGAACATGATGAATCTTCAATTTCTTTAGATAATACTGTTAGTACTTCAGATACTGATAGTGTTCATTTAAGTACACCAGATAATGATAGTAATAATAATAATGATAATGTTGATAATAAAAATAAGAGTCTAGGTGCTTCATATCAAACAGAATCTAAAACTTCATTACCATTTCATATACCACTGAATACAACTGATACAAATTTATCAAATGATGGACAATACTTCCATGAAAAATTAGGGGTTACAAATACAAATTTACCAACTTTACATGAAAACAAAAGTTCTGATACAATTTCAAAATTAAATATTACCAAGATATCAGGTAATAAAAATACAAATTATAATATGAAACAAATTAGTGGTATAAATGATACAGAAAAAAGAATTCAAAGATATAGAGAAGCAAGAATAGAAGAAACAAATTTAACTTTAGGATTAGAAGAATGGTTATTACATTCTAAAAATTCTCCAAATATTTCAAATTATAAAAGTAATGTTGGAAATTTACATGTGGCAAAAGCTTATGCAGATGCTTCTACAACAGCCAAAAAACATAATATAACAAATAATATGGGAAGTTTCTTACATAAAAGAAGAGTATTCCAAGATACTTCATCATCTGCTCAAAGTCTTGCTAAAGGTATATTTACAAGAGGTAAAAAAATGTTAAAGAATAATGATAATTAAGAAGGGACACAATGTTTTATATTTAATCTAAATATGAGTATATAAGAAATTTTTATTTCATTTATTTGAAACTTTTGATAACCGTAGTTCACCATGTCTTCTAACTTCTTTATCCATAATATCTCTAATTCTATGACCTCCAGCAATTGCAATAGCTAAAACAGATTCTAATTGATCCAAGGGTATTTTATTTTCTAAAATTAATAAAGCTAATTTTTCACTTTTACCAACAACAGCTAAAGTTAAATATGAAACATCTTTTTCTTCTAGTGAATTTAAATCTAATAATGGTGTATTATCATACCAACCTGCTGAAACTGCACTAATATATTCATACATTGCAATACCTGCATCTATAAGTGCCAACGTTATAGCATTTGTAATTGAAGATATAAGACCACCATCTAATGACAAAACATGAACATTAATGGAAATAGTAGTTCTTGGATATTTATCTATAATTATTGATTGTTCAAAGGTTCTTTTCAATGAAGTTATAATTTCTTGAATTCTTCTTTCATTTTTTGATCTTTTTTTACGATCAATTGAACTAAATGGAGTAACATTTAAATTTAAATTTAATGTAGCACCAGTTGTAGATAATTGGGCTTTTGTTGGAGGTTCCATTGGTCCATTAACGATACAAACGATCTTGGAATTACCTTGTTCAACATATGATGAACCATCTGATGAATTTGGATGTGTATTGATACGACAATCAAAACGACGAAGTTCATTCCATCTTCTACCATCCATACGGAGACCTTCTTGTGAGTATAGTTCTAGTCTTGACATTTTGGGAGAAAAACAAATTTATGGATCAAGACCTTCAAATTTATTGCTTGGATCTTTAAGGTTTATGTTGTTGAAGTTGTATTTTCATAGTTTACTTATAATTTTGATATTCGGTATAGGAAAAAAAAAATTTAGGCTGTGATTATGTAATCAATATAACCAATTAATTAATTTACGTATTAATCAAGATTATTTACAAAAGATTTAAATTTTTGTTTGTCAAATGTGTATTTAATTCTACTTGTTTCATCATTAGATACCATCTGATATCAAATTTCTGTTCAAATCATCTATAAAAGTACCCAAAACATAATTATTTGATAAGAAGAAAAAGCTTGAACTTAACAATAATCCAGGGAAGAATGTATTTTCTCCCAAAAATTCTAGTTTATATGCAAAGAATAACCATGATGATTGTGAAATGATCCATAATAATAAGCATGTGATACCTTGGACTTTATTTTCTCCTAATAATTTTGAATTTCTTAATGAAAATGGTAAGAAAATTAAAAACCATATAAAATATTGTGAAGTCATAACTTTATTATATGTGACAAATGTCAAAGTTTGTAAAAATAAAGTAGTTGTTAAACTTTTTTTTGTAAACACAAATGGTAAAATAATTGCTGATATAACTAATTGTGGTAAAAATGCTAAAGTTGTAAAATCTAATGTAAATTTTTCAAAATTTGTTGTGGATTTTAAAGCTGATGCAAAGTATAATGAAATGTTATAGACTGAAAAATTATGTCTATGGTCAAGTCTTGATAAGTGATAAATATATGAATGTTCTAAAAACTCATAACCATAAATCTTGTACATTAATGTACCTAATGAAGTGAATGAAATCACTGATGAAATTGTGAACAATATTGATTTTTTATTAATTAATGCCAAAATATAATATGGACCTTTGGAATTACTAGTATTGGAAAGGTATATCACAGCAGTTGGAATATAAATAATTGGATAAATTTTGAAATGAATAGCTAACCCAGCGAAAAGACCACTTAAAATAACTTTTTGTTTGATCAATAAATAGACAAAGGCCATAATAAACACAGTTAAAACACTTTCAGAACTTCCTCTAGTACTTATAGTAATAACCATTGGATTCAATAACCAAATAGAACTCAAAATCAATTTTTTCAATTGAGAAATATTGATCAGATCTAAAATTTTGAGTATTAATACACCAGTAATTAAATCACTAATAATGAATAAAATTTTACCAAATGAATATAGCTTTTCATCAACAGCATTGGGTATCAATAACCAAGCCAATAACGGTGTATAACGATACGTTTCTCTTTGGTATGGTGAACCTCCTTCATAAACATATTTAGCAGCATCACTAAACACTAGATAATCTATATCTGTGTATTTAACCTCCATATGAGCATCTTGATATAAACCGAATAAGAAGAATCCGATCCTGAACAAAGTAGAGCCCAAAATTAAGGGGATTGTGAAGTTTCTTTGCTTCTCATTGACCTTTGACATGGTTTCTGCTCTATGATTGTTGGTGTTGTTGACGTTTTTGATTGTTTGGTGTTTTTGACACTTTTCCTCAATTTTTCATTTTTTTTACTTGAGGATTAAAGTGGACTTTTAACTGTGGGCTTTTCAGGGATTTGTGAATATTCACCATAAAAGATATAATATTCCAAAAGGAATGGGCTTAGAAAGGGGAATCAATTGAATAAATAAGAAAATTCAGAGCTGGAAATGGGTAAAACAGTGGTTGTTGTCGGTGCTGGTCTCACTGGTGGTGCGAGTGCCAATAGTATCAAGAGAAAATTGGGAAAGAATGATTCAGTCAAGCTAATTACTACTTCAGATCATGTTGGTTACTTCCCAGCTTTGGTTAGAGTACCATTCAGTAACAACTATGATGCGTTTGCTCCTTTGAGTGAGGTTATTGATGAAGATGTTGAAATTATCCAAGGTCGAGTGGTTTATTTTAATGAATCAAGTGTTTCTTTGGAAAATGGTGAAGTAATTGAGTTTGATGCTCTTGTTATTGCCACCGGGTCTAAATGGCCAAATCCAATATCTACTTCTGCTGTTTATGGTAATGATTATAAAGGTTTTTACAAATCTGAAGGTGAAAAAATTAAGAATGCTAATGATATTGTATTTATTGGTGGTGGGTTTGTGAATGTTGAATTTGTTGGTGAATTGTATCATATATACAAAGATGATATCGAGTCTGGAAAGAAAAGGGTATCAATCATTCAAAATTCTGATAAGTTATTACCAGATTCACCATTTTATACAGATAAGTTCCGCACTAAGATTACTCAATGGTTTGATGAAACCGAAATTAAATTGTATTTGAAATCTAAAGGTGAAATTACAGAGTCAGATAAGGGACAAGTAATCATCAATGGTAATCAAAAGATAAAAGCTGACTTGATTTACATCGGTATTGGTGTACAACCAATTGTCCCCAAAAATGAAATTTCTGAATTAACTAATGATAAAGGATTTATCCGTACTAATAAAAACTTCAAAGTTAAAGCTAATTCAAAAGGTAATATTTTTGCCATAGGTGATGTTACAGATTTCCAATATCATGGTGTACAAAAACTACATAATTGGATCCCAACAATTGCATCAAATGTTACATCTTATTTACAAGATGGATCAAATGCCAAATTGATTGATGCTTCAACTTTTGAGAATGAAAATATTCCAGCTGGTGTATCATTGGGTCCAAATGATGGATTTGGTCAGTATCCTTTCCCTTTGATTGGGACTGTTATATTACCTAGATTCTTGATCGCAATGGCTAAATCGAAGGATCTTTTCGTTTCAAGCTGGAGAAAAATGACATATGACAACTGATAAACCTATAAAATAATAAACACAATTTAGAAACAACCTAAGTTAACTTTTTAATACATAATATTTGATACTTCAACTAACTTTCAATAATTTTGGTTATATTGATTATGTAACTACAGTGCCTGCGATGACTCAGCACATGCTACTTTCAAGCGTAATTATCTCCAGAACAATCGAAATATTAGAAACTTTTCATCATTTGACAATAGATAATCTATACTTTTTAAAGAACTAGAAGATAATAGTACAATGAGTGATCAAGAAGCTGTATATCGTGAATTTGAAGCATTCAATTTTGAAAATGAAGATTTTAAAGTAAGTTCTTATCTATTTTGAGTCATCTGGTAATGAAACTAACAATATTCAGAATGGTCTTGAAAATGTTTATGAATCTTATTTAGATCAAATAAATCAACAAAATGATGGTAAAATACAAGAAATAATCACAGAAATACCAACAGATGAAAAAAGCAGATTAGAAATCCAGGCTAAGACTTTTTATTTTTGTCAACAAACTGGTAATATATTAAATATTGAAGATTATGAAGAATGGAAATCAAATCAATTAAACGCAGAACCTGAATATTCTTCAAATTATCAAGAATTAGTTGAGCTTATAATTGCTGGTAAAGAAGTCCCTGGTATAAAACAAATCCCTGATACTGTCTTGGAAGGTCAAACAAGTCAACATGTTGCTCAAGAAAGGAAAAAACCATGGGAATTAAAGAAAGAACAAGAAGAAAAGGAAAGAAAGGAAAAGGAAGAACAAGATAATGTTGCTGATGAAGTGGAAGAAAATAATGGAACTGAAACTGAAAAAATTGCTGAAATATAATTATATTTACCTACATTGTTTATATTATCATTTTATCTAGAATATTTTATTTTATGATCTATATATGCTTATGAAGAAGAAGATGCACCTGTAACCCTCAACACAGTTTCAAAAGCAGCTAGAGCAGCAGCATTAGCAGGGAATGCTCTTATAAAAGCTGGAGTAAACCCTTTGGTGAAACCTTTCCAACCTTTAGTTTGATAAATTTCCTTAGCTGCTAATTTCCAACTTTTAAAAGAACCATTAAATCTATCATCTGCTAATAAATAAGACTTAACAACATCTGATGGATAAGCAGTTATATAAAAAGCACTTGCAGAAGCACCACCTGCTGTGAAATTTATCCAAAAATCATTCATATTTGTATTTTTTTTCAAACCTCTTGTAATTAATTCATAAGACCCCCACCATGTTATGAAATTTGTACGGAAAATTAATGTTGATATAAGACCTTTAAATAACCCATTTATACCTAGACCATTTGTCTTGTAAACATCTTTGATAACTGCAATTGGTCCAGAATATTTACTTTCAGTTTTAGAACCATATTGAGTTTGTAATTTAACTTTAGCTAATTCAATAGGAGCTGCAATGAAACTAACAGTCCAACCAGCTAAGACACCAGCACCAACAAGCCCCTTTAAGTCTAATTTCTCCTCCTTTGGATAAAAATTCCTTTTTATAATTCTTCTATAATTATGTAAAGATCCCAACATTACAGAATCCATAACTAACCAACCAACTAAAGGTGGTGTAAATCCCAAATAAAATCCACGAACACCTTGGGTCTTATAAGTCTTGACACAACAATCTATCACACCATTATATCTCTTCACTGTGTCTGTCTGTAGTCTAACTTTGATTGAATCTGGAGCATGACCAACTAAATTTTTCATGAATCTATAATTTCATTGTTAGTATTAATACCCACCTACAATTGAACTATGGTATTTTGGAACTCACCCACTTGCCACACCGGCAACAAAACCGATCCACCCACCTGGGGCCTGGCTCTTTTGTTCTTCTTTACTCATCTGTGTTGTATACTTCCAATTGGGCTAAGAACCTGATCAAATTTACTGGTTATTTACTGGGTTTCAATGATTCATTTTGATATTTTTCACCAAATTCTTTTCGGTATAAAACACATAGATACACACGCTGTTAAGCGGTGGAAAGACTAAACGAGAATCTACAAAAGTTCATTTTAATTCATTTTAATTCATTTTAATTCATTTTAATTCATTTATTTAATTGCTTGATTAGCTCTCATAGAAACAACCATCGACACCAAGTTTCCCAATGATCCCAGTAGGCATCCATCCTTCACTTCCAACTTCTTCACCTCTTTGAATTGCATTAATCAGATCTTCATGATCACTTGGTTTACCAATTATAAATCCACGAATACATAATTCACCATTTCTTTTCTCGATATCTAAATCTTTATATTTAAAAAGTTTCAATTCTAATGATAATGATGAAGTACCACGATTTTTTAATTTGGGATTGGTGAAAATTCTATAGTCATAAAAATTTGTACTTAAAATTGGTCCTATAACTCCAGGGAAATATCTTTCAGTTATGATTCTTGCATTTGATATAACTCTAATTTTGTTTAAATCTGGGATGGAGATTTGTTGATTTTTTTCATTTAATTGATCAATATAAATAAGTCTTAGTGTTTTAAATTTTGATAAACTTGCAAATTGGGTGAAAATTCCTTTACCTAATAAATATTGTGCTCTTTTAAATAAGATTGAATTTATCAAACCATTATATTGCTTCAAAGTTTCACTATTCAAGAAAAATCTTTTAGCTGTGTTGGAATCAACTGCTAGGATAGTTATTGAATATTTTCCAATTAAATCTGGTTTGAAAATAGAATCATTACTATTCCCTAAAACTATAGAACCACCAAATAATAAAATTGTTAAAATTTTGGACAAATATTTAACAGATGAACTTTCATATCCAATTAAAATTTTATCTTGATTGTTTAATTCATGTCCAAGTGGTAATTCTTTTGTAGTAGCTGCAATTGAACTAACAAAATTTTGATGTGAATAGCTTGTTGTTTTGAAATTATGGGTTTCAATATATGGTGTACCATCATCATACTCTGGTTTGTACTTGTATTCATATTTTTCAAGTTTTGTTTCAAATAGATCACCCAATATACTCCAATTGATTAAATTTGATTGTTTAAAAGTTTTTGATCTGTCTTCACAAATTACTAATATTAATTTAAAATTTAATTTAAGGGCAAAATTTAATTCAGATTCTGGTATAATCATTAAATCTATATCTTTTGGTGTTGATCTTGGTAAATGATTAAAATTATGGATAGTTAACCCATTAACAAAACATGCAATTGTAGTAACAAACCCTTCAAACGAGTATAATGGAGCTGTAGTACCAATAGTTTGACAGTTATGTTCTTTAGCAAAACTAGCAACTTTACCAATGGCACTATTCAATGTATAAATATCAACTATTGTTTCAATACCTTGATTTAAAAATGTCAAGTTATTAATATTTTTTTTACTCATAATAACTGACCATACATCTCTTAAATTTCCATTTCTTAATTTGAATCCATGTCTAACTTGTAATCCAGTGGTTAAAGGTAATCCATGAGGTGTTTGATTGTTTCTATAAATTGCAGTTTCATCTTCTTTCCTAGTGGGTGAAATATTTGATTGTTCTTTAAGGGCTAATTCATGGATATCTTTTTGAGAATCCAAGTAAAGAGAATAAAGATACGATGAGATCCATAGAACCAACACGACACTGGCCACCAGTTTCCACATTCTTTATAGCTAATGATCCTATAATTGAGGTGAATTGAACTGAATATATTGTTTAAATCTTTTCAAAATCTTTTCATGATCTGACATATTTTTCGTATAAAAAATTCAAAATCGGGTATACGAAATTTATCGTGGTTTTTGTGTTATACCACAAATATCAAATATTTTAATTATACTGACTTTTCTGATTATCAGCTTGAAAGATTTCATTTTCTTCCTTATAATATATTCAGTACTTTAGATCTCCTTTGATATTTCGTTTGATTCTGGTAATATTTCAATATGTGTATTTATTGTTACATACTATATCGGCCGAGAAAACGTCATAATAATTTAATATATAATTGAATATTATAGACGTATATTATATTTAACTAATCGGTAGCTTATATTATCTATATATATATTATTATAACATGATATAGAACTTGTATACAATTATATATATTTGTTATATATATATATATATATAAACGCGATTAATATATAATTTAATTATATAATATTTTAATTAAAATTTATATATATAATATATAATAATATATTATACACCATTAACGAGAAGCTTAGTTTTTAAAAATGTAGATTGGTAAATTGAGTTGGACC